GCATCTTTTTTTGTGTCACCAGCATACTAAGGCCAGTCTGAAATGATTTTATAGTACCAACTCTAACTAACGAGGCCACATGATCATGGGTTTATCTGGATCTTTACGAATGTTTAATTAATTCCAGTAATGCAAAAAAGGTTATTTTTATCATTTCATGTATAGATCAGTAAAAAAACAAATGACAGATTTTTTCGACAAGACATTTCGCACTACATTGCGTGGCATAGGATTGCTCGAATTATTATTGATATTGATTTTTAGTAACTAAGTCGTTGTATAATTATATTAATATACAAACACATGGAAATTTTCTGTTCGAAGTTGGTCTTCGAATTTGTCATATTGACTGCTGAGCTTATTGTGTTTTTTGATTGTATTGACGGAAATATGACAAAATAAACAATGTGCTTCAGAATTTTGTGAAGAGCAGAAATGTTACAACTCCCATTTTCTTCGAAAATGCCACCTTCTTCATGTACTTTGCGTTTAATTTAATTACTCAAGTGTTTTATTCAAGTATTCTTTTGCTAGCTTGATGTGTATTCTTAATTGGGTCAAAATGTGGACAAAAAAATTAATATTCCAAAACTACTTTCAGTAAATTGTTTTCTGTGTGAATAATCAATTTCACTTTAGAAGGTTTGAAAAATCTATTACATTTAGATAAAAAAAAAAACTTCAAAAATACTATTACAATTATTGTTAAGCGTTCGAGGCCCGCACTGGAAGTTCTCTGGCCGCGAGTTTGAGATCCCTGGTCTAGATTGAAGTTGTTCAAAAAATATATGATAGTATTTTATCATGAATGATGATTATACCCCTTCCGGAATTTCTTCTATAGTACTACCAAAAGTTGATGAACCAAATATAACACAGGTGCAGTGAGGTACCCGTAATCCTCATTTCCAATACTGTTTTAAGTATGTCTGGCGTGTTTTGTGCCTTTTTACAAATAAGACCGCTTATGCAATCTTACGCTTTGGAATTTTTAGTTATTTTCCTCAAGCCCTGCAGGATGTGGGGGTCATACACAACTCTACCGGAGGGTCAAATGTCTTTGCATGCCTCCATAGGTTGTTTTTCTATTGCAATTTTCTATTTTCAATTGCATTATATTTCTTGGAATCACACTGTCACTGATATGTCGCCAGACTTCTGATATCCCCCCGTCTGCTATAGTTGTCCTGTGAATAAATAATAGGAAATTGAGATTAAACGAATAGTTGAAAGTTTTGCTTTATGTCGGCTTAATTTCTTGATTGATATATATACTTACTATTTCTGCTATTGCCTCTTGTGCTGCAAGAGTCTCACAATGCTTAGACAGGTTTGTCCACAACTTTCACATCTGAAGAAAGAGAGGAGATTTATTAATTTTCGGTAAGAATAAATAAAGCAGTCTATATGATTCAGAATGGAAAAGCTAATAAATCCAATATCTCATGTTTTATTTAAAAAATATTTTACTGAATTTGGTATATAAACCAACTAATAAAAGGGTTTAGTCAGAAAATTACAAGCATTCGTGGCTCCAAATACTTGAGAAATCAGACTATACAATATAGACCGGTATGAGTGAAATGTTAGGTGAACTTGTTAACACTTTGATTCAATACGCAAATAAAAGTGAATGCGTAATAGTATGTTACAATGAGTATATATCCTCACTGATTAAAAAAATCTAACTGGAGGTGCATGAACTATTTGAAACCATAAGGGGTAAGTAAATATGTAATTTCGGCAAATGGGCAACTACGTACCGTACTGAATTAATAACTTCGTAGTATTTGACAAAGGCTGGCTTTCCCACATGTACTTAACAGTGCGATGCCCGGGTGTGATATACAACAATAGTATTCACCTTACCTTTTACCGATTTCTTTTTACCCCAACTTTCAAAAATATCATTAAAATCGACAACAACTGTCAAAGCAGGCACGAACACCATTCGTGCTACGCCTTGAAAGCAGCACACATCCGCTCGTTTTCGTCTCGTCAAGTATGTGCATTGGAGCGTGCTATCGAATACGATCTTCGGACAAAAATGCCGGAGTTGCGCATCATGTTGTTTAATGTCATTGGTCCGCGGGAGCTTTCATTTTGTTGTTTTTCTACCGTCTCAATCGATTTAACGGAGCCGAAAAGACGAAGTTACGTTGGTGTATTACGCTATTTCTCTTCCGCCGTCATATTGCTGTTGGTATGTGCAGGATGGCCCGGCGACATCTTGGCGCCGAGTAATCACACTTTTCGGTTCCGATTCATCGCGAAAGCGCTCCGTCAAATCTCGCAAGATTCAAAAACCTGAAAATCATCATGCGTGCTTTTTCCGCTCTGCACGATTTTTTGATTAATATTACCAACCAAATGAAAGGTCATGAATATTTCTTTGTTTAAACCAGAAAACTGTCAAGACAGTATGACATTCCAGAGCTTTTTCCGATTCATCGCGAAAGCGCTCCGTCAAATCTCGCAAGATTCAAAAACCTGAAAATCATCATGCGTGCTTTTTCCGCTCTGCACGATTTTTTGATTAATATTACCAACCAAATGAAAGGTCATGAATATTTCTTTGTTTAAACCAGAAAACTGTCAAGACAGTATGACATTCCAGAGCTTTACCATGACACCCAGCGAGATATGAAATTGTTGCGACCCTGCAGGTGGTCACTGTTACATCGAGAATCGCATTCACTTGATTTTTGTATTGCATTAAACATTGCGTCCGTTTCTTGTGTAGTAATTTATTTGTTATTGTTGACGCCGTAATTTCCCTTGATTGACAGTGTGCTTCTACACACTTTGTTACGAAACAATTGAGAGAGTCTTCGTGGCAATTGCTTGCCCAGACATGTCTCGCTTAGACATGGATAGTTTCGGTAATTTGCTTTAGATAGCGCTTTACTTTTGCAGAGAATGGCGCTCGTTTCGTTGTAATTCGTGAATAAGTTAAACTTGTTCAGCGACCTTGGCTTTCTGTTTTGACTGTAGGACGATTAAATAATGTAGATTATGGCTGCCCACATAGACCTATTTTAGGGATATTTTATGAGCATTAATAGGCCTTTTGTGATTGTTTTTACAGTTATAGTTTATTTAATTGATTTGTTCGGATTTCATTGACGAATGATTTCATGTTCAACTTATGATAATTTAAGCCTGGAATAGCAGACAAATTCGGTATGTTATAATTTGTAACTCTTTCTGATTTGAAGGCTGCAAGTTATTCAATAGTAATGGTGACCGTACATTTGAACCCATGCGTATATCCACGGGTTCAATCTATATGCGGGTGCTAAAACCAATGGGTTAGGGTTAGTATGGGTTTAACTATCCGTGAAACAAAAAAAATTTCATAGGTGCAATAGCATACAGGTGAAATTGTCATGGGTTCAAAAGTACGTGGGTTCAAATGTAATGGAACCAATAGTAATATGGTTCGACTTAATAATTGACTATGTTTGATAATTGTGTTCATAAATTTGAGTAGGCTTTCTAAAGGCCGAATTGTGTATGATTATTTATTTATTGCAAGTATTTTGTATTGATTTGTTTTTACGTTTGTATTAAGATAACCGTGTCAACTGTATACTTCGAGTTGTGTGATTTTCTGGATTGAGGATACAAACTTGGGGCTTGAAAGACCGCGTTATTGAACTGTTAATAAATATCTAGTGTGCAGTCGGTGTCGTCCAGGTCACAAAGAACGGCTGTTACATTAAAGTTATCGAATTTCCGCAAATAAAGTTATAGAATTTATGCAAATAAAGTCATCGGATTTTGCATAACTAAAGTATTGTCGAATGCCGGCAGGAGTACGGTTTAGCGTCAAATTGGAAGAAATCATCCTACTGTTGAACATTTAAACTTTGGGGTTGCTTGTTTGATGAGCACTGTAATTGTACATTATGGACGCAGAATCTGTTTCGAAATCAAATTTAGAAGAGTTACGTGCTCGTCTGAAGGAATTATATCAAGATGCTGAGAGACTTATGACTACAAAAATCGAGATTTGTTGAAATTGAAAAGTGCTGACATTGACAAACGGTTTACCGAGTATTCAAATGCGCATGAAATTCATGTGAGTACTTTACGTTCTGAAGAAGATCGGAGAAATGTCAGCGAATTTTTCCAGAGTGAACTGCGCGAGTTTCAAGAATTTAATGTGCACTTACGTGATTGGTTCAAAAAGAGTGACGCTGCTGGTCATAAATCATCGACACATAGCCCTGAAGCACGTTCTGTAATTTCTGGAAAAAGTTCCCGTCGTTCAGGTGCCAGTTCAAGTTCGAGTACTACACGTACAGAAGCTATTGCCATTAGAGAACTTGCTCATGCTAGTATTTGGCAGCAAGTAGAAAAAGATGCCGCAAAAAAGCGAGAAATTGATGCGAAAATGGCAGCAGAGAAAATGAAATTAGATGCCCAAATTGAAGCTGAAAGGCTGGAACGCGAAGCTATGGAAAATGCTAGAAAGCAAGAGCAGGAAGCCCGAATGAAGGCTGAAAAGCTCAAACGTGACGCTGAAATAAGAGCTAGAGAAATCGAAGAGGATGCTCAAAGTGGAACAAAGCGTTTGGAATTGAAGCATGCATATGAATCAGCCTGTATAGCTGCCGATGTATGGGAAAATGCTTCGCAGGGAGGTGAAGGTATGTCATTATATGAAAATATGTTTCGTTCACATTCACCTAATCAAAACCAAGAAGTACCAGTGAATGAAATAGGAGTGCCGGTATCGAAGCCTCCTGATGTGAGACCTAAATTGCCAGCATCAGATTTGTTATTACAATCTCGAGTCAGAATAGAAAATCCTGTACTAAATGTTAGAACTTAGAAGACCTGCTTCTACTGATAATGTGCGAGATGCTGTGAATGTGAATATTCCTGATCAGTATGAATCATTGAACCGACCTCCGTACACAGAATCACACATCCCACAACAAAGAAACACGCATGATCAATCGTCACCGAATGTGGAAAGTTTATTGGGCAATATGGCATCTATGTTGCAAGACGGAATTGATAGACCTCGACCTGAATTATTGCATTTTAGTGGAATAGAGACTGAATATGTCCGGTTTATCACTAACTTCAACTTAAATATTGATAGAAGAGTTCATGATAAAAGTACAAAGTTGTCATATTTGGTGCAATACTGCGAAGGTGATGCGAGGGAACTGATTATGCACTGTACAATGTTGCCACCCGATGAAGGTTATAAAGAGGCATGCGATTTGCTCAGAAAGACATACCGTCGACCAATGCTTGTGGCTAGAAAATATTCAGAAAAGTTGACTAAAGGACCATGGTTGAAACCTGAAGATAATAAAGGTTTATTACGTCTTTCTCAAACATTAGCAGAATGTTTAGTCACTTTGACTCATTTGAAATATTTTGGGGATTTGGATAATTTTGATACTATTTTGTCCATCGTATTACGACTTCCTCTCAAGTTGCAGAACAACTGGGAAGAATCAGTGGCAGAATTAGATGGACAAGATAGAGAAGTGAGATTTAAAGATCTTGTTCGATTTATGAAGAAAAAGGCTGCGGCTGCAAATACGCCTTGTGGAAAAGCCCTGAGAGCTCGAAGGGAGCAAGAACAGCAATATCGTTTATGATTTCAATCATCGAATAGGCGAAAGATTCACGCTCATTCTACTGCTGTGACTTCAGCTGTTGACAGCAGTGTTACCAGTGCAAAACATATTGAAAAGGGAAGAGATGTCTGTCCTGACTGTTTGAAGACGTCACACAAACTTGTTGACTGTTACAAATTCCTGCAGAAGTCACACGGTGACCGCTTGAAGATTGTTAGAAAGGCGAGATTGTGCGATAATTGTTTTGTATATGGTCATATGTCGAGAAATTGTCGTAAACCACCTGCTTGTACTGTTGACGGGTGTAGGTTGAAACATAATACTTTATTGCACAGAAGAGAAAAAGAGACATGTACCCAAACAGAAAATGCTGCTGGTACGCATGAGTCAAAAGTTGAAGCATATGCGACCTCAAAAAGCTCAGCAGGATGTTTTTTGAATATTGTACCTGTCAAGATCTGTGCCAACAGAAGAGAAATAGAAACGTATGCATTTCTAGATGAAGGCTCTACTGCTTGCTTATGTGATGAGCAACTTCTTGATCTATTGAAGTTGAGAGGCAAGAAAACGCAGTTTTCGTTGACAACTGTGAATTCGGTACCAACATCACAAGATGGTTATACGGTTGATTTTACTGTAAAATCACTTGATGGTAGAGAAAGTGTTGATGTATCTCATGTTCTAACTGTTGATAGACTGCCTGTTAAAGCTAATGAAGCACAATTTGATGTACAAAGTTATGCACATTTGAGGGGATTGAAGATTCCTACTCTGCCGTGTAAAGACGTGATGTTGATGATTGGGGTAAATGTCCCTAAAGCGTTTTGGACAATGGATGAGAGACGAGGGAAACACAATGAACCTTCGGCGAAGAAATTCATTTTAGGATGGTCATTGGTTGGACCAGCTTTATCTCACGAGAGAAACAGTGATGTTCACATTCATTGCGTTCAAGTGCAAGAGGAAGACTTGCTGAGTCAGCAAATCAAATGTTTGTGGGAAAGTGATTTTAAAGATGCTTCACTGTCGCCTATTCCATCAATGTCTAAGGAAGACAAATACGCATTGCAATTGATGGAAGATTCAGTTGAGATCGTGGACGGACATTATCAGTTACCATTGCCATGAAAGCCAGGATGTCCTGATTTGCCAGACAATCGAAGTGTTGCGATGAAACGCTTAAAGTACATTGAACGAAAATTGAAGAGTGATCCTGTTTTGAAAAAGAAGTACTGTGATACTATGGAGAAATATATTAGTCTTGGATTTGCAAAACGTATCCCGAATGAATATAAAGTTGGCAATAAAGGTGCAGTTTGGTACTTGCCTCATCACCATGTGTTTTCTGAACAAAAGCCAGGCAAAGTACGCGTTGTCTTTGACGCTGCATCACGTTGTATGAATCCTACTTGAATGACCAACTATTGAGAGGCCCGGATTAGGCAAATTCTCTACTTGGAACACTTCTCCGCTTTAGACAACATGAAATAGCTATTGTGGCTGACATCGAAGCAATGTTCCATCAGGTGAAAGTACACCCGAAGGATTGGAATGTATTGCGATTTATGTGGTGGCCTGGAGGTGATTTGTCACAGGATCCATCAGAATATTTTATGGTCAGGCACATATTTGGTAGCGTCTCATCTCCATTTTGTGCTAATTGGAGTCTGAAGAAGACAGCTCAAGATCATCAAGATGAATTTGACAAAAATGTTGTCAAAGGAGTTGAGCAAAATTTTTATGTTGATGTTTACCTGAATGGCTCATCTACTATAAACCAGGGAATTCATATTGTTCGAGAAACGAATAAATTGCTGGAGAAAAAAGGATTTCATCTAGCAAAGTGGAAAAGTTCCAATCCTGAAGTTCTGTCTGAGATCCATGCTAAAGACAGAGCAGACTCTGCGTCAAGTGTAAATTTAGAACCTGAAAAGATCGATCGAATACTCGGAAAAAAGTGGAATATCCAAGAGGATTGTTTTTGATTTGATGTTAATGTGAAATCAAAACCCGCAACAAAACGAGGGATTTTGTCTGTACTCGGTTCGATATTTGACCCAATGGGAATAGTGGCACCTGTAATACTTAAAGCAAGGATATTGATGCAGCAGTTATGTCGAAACAATTATGGATGGGACGATGAAATATCGAATAGTGAAAATTTATTGTGGAACAGATGGCTCGAAGATATTCCCGGACTTGAGAATATATTCATGCAAAGATGTTTTGCGCCGTCTGATTTTGGCAATATTGTGACTCGTCAAGTACACCATTTTGCAGATGGTTCTGCAGTTGCTTATGGAACTGTATCGTATTTGCGACTAATCAATGAAGATGGGAAAATTCATGTTGCCTTTCTCTTAGGAAAAGCTCGACTTGCACCCATTAAAACTGTTTCAATACCACGACTGGAGTTGACTGCTGCAGCTCTTGCAGTTAAATTAGATTTATTTCTGAGACGTGAATTAGACTTCGAAGATATAGAGTCGATGTTTTGGACAGACTCAACTTCCGTGCTTTTGAGTAATAATAATACATCACGAAGATTCCCAACATTTGTGGCAAATCGACTTGCAAAGATTGAAGAGGGATCGAATGCTTTGCAGTGGAGATATGTACCTACAGATTTGAATCCGGCAGACGATGCATCCAGAGGGTTGTCGGTACAATCGTTGATGGATGAACGATGGCTGAAGGGACCATCATTTTTCCAAGAGCAAAATGAATATTGGCCTAAACCGCCAGTACAGTTACCTGAGCTTCCTGATGAATTTGTAAGATGCAAGCCACGAGTTGTTGCGAATTATGTTTCTGAGTTTGCTTTGAAGCCAATTGATAAATTCATTTCATAGTTCTCAACATGGTATAAGTTGAAAAAAGCAAGTGCATGGATGATTCGATTCAAAGACTACCTTCATAAGAAGAAGAAGAATTATAAGTGCAATGAGAAACTTGAAGTTGAAGAATTGCGAGTTGCTGGAGACGACATTTTGAAATACATACAGAGACAAGAATTTGGCGAAGTTATTGATGCATTGCAGAAAGCCAATCATAGAAGTACATCTGGGAAACAAGTACTGAAGAGATTGAAGATTGCAAATTTCCTGCATAAACTCAATCCGATTATGAAAGATGGCTTCATCAGAGTTGGTGGGAGATTGAGAAATGCACCGGTTGATTTCGATGTTAAACATCCGATTATACTCCCACATAAACATCATGTAACTGAGATGATTATAAGAGAACATCATGTATCTACACATCATTCTGGTATGGGAGTACATGGACTTCTCTGAGACAACGATTTTGGATCGTTAAAGGAGGCGCTATGGTGAAATCTGTTATCAGAAAATGCATGTTTTGTCGAAGAAGAAGTTCACCTGTGAGTAAACAGATCATGGCCGATCTTCCGAAGGAAAGAGTCACACCAGGTGAAAGACCATTTGCCTATGTTGGAGTGGACTACTTCGGACATTCTCTTGTAAAGCAAGGACGAAGTACCGTCAAGAGGTGGGGCTGTATATTTACATGCATGACAACTCGTGCCGTACACTTGGAAGTTGCATACTCGAAGGATGCAGATTCATTCATAAATGCGTTAAGAAGATTTATTGCACGTAGAAGTAGACCATTCAAGTTCATCTGTGACAACGGTAGTAACTTCGTTGCAGCAAATAAAATCCTACGTAAAGAAATAGAAGTTTGGAATTCAAGCAAAGTTGGACAATTTTTGCGTCAGGAGAATATTAAATTCCAATTCAATCCACCTACTGCTTCTAATTTTGGAGGATGTTACGAAAGATTGATTCGATCAGTTCGAAAGATTTTGGTTGCTCTCTTACACGATCAGTTGGTGTCAGATGAAGCTTTGGCTACTATTTTTTGCGAAGTGGAATCACAGTTGAATTCCAGACCCATCACTCCAATAAGTTTTGATTTGCAAAACGTATCCCGAATGAATATAAAGTTGGCAATAAAGGTGCAGTTTGGTACTTGCCTCATCACCATGTGTTTTCTGAACAAAAGCCAGGCAAAGTACGCGTTGTCTTTGACGCTGCATCACGTTGTATGAATACTTCCTTGAATGACCAACTATTGAGAGGCCCGGATTAGGCAAATTCTCTACTTGGAACACTTCTCCGCTTTAGACAACATGAAATAGCTATTGTGGCTGACATCGAAGCAATGTTCCATCAGGTGAAAGTACACCCGAAGGATTGGAATGTATTGCGATTTATGTGGTGGCCTGGAGGTGATTTGTCACAGGATCCATCAGAATATTTTATGGTCAGGCACATATTTGATAGCGTCTCATCTCCATTTTGTGCTAATTGGAGTCTGAAGAAGACAGCTCAAGATCATCAAGATGAATTTGACGAAAATGTTGTCAAAGGAGTTGAGCAAAATTTTTATGTTGATGTTTACCTGAATGGCTCATCTACTATAAACCAGGGAATTCATATTGTTCGAGAAACGAATAAATTGCTGGAGAAAAAAGGATTTCATCTAGCAAAGTGGAAAAGTTCCAATCCTGAAGTTCTGTCTGAAATCCATGCTAAAGACAGAGCAGACTCTGCGTCAAGTGTAAATTTAGAACCTGAAAAGATCGATCGAATACTCGGAAAAAAGTGGAATATCCAAGAGGATTGTTTTTGATTTGATGTTAATGTGAAATCAAAACCCGCAACAAAACGAGGGATTTTGTCTGTACTCGGTTTGATATTTGACCCAATGGGAATAGTGGCACCTGTAATACTTAAAGCAAGGATATTGATGCAGCAGTTATGTCGAAACAATTATGGATGGGACGATGAAATATCGAATAGTGAAAATTTATTGTGGAACAGATGGCTCGAAGATATTCCCGGACTTGAGAATATATTCATGCAAAGATGTTTTGCGCCGTCTGATTTTGGCAATATTGTGACTCGTCAAATACACCATTTTGCAGATGGTTCTGCAGTTGCTTATGGAACTGTATCGTATTTGCGACTAATCAATGAAGATGGGAAAATTCATGTTGCCTTTCTCTTAGGAAAAGCTCGACTTGCACCCATTAAAACTGTTTCAATACCACGACTGGAGTTGACTGCTGCAGCTCTTGCAGTTAAATTAGATTTATTTCTGAGACGTGAATTAGACTTCGAAGATATAGAGTCGATGTTTTGGACAGACTCAACTTCCGTGCTTTTGAGTAATAATAATACATCACGAAGATTCTCAACATTTGTGGCAAATCGACTTGCAAAGATTGAAGAGGGATCGAATGCTTTGCAGTGGAGATATGTACCTACAGATTTGAATCCGGCAGACGATGCATCCAGAGGGTTGTCGGTACAATCGTTGATGGATGAACGATGGCTGAAGGGACCATCATTTTTCCAAGAGCAAAAGGAATATTGGCCTAAACCGCCAGTACAGTTACCTGAGCTTCCTGATGAATTTGTAAGATGCAAGCCACGAGTTGTTGCGAATTATGTTTCTGAGTTTGCTTTGAAGCCAATTGATAAATTCATTTCATAGTTCTCAACATGGTATAACTTGAAAAAAGCAAGTGCATGGATGATTCGATTCAAAGACTACCTTCATAAGAAGAAGAAGAATTATAAGTGCAATGAGAAACTTGAAGTTGAAGAATTGCGAGTTGCTGGAGACGACATTTTGAAATACATACAGAGACAAGAATTTGGCGAAGTTATTGATGCATTGCAGAAAGCCAATCATAGAAGTACATCTGGGAAACAAGTACTGAAGAGATTGAAGATTGCAAATTTCCTGCATAAACTCAATCCGATTATGAAAGATGGCTTCATCAGAGTTGGTGGGAGATTGAGAAATGCACCGGTTGATTTCGATGTTAAACATCCGATTATACTCCCACATAAACATCATGTAACTGAGATGATTATAAGAGAACATCATGTATCTACACATCATTCTGGTATGGGGAGTACATGGACTTCTCTGAGACAACGATTTTGGATCGTTAAAGGAGGCGCTATGGTGAAATCTGTTATCAGAAAATGCATGTTTTGTCGAAGAAGAAGTTCACCTGTGAGTAAACAGATCATGGCCGATCTTCCGAAGGAAAGAGTCACACCAGGTGAAAGACCATTTGCCTATGTTGGAGTGGACTACTTCGGACATTCTCTTGTAAAGCAAGGACGAAGTACCGTCAAGAGGTGGGGCTGTATATTTACATGCATGACAACTCGTGCCGTACACTTGGAAGTTGCATACTCGATGGATGCAGATTCATTCATAAATGCGTTAAGAAGATTTATTGCACGTAGAAGTAGACCATTCAAGTTCATCTGTGACAACGGTAGTAACTTCGTTGCAGCAAATAAAATCCTACGTAAAGAAATAGAAGTTTGGAATTCAAGCAAAGTTGGACAATTTTTGCGTCAGGAGAATATTAAATTCCAATTCAATCCACCTACTGCTTCTAATTTTGGAGGATGTTACGAAAGATTGATTCGATCAGTTCGAAAGATTTTGGTTGCTCTCTTACACGATCAGTTGGTGTCAGATGAAGCTTTGGCTACTATTTTTTGCGAAGTGGAATCACAGTTGAATTCCAGACCCATCACTCCAATAAGTTTTGATCCGAAAGATGATGAGCCACTCACTCCAAATCACTTGCTATTACTGAATCCTACAAGTAATTTATCTCCTGGCTTATTCGACAAAAAGGATTGTTACACTCGAAAAAGATGGAGACAAATTCAGTATTTAGCTGATCAGTTTTGGATCAGATGGACCAAAGAATACTTACCCACACTCCAGACACGACAGAAATGGACCTCTAAAGAACGTAATATGGAAGTTGGTGATATTGTGCTACTTGTAGACAATACTATACCCAGAGGGAAGTGGCAGACTGGACGTGTTATGGAAACTACACCTGATAAACTTGCAGCTGTGCGTCAAGTTACTGTGAAGACATCCAGGGGTTTATTGAGAAGGCCAATTGCAAAGTTGTGCTTGATTCATAGAGTTAATGAGTAAAATGTTTTCAAGTGTGTGATATCCTCGATGTAAGAAATTTGTGAGTAAGATGTTTTCACTGGGTTCCAACATCTGGCTGGGGGAATGTTACATCGAGAATCGCATTCACTTGATTTTTGTATTGACTTAAACATTGCGTCCGTTTAACTTGTGTAGTAATTTATTTGTTATTGTTGACGCCGTATTTTCCCTTGATTGACAGTGTGCTTCCACACACTTTGTTACGAAACAATTGAAAGGGTCTTCGTGGCAATTGCTTGCCCAGACATGTCTCGCTTAGACATGGATAGTTTCGGTAATTTGCTTTAGATAGCGCTTTACTTTTGCGGAGAATGGCGCTCGTTTCGTTGTAATTTGTAAATAAGTTAAACTTGTTCAGCGACCTTGGCTTTCTGTTTTGACTGTAGGACGATTAAATAATGTAGATTATGGCTGCCCACATAGACCTATTTTAGGGATATTTTATGAGCATTAAATGGCCTTTTGTGATTGTTTTTACCGGTATAGTTTATTTAATTGATTTGTTCGGATTTCATTGACGAATGATTTCATGTTCAACTTATGATAATTTAAGCCTGGAATAGCAGACAAATTCGGTATGTTATAATTTGTAACTCTTTCTGATTTGAAGGCTGCAAGTTATTCAATAGTAATATGGTTCGACTTAATAATTGACTATGTTTGATAATTGTGTTCATAAATTTGAGTAGGCTTTCTAAAGGCCGAATTGTGTATGATTATTTATTTATTGCAAGTATTTTGTATTGATTTGTTTTTACGTTTGTATTAAGATAACCGTGTCAACTGTATACTTCGAGTTGTGTGATTTTCTGGATTGAGGATACAAACTTGGGGCTTGAAAGACCGCGTTATTGAACTGTTAATAAATATCTAGTGTGCAGTCGGTGTCGTCCAGGTCACAAAGAACGGCTGTTACAGTCACGAGACCCGTAATAAAACCGGTTGCCGCTGAGATATTTTCCGGATGAAGCACAGCAGATTTTTGAGCCTGGTGCCAAGTTAGCAACGACTTCATCATTGTAATATAAATTCATTTTTTATTTTTTGGGGCGTCGATCAACTGCAGAGGGATTGATATGATGAACCCGATGAAACCTCTACTTTACAGTCCAGATTTTTAAAAGAATCATTGTCACAATTCATTGTTGAGCTCTCTTGATAACGAATACCCATCGCTGAGTAATCGAGTAATCAAACAGTTGCTCGAATTTTCAACCAGTTACCATCTTTAATTAAAACGAAGCAAATAAATTGACTGTGAGTCGCTGCAAAGCTAGGTGTTGCAAATCCTTTATTTGATGCCTCGCTTGCAATCATGTATTGGAAACGAAACAGCAGCAAAATTCTCACTGGAGTTAATTGTATTTGTACATGATTGACATGTACATGTTTTTTATGTGAGATGTGCGCCTTTTTACGCATAATGGGTTGTTATTATTTTATGTTTCACCCGTTTCAATTTTTGGTTGGCACATCATTTGGTTTTTAAGTGTATCTTATTTTCTAAAAGCATAGTGATTGCCCGACATCACGCAAATATATGTTATTATTTTCTTTTCCACTCATTTCAATTTTTGCCGCGAGTAAATTTTATTTAATTTTACCGGTCCGCCAGGATAGAATGGTTGGGAACCCCTGATCTATAGTCTTTTATTTGCTTGGATGATAAGATTTCCTTTAGTTTATTTTAATAATTATTATCGTTTAGGCTTTGCGTGATAAGGAGCAGTAGAAAGAGAAGTTGTTGAAGAAAATTAAGGACAAAGAATTAAAAAAGAAGAATTCCCTCATAAGATTAGAAAATTTCTGGTTCCAAATTGCTTTCGTTCCGGCCAATCTAATAAACTACGTCGACTTGAGGTGAAACTTCATGATATTCAAGAAAAAAATCGATTGTTTGCATGAATTGTTACCCTTATATAAAATTTTTCTCAATAAACTTGAAGAGGAAATGTACGAAAAGAAAAATAAGCTTTACAGTAATAAATGCTTTATAACTGACTCTATGGTTTTGTAGGATTTACGTATTTCTTTGTGCTTTTAAATATAGTCATTTATTAGTATAAAAGTCGGTGGGTGGTTTTAAAATGATTACAAAATACGAGTTATCTCGGCTGAATCTATGGAAAAGCCGAAATCTTAATGTAGAATAGATTCGGAATGTTGACATTCAGTGTTATGTTGTATAAATTGTAGATATTGGGAAAGATCCAATTGCAATGTACGAGTCTACACAGAATACAGGGAATATCATTGTCTTTTGTTGATTTAATATTCATATGTTTTAAGTTACTAATTGCATTTTTATCATTAGTACCACTGTGTTTGGTCTTGACAAAATAAACTTCCTACAACTTCCTAATATTGCGACTTACAAAATCGGCTACTCGCTGAGAATTATATACTTAACATTCGAATGACGTTTTTGGAGCTTATTGTCGAGTCAACTACGTCATTGTTTGCATTTTAATATACTTGAGCATGTGGAATGTGAGGCTTGAATAAAAGGCAACCTCAAACAGACCATCAATTTTTTCATTACACTCTTATTGTTTAAATATCAGTCGTCTCGCTACTAAACGTTACGTGAGAGAATAATATACAGTCTGTTTGCGACTACCTTTATTGAAAGTGCGCAAGAAATTTTAAGATAGAATACCTGATCTTGAAAATAGTGGCGTCTCTTATCTAGTTTCTTAATAGAAAAAAATATATATATATATATGTGGAGATATTTCATAGATTACTAATTTAACGAACTTGGCATCCATACGCGCTAAAACACCGCGTCTTATCTTAGGTATAGTTCAGTAAGAACTTCACTACTTGAAGATGAAAGAAGTTACTAAAATTCTGTTATATACTTATTATTTGATGACCGATATTTCTCGTACAATAATTTTTTTTATTTTTTTATTTTAGAGGAATACAGTTATATGAAATCATGTACAAAGCTTTGATTTGTGCGCTCACGCGATAATGTAACAGTATTATACAGAACACACACACACACACATATATATATATATATAAATGAACAAAATTATTAAAAGTGATATGTTTGAGCGTTTAAAGGAAATTACGAATTAATTGAATAATTATTCTTGGGACAATTCAACAAGGCAATACACGATTTTGCATGTATAACAACGCACGTAGTTTCTTTACATGTTCGTTACGGCATACAATTTTACAATAAAGAATGTACAATTAAAATAGTTACTAATATAGATTTTCTCAGGCAGTGGCGTTTCTAAATCACACCAATAAAAATAGAATTATCCCTTATTCAAGCTCTCAGAGTAAAGAGTTTATTCATAAATAAACATTTCATAAAACGACCACGAGTATATATATATTCCGACAAGAGCAATGCGTGAAAGATGACAAAAACCACGATTCAGTTGCCATGCAGTCCAGGCTGGCCACTGGAAATGTAAATAGTTGGTATTTCCAAATGTGTATACAGTCAAGTCATCAAGATAAAATGTGTTTTTTTGACCAAATCGTGAATGTCTGTTCATGGTTTATTGACACCACCCATATTGCGCCAATAAACTGCCATCGATTTCTTTTTCATAAACCACCAACGATATTCTCTAATTTGTCGATAATGTAATTCATCACGCAGAAGAGTCAAAATCTATGCCGGTGTTTGATCATAATTTTCCATAACTTCTTCTAACATTTTAGAGCTGACAGAATCACCTGTAAAATATAAAAATTTACTCGTTTTAGTTGAAGCATCAAATTATAAAAGCTTTATAAAACAGAACAAGCGAGTAATGCTCAAATACGTGGACACGGAAATTACGCGGGGAAATGGGGCCGGCGAGGATTTAGATTACAACCTATTTTGTAGAATAGGTCGGCGGACCAGCACAAACAAATGAAAAATTTTCTTACGTCATAAAAGTGTTCGTTTGAATTGAAACAAAATATCATTATTTTAGCTGGAATATCGAGCCCTATAGAGTAAATTCCAACTTTGAGTATATACTGAAATTTGGACCGATTGGTCTATTAGCTTTGGAGAAAATCTTTTACAACAATAACATCACCAAGACCTTACCAGCCGAATCAGTCCAGTAGCGTAACATCTGTAATTTTTGATTTCGGGTGATGTTCTCCTGATCTCCGATAATTTGTTCCCTTATTTGTAATGGTATATTCAAACCATGCCCTGAGCTTGCAAACCCGATCCACTCGTGAAACGAGCCATAATGAGAAGCCGCTTCTTCGTAAGTTCTTTCCAACAGCAAACGTTCGGTATTGTCGGAGGTTGGATTTTCATCAAAATAGGCTTCAATGATTCGTGATAGTGCTTCGCCAGTTGCGTTGTTTCCTACCAATAAAAAGAAAACGAGTCTATTAGAAAGTGAATTCAAGAACGAGATAGTTGAAATCTTTTACTCCAAAGTTAATTTTCGATATCGCGTACCGATCGAATATTATAAAAAAAAAAAATACCAAAAAAAAAACTACTAACTATGAAAATGACATACGCGATAAATTGTTCAGTAAACAAATAAAATTGACATACAAATGGACATAAAGGTAGGAGATTGATAAATTTAGATCATACCATTTTTTTCTTTCCATGCCATAACCATAGCTCTTATTTTATCGTTTATTTTCCGATTTTCTTCATCCATGTGGTCCACTTCTGACATATCCAAAGATAAGCCTCTGCTCGAAAGTGCAAAATTTTTGAATTTTCCAGCAGAAAAGCGTGTTGGAATTTCATTCAAAACATCTTCGATGCGCTTCTTGGGACGCGAAAAACCTAGAAAACAAAAATATATATTACTTTTACATTGAACCAATAGAGCAGATTAAGCGCTCGACAATATCGACCAAGGAATTTCGACATTTCCTTTTGATAAAAATATCATGAAAGAAATGCGATCATCGCCCAAACAAAACACCAAATGTACCAAATAAACATACGCAATTATTGTAAACTTCGATAAAAGCGTTAGAATTTATAACAAAAAATTAACCACAGCAGAATTTGGTCGAGATGAAATTTCGTTTTATATAACTCTGTAAATATATTTACAACAAGTTTATTACTCCAACTTACTTTTATCTAGTGTGGCCTCTACATTATGTTCAAAACATCCAAATCCATTTTCAGCTTGTGTGTTATTTAGCATGATGTCATATTCAATTTTCAGAGTGCATGGTTTCCGGACAGGTCCGTCATGTTCCAGATAATACGTCAAGTGGGGAAGTCCAAGTTTCCTCATTTTAAGATTTAGCTGAAAGCTTAGTTTATGGCGAAATCGAAAAGAGAAACCTTCATCAGGCCGTAGGATTTCTAATTTGACTTCAATCTCATCTCCAAATTTTGCAAACACCGTGTTAAATGAACATAGACTTTTATATCCTTCATATTTAAGATTTTCAATTGCTTCGCTTCTAGTGGCCTTTGTGTCAAGAAAAAACCACACGCACCAAATATTTTTGTTGAAACAAATCACACCGCTTATAGGTAAACTGACTTTGTGTCCAAAAAGCATCTTGATTGCAAGTGAAATTCTACTGAAACTTTGACATTGGAATACCACGTCGGTTTCGTCCGAAAACGGCATGGTTTCCACAGTTGTCCACGAATCGCTTTCGTCTTCCAAGTGAAGCACTTCTAAAATAACCTCATCCTCTTTATCGTCTTTGGAGACCCATGGATTTACGCGGATATTTAAAGGTTTCCATAATTCAGCGTTGATTGAAACGTTTACTGTTGATGAAATGATTAGATAGGCATCTGGATACTCGGGGGGCAAATTTGTCATTTCCAACTGTACCTGCAATAATCAGTTGTACTTCGTAATTGGTCCTTTCCGCACGCCACAGGCCGTATAACACGGTCTCTAAAAAACCTCATAACAAAATGAAAAAATATATATTTATTTAAAAACCTAGCCCTTTGTAAAGCACTTCCATTTTTACTCCAAACATTCAGAGTCAAAAATAAAAGCAATTGAACTTTCCTACAACAAAATGAACCAAAACAAACAATTCGCAGCTCAAATTGGCGTCCAATTAAACACCGTGAGTGTAAACATTCGCTGGACGTCTTTCAGACGTAGCCTAAATCATAAAATTTAGAAAATCTACCTTGGTTTTGTCTGTCAATGAACCCTTTGGAAAATCAAAGTTAAAATCGTGCAACGAAACACAGCCACCTTCTGGTGGTATTTCTTTCTCTGTATAAAAAGGAGAGGAAAATTAAACGCATTGAATGACGATGTAAAATATGAATTGAATAATTATTTCGGGGGAGCGGAATGACGAACCACGGACTCTCGTTTGGTTACTAGTTCATGTCTGGTATGGGGTCAGTTAAGCAGTTATTTGATTTCAGATACATGGACTTTATAAACATTCCCATAGAATTCTGTTCTTAATCTTAGGTAAAATTACTAAAATGACGAAACTGCTGAAATATCATAACAAAGTAGCACCCATTGCGTTTTACAAAAAGTTGAAAATACTTACGGATAGCGTCGTACCAATTACTTTGAGTAACAATGAATTTTTCAGGGCCTGTCTGTATTTTGAGACTCTGACGAAAACAAATTAAAAGATTTGTTAGTATTGTATAGGTATTACGGCGATGGGATATATGTCACAATTGAAGTTCAATACTTGTATGATAAAATTGCTGTGGTAAAAGGAACTAACATATTTTTGAAGATCGTTCAGCATTTTCTGCAATAACGTAATTCCATTGTTGTTCAATCGCCATCCCCTGAGGTCCATATTATTTGATGTATACATAAGAAGCCCGGTAATGGAATGAATGTATTCTTCAGTTGCAATTTTTTCACCTTCGTCGATATTGAGTGCAAAATTTTGTACCTAAATAATAGGGTCATATAACAGTTTCGATATATTGAACAGATTCTGATAATACTCCGTATAGATCCCAATATATTCAAACATTTGTTTACAAATGAGTGTGTATTCGAGTCCGATTCTGATTAATATAGAAGAAGATAAAAAACACTACCTTGCTGAATTTATTGATAGCACGTATACATCTCTGAAGTGTGTCGAGGAGAATTGGTGAGACAGGACAATCAGTGAGAGCCAGTTGTTCAAGCTCCACACGATAACTTATGATGGTGGCAATGGAGCACATATCTGCACTGTTGAGAATCCATGATCCGAAACGACACAATTTTATCTTGTCAATGTTCAAGTAGACGATAGGCTTGATTTCTCTGCCGCATTCACATATGGTGTGGAATAAATTTAGCTGATTGCCGAGCTCAAAGATATCTTCAAGCTCTAGTAGCCAGGATGTCAGCCTACGTTTTATCAGAGTGCATTTGCGATCTTTGTCATTCCTAAGCTGGGTTAATCGAACTGTGTCTGTAAAAATATTGCATTCTTTAAAATATTGTATTTTACATTTATGCTATAGAAAATTATAACATAAATACATACTTTACTCGGTAAAATTTTCTCGATAATACCCGCTTTTGGATAGAAAATTTTGACAAACTGCTGTTTCAATAACGCAAAATTGAAAAATCGGTGTCAAAAGCGCGTCGTTTTCTCAAAAATGCCATCAAATTTAATTCCTGTGATACATGTATCAGGAGTACAAAAGAAGATAAATTACGAGAAACTGAAATTTAGATTTGAATGAAAAGTCACTCACTCATAGCATAACAATTGAGGCTTTCTTCAAATATTTTTTCGTCCATGATGCATCCTCCAACATATCTTGCAATTGGCGAATAACGATTACTACTAAAAAAATTTTCTACAAATTTTGAGAACTTTTCCCATTCGAGCTCAGCAATGAATAATCCAAAAAGGACATCAATTAAAACTGGATGGATGAATTGCAAATCTTTTTCTCCGGGTGAGCTGCTTTCAACCTCTATGATCAACGCAATGCCATCCAAAACAAACCAATTGCTTAGTAGAACAGTAGATGTAAGTCCTGTCGCATGGAGTTGCTCTGAGGTGATGTCAGAAGTTTTCTTCCTTTTTATGTGAAAAGCTAAAAACTTCAATTTTTCTAATGTAATGGCGATGTTTCCTGAATCCACATCTTTAGATTTCTCAATAATGCGATTCAACATTTTAATCACCACACCCGACATGCTTTTTGGCAGAAACTCAGGATCGTCACAATTTTTGATGCTTGCCAATGTTAAAATTAGCATCGTAGGGTTTTCACATAAAGTCATCAAATAGGGTGATACGCTCTTGAGATATACAAAAGACTCGTTAAAACGCTCTTCTCCAAGATATTTTGACGCAAGTCTATTTATCGATGCTGGTGACAATCCGGACACAAGAATAGTCTTTTCAACGGGTAGCCTTTCGTCTCCATCAACTTGTTCTTCAAATTTTTTTGCTTCGCACGTGGTGAGTACTGCACAGGAAATGAATAAATTTCCCTCTATCAAATTGCGTAGGATAGTACCAGGAGTTGCGCGATCATAATGCCCTACTGTATTGTCTTCTTTAATAGGATAACGAAGTGATTCCAGAGAGTCCACCACGAATGTAAGTTTCGTGGGATTGTTTTTCATCCACTCATATCCCTCTCGTTTTTCACCAAGTGTTACTGATTCTTCGCCGAAGTCGCCAAAAAGAAACTCGGGTACTGTGATTTCCTCGTTTGCATCAAAGCGGTGGCAGTTTATGACATGTAAAACATGTTCATTTTCAATTTGAGGAATGCGACCTGCGTATGCTTCACCAATGAACCTGGCTAGTACGGTTGTTTTACCCGACCCCTTGGATCCGATGATACAAACATGTTCACATGTTTTAGAAAATGATCCTACTATTTCCCTTTCTTCAAAAAAATCTTGGAATTCAATTGATTTGCTATTGTTTGTTTTCAAGTCTATAGTTCTCAATAAAACATTTTCTTTTGTTGTAAGTTTTTCCAAGGGTTTGCATTTCACCTTGTTTTTCATTTCTTGCGCATTTCTTTTAATGCATTCCCGCAGTCGAGATGGAAAAGGTTGAATTCCTTCTGATTTCGAAGATCTAAGAAGTCGTTGCATACTGCAGTGGGCATCAAAATATTGCAAGCAATTTATTTGAATAAGTGTATAGTGATGTATAAATAATTACACTATCTGAAATTTGTTTGATTTTGGTTTTTAATTTTTTTTTTTTTTTCTAAAATAATACTTTATATTTTATTGGGATGCATACATGTTTGCATGGTGCATGTATAGAGCTCGACTCAGTTTATCACGGACGTAACAAGGATGACTTAGTCTAATAATTTCACTTGTAATTTGATTTTCTGTGCCAACCAATGACTTTATAAAATATAAAAAAAAAGGAAACCACTTGATCACAATTCATTCTGTTATTTCCTGCAGCATGTATCTATAACATTTTTATTTAAACTTCAGATGTCAAATGTAAATTTAGTTGAATACATAGTTGAAATCGTTAGTTAGTTGAATAGCGATCCAAAGCTAACTTGTCCAACGTTGCAAGTGTTGCGATTTGAGATACAGCTTTTTATTATATATATAATCATTTTTGCAAAAATGTCAAAGCTTTTCGCCCGCTGATGACTGGTTTCATTACCTAATCAAAGGCCCAGATGACGTGGCAAAACAGTAGAGTCAAAGAGCAAATTGCTTGTGACATATAAAATGCGTATAGTGTCGAGTGATTGGCGGGCTACTTTCAAGTGTGCATATAAGACAACAATTGAAGGAAATCCCCTCTCACAAACAGTGCAATTAATGTATGGAATGTTAGGTCAATTCAACTAATAGTAAGAGTGGAAACGGCTAATTAAATTGACTCATATTATACAGAAATCTAAACGTCAAATACGCTTGAAACCTGATTGACTTCAATGACCCTTCCTATTACAATTTATCAATTCAATTGGTATTTTGATTTGGTATTGTCTGAGATAAATCAAAGTATTATTAGTTTATTGTCTTGAAATAATCCCATAGACAGAATATTGTCTTGCTCCTAGTACTGTAAGCTCAAATCTTATAATTCTTATATTAAACGCTGGTACGCCTTTATATCACTTATTTATGGTCTGTTATTCTTAACGATATCATATCCCTTTAAAAATTTTAAATTTATTTCAGTACTGTCATTCCTTAGCTCATCGCACATGCATTTCATTGATACAAATTGTAATAAGGGTTTTCTCTTACAACACGCAAACCAAGTGGGTGTTAAAAAGTTGTTTCGCAAAAGCAAAGGCGAACTGCATGTCTCTCATCTATTTCTGGATGAGACTGACCTCCTGAGATGGATGCCCTCTAATATAAAACTAGCTTAAAGAAGAAGTGGAAACCGTGGAAACCACCTTATCAAACAAAACAGTTTTTGTTCTCATATTATGACCTTTGGGGTTGATGTTTATTATACGCCATTTCATTGCAGCTTTGAAGTGACTGTCCCACCCACTACGTGGCACAATGCATTCTCTATCCTAACTAAATTCCCCAATTGATAGGAAACCTATTGTTTTTCAGCCTCCAAACACAATTGTTTTATGTAACACCAAAATCTGCGCAGTTTCGTACTTTGATATTTCGACAATTTAATTTCCTATTCAAGTGAATGTATGATGTGGCGCCTTCATTTCGCAAATTTTGTTCGCATATCTTTGTTTTGCTTTGGTAAACTTCTAATGGAAAATGTAATCTGATCTTGATTGACATATATTTGGGCGTGAAAAATTGATGACTAGCAGAGGCATATATATGACCACTGTGAAGCTAGTAGCAAACCTTCTTCTAATTTTGCGCAGAGGTGCGTATAATCTCGTTTTTGTGCACATTGAAGGATGATATGACAGTTTTGTGCTTATTGAAGGGTTGTTACCTAAGACATGGGCGAGTCCTAAATTCCACACAGAGAACAATGATTAAGTTTATAGACAGGCTGTGGAAGAAATACATCACGATAAGCAGTAAATTCAAATATATTTGACGGCAACTTAGGATACAGCGTGGTGAGCATCCCGGCGGTTCGATCGCCTATGCAGTTTCATTTGTCATAGTACGTTGTCGAAATTAAATATACTCGGCTGATAAAATTGACCAGGACAAATATGTTGACAAAAAATGTTAGATTACGTATTCATATAAGCTTGAAAATATAACGAAACGAGTGTTCCATGTCACCTGCATAGGTTTCGGTAATACTTTATGCTAATTAAAAGCTAAGTTATGTTCAATTTATGTGACATTTCTTGTAAATAGTTCTCATGCCTGCAAACATTTATACAGAGGTGCAAGATGGTACGCGAACCAAGAGAAATAAGCAATATCAACCGAGCCATTGAGTTGAGGTCCAAATCGTCTGACCAACTCGATTTACATTATTAAACACTGTGATACCGATGAAAATTTCTATGATGCCAATTCCGTGATGCTTTATGCGCGCTGCTTATTTTGCTAAAGTGTTAATTCAACCAAGAGCCCCGAGCATTTTTGTATAACTTTAAAAATATATCAAAACCAGCCTAGTAATTAAACATTTCGTAGCCGTATAAGTGTTTTACATCGTTTCAAACTGTGTATTGTATTACGTAACAAACGTTAAACTTCATTATAATATGTTTTAGTAATTTAAGAAGTTTCACATGCATTTTGTAGTATATAGCAAATTCTTCAACACATGCAATAAACAGAAGGTAAAAATTGTTTTGTTTCAATATGTCTCACTGGCGCTGAAATCAGAAGTCAGGCTATTAAATGTCGTATATTATCGTTATATCGTAATTTGGATATTTTGAAGATCAGCATAACGTCTCTTCTATATTAGTGGCGCGAAATATTAATTTTTTATTCAAGAGATGACAAATTTTCAGAATTATGTGAAATCGTGTCTTTAATACACGATAATTTTATAAAAATGGTACAAACAAAATTAAAAAATTGTGCATTTTACAAAAGTCAAAAAAGCTAATTTTGGCAACTTTCAAATCCCAGCAGCACACTCTCCCACAAGAGGCATCCGATTTGATTATTTATTATTAAATATGTTTATCTGAAGTTTTTCACACAATTCGAACCTAAGCTTTGTTTTTTTTTAGAATCTAGGGTATTCTCGAAGGGAAAATGGCCTAATTTGGAAAAATTACGTATAGCGAAAAAAGCTAATTTGGTCAATTTTAAAGCCCAGCAGCAAACCCTTTTGCACAAGAGGCATTCGATTTGATTATTTTATGCCACTGAATTGACTAGTGTTTTGTCTAGTTGAGGCAACTAGCAAAATTGAAAGATGTGTAGGCAGTCTGAATATTTATCTGGCTGTTCATCTTTTTAGTCGGAAATATATGCCAACAAAATAGGCTTCATAGAAAACTGAAAATCGAATAAGGAATCTATTAGCCTAGGTTGGCTATGCCTGATAATTAAATATTAATGTTATGGCCGAAAAATTCAATTTCCGCCGTGTGTTTTTTTTTTGTAACCAGCCTAAACAGTATTACAAAAAATGCTGCCTATATGTCAGAAAATTGAGTAATTACCCTCCTGTATCTCAAATTTGGTACAATTCGGTAATCAATCAATCTGCAGTTACGTGTAAGTTATTTTGTAAACATGAGTTTAAAAATAAAGCTGACCAATTCAAACATATTTTTGAATGGGTGTGGGATTGAAAATACCGACATGCTTGCTTGATATGTCTGCTTGTTGTGTCGGTGACAATTTAATACGGCAGTTTCTGTTTTTAAGACTTTCTCCGTTATGAAAAGTTTGAAATCTTACACTAAATGTAGATATAGTAAGATTTTTGCACGTTTTAGTGAGGTTTTTTGTGGTTTTTGCATGCTTTAGCTTAAAAAAAGTCAAATAATGATCAATGTATTTGACAATAAAAGTGTTTGTTTTGTATTGCACTGTTCCCATATTCTTGGCACTATTGTGGCCCGCGAACAATACAAAAATAATAGTGTGGCCCGCGAGGTCGACAACCTTGGACCACCCTGATCTAGGGTATTCTCATAGCGAAAATGGCCTTATTTGGAAAAAATTAAGTATATCGAAAGAATTTAATCTATTCAATCAATTTTTAAGATTAAGCAGTAAACATGAAATTTCACACTTTTCAAATCCCCAAACTATGTCAACGAGAGTAAGGCATAATTGTTTAATATTAATAATGTATAATATATACATAACTTTCATAATGATTGAATTGCTGGCAAAAATTGGTCCTATGTGTAATCAATTGATGTAAATACCATATTCGAAGTTCAATAGATTAAATCAGGGGTCGGCAATTTACGGCCCGCGTAGTAATATAATCCATACCGCGACACTTAACTGAATATCGCCTTATATCGGAATATCTTGCCCGTGGAATATATATATATATCATATACTCATACTGTCACATTTATATTTAACTGGCGTTTGTATAGGTCTATATTACAGTATTTATAGCTTATCTACCAACACACGATGTGTATTACTCGACAAGATTAAAACTCTCTGTGACTTTCTAAGAAGACAACCCGTGTCATTGAATATAATATACTAATGTATCGGTAATGAATATAGAAATGAATATTACACAATACAATTCCCGCATTTGCAAAACCTGATCCAGTATTTTGGCATAGATTGCTGATGTACAAAAAATTACGTAAGATCAAAATCACATTAGAATTAAATTCTGAGGAGTGAATAACCGAATCTAACACATCTTTTACCACGTTTTGAATCAGATAAATCAAATAGGAAATAAGGGACTACATTTAGCCGATATTGATACGAATGCCGCCGATATTGCCGGTACCGACATATCGATACATCTAAATATAGTTCAAAATTACCTTTTTCTGCTAGACGTAATTTTTCCGATCAAGTTCCTTTTTGGTTTCGAGAATACCTTAGGAGGCTTAGATTCTAAAATGAAAAAGGCTTAAGTTCGAGTTGTGTGAAAAACTTCAGATAAACCTCTTCAACATGAAATACTCAAATCAAATGCCTCTTGTGCAGAAGGGTGTGCTGCTAGACTTTAAAATTTGGCTAAATCAGCTCTTTTCGCTATAAGTAATTTTTTAAAAATAGACCTTTTTCACTTCGAGAATACCCTAGATTCTAATAAAAACAAGGCTTAGGTTCGAGTTGTGTGAAAAACTTTATATAAACTTTTATAATAATACATAATCAAATCGGATGCCTCTTGGGCGAAAGGGTGTGCTGCTAAGCTTTGAAATTTGACTAAATTAGCTTTTTTTCGCTAAACGTAATATTTACGAATAAGGCCATTTTCACTTCGAGAATACCCTAGGTTCTAATAAAAACAAGGCTTAGGTTCGAGTTGTGTGAAAAACTTTATATAAACTTTTATAATAATAAATAATCAAATCGGATGCCTCTTGGGCGGAAGGATGTGCTGCTAGGCTTTGAAATTTGGCTAAATCAGCTTTTTTCGCTATACGTAATTTTTCTAAATAAGGCCATTTTGGCTTCGGGAATACCCTAGATTCTAAAAAAACAAGGCTTAGGTTCGAATTGTGTAAAAAACTTCAGATAAACATCTTTAATAATAAATAATCAAATCGGATGCCTCTTGGGCGGAAGGATGTGCTGCTAGGCTTTGAAATTTGGCTAAATCAGCTTTTTTCGCTATACGTAATTTTTCTAAATAAGGCCATTTTCGCTTCGAGAATACCCTAGATTCTAAAAAAAACAAGGCTTAGGTTCGAATTGTGTGAAAAACTTCAGATAAACATCTTTAATAATAAATAATCAAATCTTTAATTCAGGAATTGCTCATCTGCTATTTCGAAGGAAGTAATATAAAATTCGTGTCATTCTTATTGTATTTTTCATTGTTTATCGAGTAATTTATTGTTTGTTTTTGCTTTGTAGATGCTAATTATCCTAAATGATTAGTATCTTTCCATTGATCGTATGCTAATTTCGTTTTTCTTCATTTTTTCGGATGTAAATTATGACACGCCACCATTTCTGCTGTCAATATTCATCTTTCCGCTTCGCCGCCCACAAAGGTCAAATTGCTACTAGCTTCACAGTGGTCGGTCTTATATCGCGGTCGCAAACTGACACTAGTGCAACCCAATATTAAAATCAAACTAGTGTTGGCTAATAATAAGTGAAGTACCATATACATATTTACAATGTTTTAGGAATATTTTGCTGTCCCTTGTAATGCTTTTTAATTAAACTAGAGAATCAGCATTATCACATTCCTGGTTTATACTGTGAATTGACAAGATGAACCCTTTTTTAAATTAAATTTTTTTCCCTTTATTTATGTAGGAAATAAAAGACTTTTTTATTTGATGTCGGTTCACACGCAACACAAACAGAAGGTTGTGGTCCATAGCCATTGTTGTGACGATCGTCCATTTTACGATATAATCTAGTTCTCAAAAAACACAATTTGAACCTCTTGTTTGTCGTTATTTGATTGTCTATGTCATACAGTCTTTTGTGAGGAGCTTGACATATTTTTTAACACTTCACTCTGTTAATATTATCATATGGTGTACATCAATGTCATACAATACTAACGTCGATCGTCACCTTAGTTCATAAAAGGGCTGATTTGTTGGTTTTACAATTTATAATTCTATTGCTATTTATTTGAAGTATTTAATTCTCGTTAATACTTCATTGGGTGACTGCGTGGAGTGGCAAACTTTTCTACTGCCCGGTGCGAGTTTCTGATAATGATGCCGCTATATATACCTAACTTCAAAAATAATTCGGGTGATAAACAAATTATAGATGTTGTTATACATACGAATGATTGAATTGAAGGCCAAGTAAGAGTGAAACCTTGTGTATTTTGGGTTTAGGTATCGAAAACGTAAACTATATTTACCCTAAGTACTGTGTGTATGATGTGCAAAGGAAGTAGGCTACCGTATGCGTAGAGCCGTAGACATTTGCTCTGTACAGTGTACATACTATTGGGCGCCGATTCATTCGCTGAAACTGAACTTGTACAATGTATCAGTGACAGAAGCATTTGAGTGTCCTTCCACATGTTCATTTTGAACTAAGCTCTGCACAAGCAACTACACAAAATCACAGGAGTTTTCACACGAGTAATCGCTGTGAAATAGGATTGTATAGAAATACTAAAATAATGCTACATAAAAAACCTACTGAAAGATAGGGCGGAGTTCATACAAATATTTGCTGGGAAATTAAACTCTGCAAGGAACCATCAAAAAGTAAATTATTGTTTATCCCCCCTCTCTTTAACAGGTTTTATAGAGGGAACTTTGAGAAAAGTAGTTGGTTCATTAGCAGTAAATTACATTACTGGTGAATATATCGTTATTTGCCAGAAACGGAGTGAAGATGATTCAACCAAATACTTCTTAGTCGATCCCTGGGCAATATTTGGTTCAGATAAACACAATTTTAGTAGTTTTTAGTATTATCTTACGGATTATAATTAGGGGAGAATGTGTACATTAGGCCTACTATATCAGTTGTGATTACAGTGCCTACGCAGGTCCAGCATATGTAAGAGTGAACGATGAACAAATTGACAACTCTGTTTCTCATTAGGTTCCTGATTGACAAATCCGTTTATTATTACAATCCTGACTTTCCGCATTTATATGACAAAATTTGACACTCAACTAGGCAAAGATCGTCAAATTGAGGAACTAGTATATGTTTTATACTATGAGAGATAAGTTCCATTGCCTTGTCTTAAAAACACACAATGATTGCAGCCATAACAAAGTTTTTTTTTTAATTGAATTATATATTGCAATTAGTTACTTGTTACGACTACAGGAATGGTCAAAAGTTAATAATCTATAACAAAATATTACAAAGACACAACCATGATGAAAAAATTATGTCTGAATCACATTTATTAAAAGAAACTCATTCGCATAACTACACGGTATATTTGATCAGATAAGATGGGTATGCTCCAGCATCAACAAATATTACAAAAATTGTGGGATTAGTTGTGTCATTTACAACACAATTATACATTTCTGCACTACTTGATATACGTTCAGCAGATTTCATTCCACGGGTTCCTTTCTGATATTCTCCAGTGATGACATTAGCGACAATAATTGTTCTTTCGTTATTCTTCTCTGGTGTAGCATACTTTGTATTATTAGAATATGACGCATTTTTTGCAAAGTATACGCCATTCCCAAATGCAACATCTAAAATGAAAAAGAAATAAGTTAAAAAGTAATGGTATTCTCTGCATAGCAACAATGGTATCTAGCAATGGCATCTAGTTTAACTAGTAGATAACAACCGTCGCACGTTCTTTTGCACAGTGCCAATGAATAAAATATCATTTTAAAAGCGACCAATAAACAAACTAAAAGTAACCAGTAAATAACTGCTTTCAACCAGTTTTCATTTTTCATATCTTATTTATAGTACATGGTTCTAATTGCGGAAGGTAAGTGTGTCGACTCGGCGTGGGTTCACAGGTTTGAATCCCATGAGAGGTTAATAATATGCAAGAAGAATGCTGGACTCCCCACTGTCGTAGGGTGGTTACGTTATGCGAGAAGAATGCTGGACTCCTCACTGTCGTAGGGTGGTTCACGTAACCGCTGGTCGGTTATGGCTTCCTCCACTATCAAATCCATACATATACAAACAAAAATCTGGCTAACTAATCCCATATCCGACAAGGATAGATAATCGGAGCCGAGACAGTGATTTGCAATATGATTAAGCCATCTTATCGGCTTTCCACTCTCTGTGATAATATGTGAATCCTATCCTGAGTGTCTAATTGTCAAAGTGATCAAATTTGGGTTTGTTTATGCTTTTTCGTTAAAAAACTTTATAAGTCCGTAGTTTTCCATGATTTTGTGGTCTACTATCCTAGAATCAATTTGCAATATTTTATGAGCAGGTTTAATTTGAAAAATATAACTGAATTTTTATCCCATAAATCATGGTATTGTTACACCGGTAAAAATCAAAGTAGTATGAACCTGTGAGCTGTGGCAACATTTACTCACTCACACCTTCACACATGGAAATTTTTTTAATCTTGTTTGAAAAATGCAAGAAAAATATTTCAATAACATACACACCATTCGCAGAACCACAATATCCACGGTCAAAGCCATCTGTTGTAATTTTATTTGCAATGTCTGCTTTAGTTCCATGAAATAATTTCATTTCAATATTTTTACCAGGGTACAACTTTGCCACTCGTCTTTTTTCCTGTTGATATCTATTGTATAGACGTTTGTTTTGTATTCGGTGTATCTGAAAATGTATTATGTAATGGAGTAGAAATATTATTGAATCTAAAACATTCACATATTCAAATTTGCTTTGATATAATGCTTAGCTGATTATATTTTAACGGTTTCCGTACATTTGAATCCACGACAATTGCACCTGCATACTATCGCACCTATGGAAATGTTTTTGGTTTGCGGATATTTGAACCCATACTAACCCTAACCCATGGGTTTTAGTACCCGCATATAGATTGAACCCGCAGATATATACATGGGTTCAAATGTATGTGGGTTCAAATGTACGGCCACCTATTTTAACAACTTCCTAAAGAGATCTACTACGGTAATTAAATATTATTTCCAAACATAATAAACTATGGGCAGGGGTGGCAACCTTTTTCGGTCTGTGGGCAAAAATCCACTATATTCAATGACAAAATCTTTTCGCGGGCATTTGAGAGAACATACTATTGAGGTAGGTTCAAAGGTATATGTAAAGAGACTCACAGAAATGATAAAACTTCCTCTAAACAATGAAAAGATGAACAAACCAAAATTGAATTTATTCATTTTGAAAACAATGCGTTTCCCTTTTCAAAGCAAATGTTAAGTTACTTTTTATTGACATTTATCACTGGTTGATAACCGACATTGCTTTTTCACATTTCCCATCATGCTAAAATGCCATTTTTATGTTTTTTTTTCCATTTCATCAAAATACGAGATCAGTTCGATTTATTCTAATATAAGATATTTTTTATTTTCTTTCTATTATTACAAAGTTTCTTATATTAAATATAATTCACCGAGTTTATATTAAAGTTGCTGAGAGTTTTGCCTAAGTTTTCCTCAATTTCACGAAATTCTGCACAGGATGAATTGAGTTGTACATCTTTCAAATTTTCAATCTCTGACATCTTTTCCCAATGAGATGGAATCTCTGTGAAATACATAATCAACATCAATCATCATTTGTAAAAAATGCATGTTTCATATTTACTAAAGGAAAGAATAATTGTATCATCATGCACTGAGCATGCACATTATTACCTTCCTTTATGTCTCTTTCAACTTTGTATACAAAACTTTTTCCGGAAATCTTCATAGCTTTGAAATCAATTGAACAGTCTTGCCTGACACCATTGATTAATATTTTGATCTTGGTGTTGTTCGACTTCTTAAAATTTTGCAGAGATACCAATTAGGTTTGTCACACAATAAAGGGTCAGCAATGCTAGTAAGTACCGTAAGACTCAAGAATAATAAATGAAAATTAGCAAATATCTAATTAACATGCATGTTGTAATGTGAGTTATGTAAGTTAATTACTGTCAGAAGTAAAAAAGACGGCCATTTCCTAAATATACCATATTCCTACAGTGGCGTATCTAGGGTGTGGCAGCCATGGCCCTGTGACAGGGGCGCAAAAACGTTGAAAATTTTATTCGAAAAATATTTTAATAAAATAATTTCAAATGGAAAATAACTGAAACTCGTATTTTTACTCAAATAATAATGTACAAATATCTCATTTCAATAACAGTAATTATAAATTGTCAACCAACATTCAAGGGCAGCGCATTTTCAAACTTTGCCATTGGTACCATTTTAGGTGGATATACCAATGTATAAGAATACTTCAGATTGTGAAAGTTTGTTACTTTTTTTGCTTTTTCTATAACTACGCTTGACTGTGCATCAAAATCAATCCATTTTTTCTCCTGTACATTATAGTATTTCCATGTATACATTGCATGTTCTGCTACTATATCAGCCACCTTGAAGTCGTCTTGAAGTTTTAGAATTTGTTGACTTACAGTAGCAACGTCAACTTTCAAACCTTTTAGTGAGATTTTATCATCAAGTCTGGTATAAAACAATGTTATTTAAAAACTCACCGGTGTTTCTTTGTGAATCTATTTTATAACATGAAGAAAATAGTAAATTATTTCAAATGTAAAACATTGCTATTAAATTGGAATATACAAATGCCATGATATTCAATTGTAATCGAAGAATTTGTATTGGCTATTTGTTCCTTCTATTGTTAAAATGAAAAGAGCAATCTGATCTTCATCGAAAGTCATCAGAAGGGTTACCGGTAGTTATCACGACAACGCAAAAAATCATTCAAAATACTGTTTGCTAAATACCAATAAATAATATACCGAATATCAACATCAACTTTTCCAGAAGATTTCATTGATTTTAAATCATCTTCGATCCATTTTCTTAGTTGTTTGTTAGGTATCGATATAATTTTTGTGTCAAATGCAGCATCAATATGTCTTTTCATTGATTCAATAGCCTTAAAATCAAAATAACATGATTTGAGTGTAAAGGTTTTTTTATCAAATAAACGTCATGAGTTATTATTCTATATAATATGTGAGATTCATGAAAATCGATCTTTGCGTTACAGTTGTAATTTTTAAATCATAATATGCAAATAGTATTGTTGTATAACTCGAGAAGATATTGGCCACAACATTTTATAAGCAGAAGACTTCATGGAAGTTAATGCTGACTTTTAGGGTATCAACAATTTGACAGAACATACTATCTAAAAACAATCTGAATTTCAACTGGTTCGAATATTCATTCATGAAGGCATTAATGCTAACAAGAAAATTACCATTTCCATCTTCTTAGCTGAATAGAAATGCAGAGTGATCGAATGCAGACAAATTAAATTGGATTTGTCATATATGGGTATTTCAACTTTTTCCTCATGTAGAGAATCTTGCATTACTGAAGACAAAAATGGAATATTGACAAAAATAGAACTGACATAGTTCACATGAATAATTTGTGTTATTATTCTAAAAAAAAAAATGGAGCAACAGAACAGAAAAACATATAATACCCGCTAATAAATTTATTACTAGGGTTTTATTCATTTTTAAATGAACAACATAACTACTAATTTTTGTGATTATCGAACCAGAACTTGAACAATTCTCAGTTGTTTGCAATGGTAGATATGAAACTACCAAATCGGGTTTCAAATAGCGACTGTCAGAACAGCGACTGTCATAATGGCGACTTCATAATAGCGACGTAATCAAGTGAGCGACTGTCATAATGGCGACCGCATTAAAACAGCGACTGTTAGGATAACGTTAGGGTCAGTTCAAATAAAATGTTGTTTTAAAGTGCTTTTTGGTTTCAATCTTTTACTACTCAGTGTTTGCCTGTTTGTGCGTGCATACGTGTGTAGAGAGGTCCCTAACCCTAACATGAGTTAAGTAGCTATCATAACAGTCGTGTTTTAATGCGGTCGCCATTATGACAGTCGCTCACTTGATTACGTCGCTATTATGAAGTCTCCATTATGACAGTCGCTATCCAGCCTGGATACCGAAACTACCGTAAATGTCTACAAGATTTGTCTTACCTTGCTTTGACTGAAAATCTGGCATTTTTTTGACATCTTCTCTAATGTTTGCACCCAATATGCCTTCTTCAAATGCCTTTACTCTATGTTGCTCATATATTACAACATTAATGATATTTAATGATTTTGTAACTGGTCGATTCAAGATGAAATCTGTTATGGCATCATGGATAATTTTTGCCATAACATCATTAGACATCTTTTTGTTTCCTTAAAAAAGTATCAGTTAGTCATTAAATTGCAACATTACTTTTTGGCAATTTTTATATAGAACACATTAATTCTTAAATAAAATATGGAGATGTTCATAAGGTATTAAATATCTTAATGAGTAAGGATGCTTAGCTATAAGCTGAGGATAAGCATTTTTATTTATTCCAATGAGATGGAATACCACCAGATGCATGTGATGCATTCATTCATTGAAAATTCATTCATTCATTGAAAATTCTGTAAATAATATACCTGTTCCAATTGCTGGAATAGATAAAGATATACAGCCATTGTCATCCACCATATTCAATGTTTTAAATAGACACTCCTGTAATTTCTTTTGATCATCTGGAAATGCTACATGAAATATTTTTTTGCACTGCAATTTTCCACCACTTGTCATCCTTATTGTATCATCCTTTTTTTGAGATGATAATTCTTTTTGTATTTTATTTCCTCCATTCAAAAGTATTGCCTTAGAGACCATCCCTAAAAATTGAACATAAAAACAGATTGAAATCATGTTAGACTTTTTCAGAAATAAAAAATCTTTACAAACATATATATCCATTTAAATAGAACAACTTTACACAGATAAAAACATACAAAACTAATATAAAACGCTAAAAAATATATACCATGTGATAGATTGAAACAAGATCCAGTGCTATTAACAATAGCATCAACTTTCTCTTGTGTAATATCTCCTTGTCGAACAGCAACTTCAAGATTTCCAAACTTTGGTGTTCTTCTATGAGGTGGGTTGTTGTGAATACCCCCCCATATACCTTTCATCTGAAAATTACATATTTGGCTCGCATATTATTACAGAATGTCCGTGATAATGAAACACCATGACTTTTTATCTTGTAATACTGGTTACTTTTTTATATTGATTTTCGTTAGAATATATACCAACTTGCCCGTAATAATGCCTCTTCTATTGAAGACCTTGGAGTCGAAGATCTCTGTGTTGTTAGTCTCACAAATTTAGGTGAAGCTGTTTGAAGTTTAGGTACAGCACCTAAAATAGAGTAATAATTATAATTTGTTTTAATCTCTGGCAATCTGAAATGAGTAGAACATTTTGTTCCAAGTTAAATGGAATAAGGTAGGAGTGAAAAGTTGCTTAGGCTTGCCACATTGTGGCCACAGAAGTTTATCCATCCCTAGAATAAGTGATGCTGATATAAAATATTGTAGATCAAAAGATTTTCTGCATGCCCAAGCTCTTTTGCATATAAAGGGAATTGCCAGTAGCTGAAGAAGACATTCTGTTGTTTCAAGTTTCAAATTTTTTAATCTAGTTTATAGAATAAAGAATCTCATTTATTCTGAAAAATGTATTTACTTTCAGGATTTTTAATTATAATTCTTCTCACTGGTTTTCTCCTGACATATTTATATAAAAAATTATATTTCTGCCAAGTTCTCATCCAACATCGCCTCAATCTTTTCTGGCGTGCACCAACTAATATCTAAAAAAATATTTGTATCTCAAGCCTATGAACATTAGTTGAGAAAACTGTGCCAATGGAAGAGATCAGAATAAAAAAACTTATTACATTAGGTCAAAATCCACCATGTAATTTTTCAGCAAGAAGGTACTTGCAAAAGTCTGTACATGTTTGAATACATTAACAAAAGCTTTAAAAACTGGGAGTCAGAAATTGTATAATTTATTGTAACTGATATAACCTCTTTCCTCCTATCATTTTGCTGACTAATCTTACTTAATTCATCCAGTACAGTGGTTCTCAACCTTTTACTGACCGCATACTTCTTTACTGTTTTTTACTCTGGCCGCGTACCACCCAAAAAGTCTCTATTTGATGTGGGGAACAACGGCACAAGACACATGCTATGGGAGTAATTTATAATGTGGCACTACATCCTTTGTGACCTAATTCGTAAGACGGACGAAAACATACCCATCTCGATTCGTTCGTAGACTATAGCAGGCAAGGGCAATCTCTAAAGACTGGACTAGCCATAGGATGTTTCACCGACCCTTGACCTCAGAATAATTCTTCATATACTTTAATACTTTACTTATTTTGAAAGTGTTTTAATGTGTTGGAGCTTATGAGCTGGTTTAAGTGTTCGAAACCCTCATTTTTTAAAAAAAATTAATCAACCGCTTACAGACACTAATAGCTTAGTTTAGACTAGTCTATCGCAGAATTTGCGAGACTCATTTTTGATGAGGCCTATATCAGCTAAATGAATGCTCTTTTGAGCAATGAAAAATTTTGTTGCCATATGGAATATTTAATGACAAATGCTCAATATAAAATATAACTTGAAATATTGTTCTATGATGTTTTTATTATACTAAGAGCATTCATTACCTTTCTGAGCAGTTATTAACTCCTTAATGAAATCCTGTATTTTTGGTTTGTCATATATCACCACATCAACTTTTTTTAAATATTTTGTTGCAGAATTCTTTGAAACAAACTGATTCAATGATTTTCGCATAAGAGCTGCAACTGCAGCACTCTGCAGGTTCAGATTTCCTATGAAAATGGTTTTATTGGTAAAAATAAATAACAGATAAAATGAGTTGTATGAACATATTTATGACTGCATGGAAATATTTTCAAATATGTTCCCAAACACTACAAATTATAGTAGATTCAAAATAAACCATGTTTGAAAACCCTTCAAAATTTAGTCGTTTTGCCAAATCGAACAAATTTTTTGATCCAAAAAACCTATTGCCAAAACTGTGATGCACAGGTATGAAATGATACGAAAAAATATGGAAACTCATGATGCTAAACATAGTAAAAGGATTGAAATACAACTGTGTTATTGTCACAAGAAATCTTGCCATGATATGACTTGAAGTAGTATGTGATTTACCTGTCCCAAGTGCAGGCAAAGATATAGATGCAGATTGACATTTTTCAGCCTCGTTGAGAATGTTTTGAATACATTCTATCATTTGTTGCTCAGTGTTAGGAAAGACCACATGAAATATCTTTCTGCATTGAAGCTTTCCTCCGCTCGTTACTCTCAATTCTCTCCCAGCTGCATTTGACAATTCCTCTTGAATCTGTTTTCCTCCTTTTTGGAGAATTGTTTTTGAGACATTTCCTTAATAGAAACAGTTGTACTTGACACAATCTGGGTTGAAGTTAGGATACGAAAGATTCAAAAATACATAATTTTTAAATATTAAATTGATTATTAATTATCATATTAAATAAGTATTTCTACAAAAAAATTGGTGCTCCCGAAGTATGCGAACCAAGATGGCGGACATCGGAACGTAACATGGGTAACAGGTTAGGGTTAGGCGATAATTTTTTTCCAATTTTCCTTATTTTAGTCCTATTATCAGTTCGAAGACTAGCCAAGAGCCTCCCGTAGTATTTATACCTAAAATGATGGCCTAACCCTAACCTAGTACACATATTACATTCCGATGTCCGCCATCTTGGTTCGCATACTTCGGGAGCCCCAAAAAATTGTTAACAAACATTTTACAAAAGATAAACTCGTTATTATCTTTTCTGATCTGATTTCACTGCTAACAAAATTTTACCTTTGGATAAATCAAAGTTTGAGCCAACACTACTGACAATAATGTCGTTTTTATCATCAGTTATATCCCCCTCTTTTACTGAAACTAAGATAGGACCAATTGTTACAGCATTTGATGCTGTAGTCTGAATTCCAGTGGCATCAGATGAGTTGTGTGCTTTGATGGAGGATGAAGATTCTAAAAGTTTTAAGATTAACATTGAAATATATTTGTTGTTACTAATATTTTTCGCGATGTAAATTTTGAATGAATACCCTGCCAAGTTTATGAGATAAAATTCCAAAATTTTGCTGATACATTTATTATACAAGAAAAAGTAAGTTTTTAATTGGCAACTCATGCAAGGTGCTGCTGTACAAGGAGTTATGGTTAGTGATTAGGGAAGTTTTTCATATATGTTGTTTTATTTTATACCTGACTTGGTTGAAAATGTCTCTTCAAAGGTGCTAATCAGAGATTTGTTAAATATCACAACATCGATGACTTTCAAATGCCTTGGCGATGAAGCCTTGAAATTTTTGAAAACTTCCAAAATCGTTGATGCACTATCTTTGCTGGACATTGACATATCCCCTGTTAAATAAATAAAATAAAAAAATGGATTAAAATTTAGGACTGACTATGCAGGCGTCTCCAACAGGCGTCATTGTTAAAAAACTAAAAGAGTACGATGTATAGTATGAGTAAGCTTCAACTTGTTATTTTATTCTATTGTAATAGTTGAATTGTATATTTAATAATTTAATTTCGCATTTTTATTATGGTATCAAACTATCATAGAAACTACACATTTGTTCTATAATACACAGTACAGTACACATACCTGTTCCGATGGCAGGAATGGCAATTGACTTCCATTGTCTCTTTTCCGCTTCATCAAAAATCCGTTTTAGTTGCTTTTCATTAGTGCGACAATTTTTTTCAAAGACAGCATGGACTACATACTTGCATGGCAAACTACCACCACTAGTTATTCGCATTGTTTTGTCTGTTTCACTATCCAGTTGTGACTGGATTTGGTTTCCTCCCTTTTTCAGAATAACCTTGCACAACTGACCTCCTGTAAGGCAATTTATACGAATATATCTATACTAAGTTAATAACAAAGAACATAAATAAATACTTCTGAATTCTGCGACATATTGATGACACTTAGGTAGGTATTCGTAATGAGAATTCCTATTCTCAGTCAACAAAAAATAATAAAATGATTAAAAACAAAATAGGAAACATATGAAACTGAAGATTATGGGGTCATTGTTGTTCAAAAACAATGGAATATTGAATAAAAGAAGATTTTTCATTACATGTTACATTTTCACAATGAGCAAATAGAATCTTGCAAAAATTATTATAGAATTTTCATAAATGATAAATAAAAATTACAATCCAAATAATACAAAATATAAAAATTATATTTAGATAGTGTTTCCAGTTTTGAAGACAATCAGAATGAAAATTTGTCAATCTACACTTCTTTTATTTACCTTGTTTTAAAGAAAAGCTATTGCCAATGCTGTTTACAATTCCAACATGTTTTGATAAAGTTATATCACCCTCGTGTACTGATAATTTTATGTTGCTAACTTCAGCGTTTCCATTGCTTCTTAGAGTGAATGGTGAATCATGTTCCTGTTTGATGGTGCGTGGCTGCAAATATTACAAAAATATTTGACACAAATTAGTTTCAAAATCTCAAAGTACGGTATGAAATAATGTTTAAAGTGTTCAAAGTGTTGGCAAAATTAAAGCTTTGTGTGACAGATGAAATCACTAAAAAAACTTTTTTCAATAGTTATATTCTGTTATAGATAAATAGATTTTTACCCAATTCAAACAAAAATAAAAATCTGTTTATTACCTGGCTTAAAAAGTACACTATACGGTAATTAATAATTTCAGGAAGAGCAGAATAATCATCCAAAATATTGTTTCACTCTTGCAGCGAATGAATGGCGCGGCGGTGTGGCTCAACGGGCTAAGCGTTAGGAATACGCTAGCCACCGCACCTCTAATTACTCTGCGTGAGTTCGCAGGTTCGAATCCCATGCAGGGATGGTTATGTGCGAGAGGATTGCTGGACTCCTCGCCGTCGTTGGGTGGTTCACGTAACCGCTGGTCGGTTACGGCTTCCTCCACCACCAAGTCCATGCTTCCGAAAACAAAAAATATAACTAATCCCATACCCGACTTGGAATGGTAACCGGACGAGAGGCCGTGGTTCGCCATATGGATAAGCCGTCTTATCGGCTTTCCTTTCCCCCGACATAAATATGTAAATCCTATCCTATCCTAATAAAAAAAAAACGATACTACATTTCCTATGTCTTATCAATATTTCACATTCATTTATACACAAGGCTATTTCCAGTGCTTATGAAATTATTTTTTGAAAAATCTTTTTATCTTATTTTTTTCTATAATATTAGTATTTTATCATAAAGAATACACTGTACAATCACACAGAAGGTAAAATTATTCTTGCAATATATATCATCACATCATTTACCTCTTGAGGTAGGGATGGTATTTCATTTCTTTCTGTAACAATCTTCTCCATTTTGGTTAGTTTTGGTATTTCCCCTTCAATCAAAATCACACATTTATGGTCTGTACAAACTTTCCCAATTGCAGCTTTACCATCTGGACTATATAAATACTCTTGTATTTTGAATTTTTCAAATTTTTCAGTTTTTTCAGAGATTTTTTCATCCCATGTTTTCAAATCTTTGTGAACTGTATGAAAATAAATATATTCAAATACAAAAATTTATGAATGACAGTAAAAATAGATTATTTCAGTTATTTTTACCAAATCGAATGTTTGCTAAATGAAAATTATGTTTGTTAAAAGGGTTTGGTAAAAAAAAAGTAACTTATTTGAGTTATTCATATAAAGTTGTCTAGTGATAATCCAATTCTAATAAAGCAAACAATACCATACAGAAACAAAAATCGTCACCTTTTGCAATTAATTTCTTTTTACCCTCCAATCTTATGCCACATTTCGAGTCAAATTCTACGCCAGCTTTAATCTTTTTATTTTCCAAGCATTTTTTAAAGTCTGTTGAGTATTTGAATAGATATTCTGCTTTTCCATATGTTGTCTCATAAAATAAAACATCTTCTGAATATTCTTCCAAGAATTCATGTACTAATGACACAGCATTTTTCATAAATTCACAGAAACCAACAATCCGGAGGGATGTGTTCTAAAATATAATAGAAATAAATAACCATAAATATTAATTTAATAATATAAAAGTTCAGCATGAATATTATCTCAACACAAATAAGTATTCCTTAAAATTATTAAATATGCAATTCAGAAAAAAAACTAGAATAACATATAAAACACAATCGCAATTATGGTTCGGAAACAATGTTTGTAGTATGTTCCAACCTATTATATGAAATATTACAAAAAGAAATACCAATAAATTAACATTATAAAAGCCAGCATGGATATTATAGCAACCAAATTTATTAAAAATTAGTGAACATGCAAATCAAAAACAGAACAAAAAATTTAGTATAAAAATATAAAACATAATCTCAATCATGGTTTGGAAACAATTTTGCAGTATTTTCCAACCTACTATATTTGGTGCTATTCATAGCTGAATTTATTGAATATCCCGCACTTTTGCTTATATGTATAAAAAAGATAAAACTCACTTGAATGGAAATCTCAAGCATGTGATTGGATTCCAAAAATTCTTTTTTGTCCTTCCATTCTTTAAGTTTCAATGCTTCTTTGTTTGCATTTGATAGAGTAACAGATTTGTCTGTTGTTAAGAGACCTCTGATTCTGACCACTGCTGTATTGATTTTATTCCCATTGCACCAAATTTTTAAAACTTGGCCATCAATAGTAATAGTTCCTGTGGAGCATAACATAATTAACAAGATAAAATGGAAAAGTTATTTAACTATTTTCTATTTATTTATATTTGAATTTTAGCCACTGTGTAAGGATATAAAATCTATCAAAGCATTTGTATCCCAAGAAAAACAGATTGGTATATATCATTTCAGCATTGTAATTATAAAATCATAACAGATTAATAATATTTCTTGTGATTTTCTATGCTGATATAGCCTACATTTTATTAAAGATGGTGTTCAATGGTCCAATTTTGGTTGAGCGAGTTAATAAAAACGAGCATCAAGATGAAATACCAATGTCATAAGCCACCTAGAAACCATCTATCTACCTATGGGTAACATACCGTCAAACCTCTATTTCACTGCCATAGCGCTCTATTTTTTAACTTTTCCCCTATAGTGGTGTTCTGTTAGAGGTGACGTTCAATTAGAGGGTGGCACTCTATTTTTCGACTAGCTTATGTTGGTTGGTATCTTTTAAATGACTTCTTTAACTGCTCAATTGTAAAAACTTAATCAATTGTACAATTACCAGTAGAGAATCGATAACAATAACCGATGTAATGATTACAGTAAGCGGCATATTTGTAATGCATATTGTACATTCGGGCAGGGATCAGGAATTCCGATAATATTAACCGATTGATAACATTATCCGTGATTACATTAACGGCATCAACTGTATAGAGCAATAGTTCATTATTATTATTACTGTATGTTTTTTGTGTGCAGTCATTTTGACCAGCCGGTAATTTCTGTTTTATGAACAAAATTAATGTATGAAGATTTTGTTTTCATTGAAATTCAACATTAGCAACTACATCTATTTATAAAGAATAAAGAAAAATCTAAAATTTGAAAGTAAGCTAAAGTTTGAACACAAAAAAAAATTAATTGAAACACTCTCCTTAATTGAGCTATTTATAAAATGTTAAATGCAGAAACAGTTAGATAGTCAACTACTGTTCATTTAAATTCACAAAAAAAATGTTTTTTTTTGTTTTCTCAGTTATTTTTATTGAGATTTATTTTTCTTTCAGTGTCGCGGGCCAGCTTTTTAGAGGCGCAGGCTGTGGGCCGCAAATATTTTCACCAAGCTTGAACACCAGCCGAGTTCTGATTTACGTTAGAATTTACAAAATACATAAAAAGCAATTTTAGGGTAGAGGTGGGCAAAATATTTGAATATTGTATTGAACATTAGCATAACAGTTTAATATTCTAATGTCTGGTAACATGTGGCCTGAACATGGCCCGTCACTGTGCACCAAAATGTAATAGTTGATACGTAAATAATAATCAAATTATACTGCTACTGCAATAAATATTACCTTTTATTGATACCAACGCCTTGTTAATATAGGCAATGACATACTTTTCATTGTTTGAATTTGTCAAAAACCGTTTTTGATCCTGGTCAAGACATTCAAATTCCTGATCTTTAATCGACTGCAAGATAACAAAAATAAATGAATATAAAAAAGATTATCATGAAATTTCAGCATGTATTATGTTTCAAAATATATTCTAATCTGATTTTGCCTGACTCTCATGTGGTAGCAGATGTGCTTTTGCAAAAGTGGTACCTTGTCACATAGATCACTGTTTTGTTAACTGGATTTTTATGTCTCACTGAAAATTTAATTGCTCCTTCACACAGCTTATGGTATTTATCTTACTTTTCCTGTTGAAATCTAGTGGATGTTACCAAAGCCTGAACTGTAATTGAAGACTGCCCTTCGTCTGACATTTATAAGATTAAAGCTTGACTCAGAACGTTTCAGTTTCATATTTTGTTGTTTTATATTATTGATAACTTATTCCTGATAATATTTGCCTCATAAGTCTCCAACTTTACTGAATCAGATACATTTAACTGTCTGCATTGCAAAGATTTTGGGCTGAGCAAGGGAAGCAAATGTTAAAGCAAATAAATATATATTGCAATATAAATCACCATATTCTTTGGAAGGTAAACAAACATCCTACAATTCGACAAAATAATCATTTTTACTTCTGATGTCAAATTGTTAGTTTAAAATTTTTGCATTTAAAATCATATCATCATTCTATTCAACAAATTTTCAAATGCAATAAATATCAAGACAAATATCTACAATAAAAGAACAGTGTTCCTCAAAGAATTAACTTTAGTAAATATATCTCTATCAACACTTTATATCTGATGAATAACTAAAATTTAATGAAATGTGAATAAAGGAGTATTTTTTATGCAGTCAGGTGAAACCTTAAATCTTACCTCTATGCAATGTAACATCTGATATTTTGCATTTAAAGTATGTGCCGGAGTTCCTTCATATGAGAGTTTATGTTCGTCATCATGTTGTTTTATAACACACTTACCGGTAGCTTCCTTCTGTATTCTTTCCAGTTCACCAGTGTCAACAACCCATCTATAATGAAATCATTTTGTAACTTTCATATTAAACATTGAGTTGATTGTTATGGACTGTACATAAAGAAGCTTTCAATACAAATTCAATCACTATGAAATCATTATTAAAATTGTGGTTGAAAAAGAAGGACACAAAAATCATTCAAAAGGCCCTAACCTATATTTTCCTTCATCCAACTGTTGGAATTCTTCTTCTATATTAGTACTAGCTACAATGTCTTTTACAGTTGATGCTACAACATCCTTTAACCCAGTTACCACCAAGATATGAGAATCTGTGCCTGTCCATCTAAAAAAAATATTGTAAAAATATTGTCACCTGTTTTTAAACCTTAAAATAGGAAATATACCAACATTTTTTCATTGGCAATAAAATACTCAGATGCATCAAAGAAATGGTAGCTGTAAGGGAGAAATATTTTTTTAAATAAAGCATTTTCTAATACACAATTACTTAGAACATACTTAACATTGTAATCTTTTTCCAGATCATCACATCCATCTTTGCGCAAATTAGACGAAGTCACTGAGCCCGATGGGAAGTTTTCTCTAACTTTTTTCAGGTTTGAAACTTTTATCTCATGATAAGTTGATACAGTATACTTCTTGAAGAATTGGTCCAATATTTTGATGCATGTTGCTTTGAAGGTGTTGTGATTATCTATGTGTTCAAGCTAAAAGCAATAAATATGTCTAGAGATTTGATCCGTAAAAGACAGACAAATCTTTTAAATTGAAATTATTTACCTAAGATACAAGATAGCCCCTAAAACGGAATCCATAAATTTGTAAAAAAACTAAGCTTTCTAAGAGGTGTTTAAGTCTAATGAATGAGGTGCCCATTTGAAGTCACAATTCCTGCTGATGCACTTTTCTGGAATTGCTCTCTGAGTCAGTCAAAGACGTGATATGGGCCATTGCCCCGTCTTGCTGCCACCACTAATCAACTCAATCAATTTCTCTACGACTCGGTGACACTTTCTTCAGAGATGTTGTGCCCAGATAATCATAAAGTGAGATTCAGCAAAAAACTAAGTGGGTGATTGACAAATTAGCGCAAGGGATCTAATTCTGTTTTCATCGCTCAGGCAGCCATTCGGAACATATACTAGAGAGAACATAACTTTTGTGCAAAATGTCCTAAGTTTCGCCTTTCGGTATATAATCATAAACTAACTGAAGTTCCAGTCCAAACAAAATCGAATTATTTACTCTATTTTGAATCAATCCGTGTGATACATTACACATTACATATTAAAAAGCAGAATAGGTATTATAATATTTGATATATATCTGAAATGTATAAAGCCCCATGCAAACTGTATTGAACAGTGGTATTTATTTGATTTGATGACATTTAATATTAATTATATAATTAGATTAAGTTTATCTTCATTGGAATGGGCTTGTCTTATTTGAGGCCAATTTGTCTGGAGCTAAGTATGTAACAAAAGACGTTTTTACTTACAGAGATTGGTTTTATTTCAAACATTTTGTTTCTTATACCAACAGTTGCAAACTTTTCAAGCTCATTATGCAAATCATGCATGTGATTTTTCCGTTTGATAAGAAATTGAAATACATCTTCTTCAAAATTGGTATATTCGAATCTCATTGGTTCAGTTTCATGTTCTGAAAACATCAATGTTTAATATCTGTTGAATGAAATTGAATAAACTTGAGGTTTATAAAAGCTCCACACAGAATTATGCCAAAGTAGACATTTGGGTTTTCATGGTTTGTTGTAGTTCAACTTTTACTTGATTCATTCAAATTTTAAATGTCTAGTTCATTCTCCTCTTGGAAACTGACAAATCATATATCATATTAAAAAAGTAAGACATTGGCTGTGTGATCAAAATCACTTCTAAGTTTCATCATCATTTTCAGGTCTCACGTCACAGTGATTTCAACCCTTTTTTATGAATTGATCTGGCAGATCTCAATATGGCTATGAATTACTACAACCTACCGGTAAGTTTTAAATTAATTGCAACAATGCTAAATATGAATCAAACTTGATTAAATTGTTATTCAAGACTTGATTATTCTTAAAAATAATGTAAAAAGATAATGTATGTTCGGATAGATATACCTTGCATAGTTTGAGAAACAACATCAAAAAAATGTTCTTCCACCAAATTCTTGTGAAAGGAAGAAAAGCAGTGATAATAGAGTTCAATATTGAATTGAAGATTTAAAGCTTGCACACCTTCGTCCTTGTATTTTTTGAAGATTTTTTCAGCATCTGAATACACAACTGAATATAGTATATCATGAAAGACAGGCTTAGTCATAGATTGCTAGAATATCAAAAAATGCGGCGAGTTCCTAAGTGCGCTGCAAAAATTAACTGAATTGTGTTAAACATACCTAAAATATATTTATGATAAATGTTTTATTGTTTCTTATTTTAAATGCTCTAATTATGAATCAATAAATTCATTTTTCCTTTCTATGTCATTTACGTTCTGTTACGTGTACCCACTACTGGCTGCAATTTTGTGAGATGTAGTTTTTAAGATTGTAACTGGTTTGAAAAATAATCTGATAAATTTTTACTTAAAATTCAATGCCCGACTGAATTGAGCCAGTAATCCAATTTCTGCCCAGATATAACAAATACATACAAACCTTTGAATGATGTAAAATAAAGAAGTACATCTCCATTTTTAAGTTTGTCAATTCTTGTTATTTCAGCACTATCAGTGTACCTTTTATTTTCAAAGATAATTTTTAATTCCCGAGTATTGAAATCTTTTGGCAAACCCTTTGCGATAATGCAATCAGATTTTGCCAATGGTAAAATCTGAAAATTATAAGATTTGATAAATATTAAATGCGATAGAATGAATAAATTGTAGCATTATGAATATCACAATATTTTATATGATCAACACCTTAGATGTACATAGCATTTGGTAAGTTTGCAAGATAATACTTTCATTTTCAAGTACATACTTTACTACTGTCATAGAAGTCATTGCATTTAGAATTTTCCAATATGCCTTTAAAGTCATCAGTATCTGGAAAATGAAAAATATTACAGTATGCAGGTATACATATGGGCATATCAGATGCAAAAGATGCAATATTAAATTACAAAAAATAGTTTTTTTTAAATATTGTTCAAAGCATTCATTCACCAATAAAGCAATACAAACGCCAGCGGCAAATAACTGTTTGCTCAACACAATGAATACTAGTTTCAAGTATGTTGCCAAATAAGTTCAGACTATAGCATAAGTGAGTTGCTAAAAAGTTGACATTTTGTGATTTGTACATTGAAAACAATAAAGCTTCTTATTTAAAGCACAAAAACATTTATACAAAAAGGTATAGTGAATGTATAACATATCAATAAATCATATTGTCAGTGTAAAACATATTATTATAAGTATCAAATTTTATACTGACCCAGTTCCACCTCATAATTGATGCAATAAATATCACCAATGTCTGTGTCTGTGATATTTTCTGGAGAAGTTCCAATGGGAGAGAAATTAGAAACTTCCATGATTCTAGCCTCCTTTGATAAATTTTCACCAGATACATTCTGAGAAATAACAAAATAGAAATACTACATTAAAGATGTAAGATAAATATATATATTATAAATATATATATATAAATTATATATATAATAATAATAAAAATATATAAATATAAAATAAATATAAAAAAGATAAATACTTAGAGACCATGATATATTATTTCCATTTTAACTATGATTATGTTAACTGCCCTCAAACATTAAACATGACAAATTTATGACAAACTGGCTATATTTCTTGATTCTTTTATTATAATAATTTGTAATTGTGATCTTTTACAGATTCAATAATATAGATGCATTTTTCATAATTTTATTAAAACTGGTTCTCCCCACTTTGAAAAGATGAAACAAATAATATAATAATTTACGTGCAAAATCAGTTGATCTTTATGATATTCTGGAATAATTTTCTTAAAAACGAGCAATTCTATGCCATTGATTTTATGCTTCTTCTTCTCTAATATCCTTGTTACTGCATCTTTTTTGAAATATAAAAACACTTGAACAAATGCAACATCCATTTTCATTCATTACCTTCTTCATAAGACTTGAAATATATACCATGGAACCAAAATTTTTGGTTGATAAGGGGTAGTTATAAGCGGTGTAAAATAATTCGGCCCGCGATGCTTCACTGAATTATAGCGACAAAACGGCGGTTTAGACAATGAATTAATTTTATAATAGACACACGATAAGTAGATTATATTCTTCACATACCAAAATTTATTGTGAGGCATGTGTAAAGCAAATTATATTATAACCTAACAAGTATAAAAATCACGATTACTCGTTTAATGAGCATACAATTTAACTATAATTAGACAAATGGAAACATGCAGATAATTTGATGCTTCTTGGGATGCAATGCAAAGAGGAAATAATATCCGTATTCTATTCGAGAGATGTATCACTGCTTATTTTTATCAAAAGTATCTTCTTGAGGGAAATCTCTATTCAAATTTGACAAATCACAAGAAAAAATTCACATCGATGTTTGGAAGTACATATGCATGCGCACAATTATTTTCGAAAATGAACATTACAAAGAATAAGCTGAGAACTAGGATTAGTGATGCCAATTTAGAAAAAATGTTATATTATTGGCATTTAATTTTATTTGTAAATTTTTTTTAGTTAAACGACTGAGTTGAGTTCAAGAGTTTTCGCAGTCTTCGCATGCTGTTTAAAATCTAAAATTTCAACTTCTGATCTAAATGAAAAAATTGTGATTCATAGTCCATTCGTTTGGTTTTTAACTTTTTAACTTTCCAAAAATATGTGCGCTCCCTGCCTTATATGCTTACATTTTGAAAATTGACAACGTGAATAATGTGATTTTCATAAGCATTCATTTATTTAATGCATAGTCTTGCACTCACAAGTGTTTAAAATTTACCAAAAACCTCAAATAGATATGATATTTGCAAATACAATATGAAAAACAAAATGTATTTTTGAACAAAATTATTTCGAAGTACAAGTATATGCATGAATCCTGACAGCATTTTAAAATAAATATCCCTAAATTATTAATCAAAATTATACAAAATTACTCACTTTCAGAGTAAAATGTAATGAGAATTCCATCAACCATGAGCAACATTTTGTTAACATGAGCATCATTCGAATCATTTGCATCTTCAAAATATTTGATGATATCATTGGGTCCAATATTTGCATCCTTTATTTGAACTAAGATGGCTCTGAATGGATGATCAAAATTGATAACAATAAAATATATATTATTCTAATATAATGTGAGCTGAAAATTTTCTAAATGAAGGTAAAATCATTCTACTAAAAGAGTATATTACCCTCAGAATAATATAAAATTGATTAAAATGTTTGAACTGTTTGTTCAAGATTTCAAGATCTCATTATAATAGAATTATTAATTTGAATCAATATTAATGTCTACCTAAAATTTGTTGCAAAATGAAAGGTATTTTGATACAAATATATATTGACAAACTTTTGATTCTCCTGATCCCAAAGTTCTTCCATATCAAACCATGTGTACGTTCTAGAAAGATCCCAAGTTGGCTTTTCAATACAGCTGATGTTTTGTGATCTTGGGTTTTCTTCCACATTTACATTATCCTCTAAAACATGTAAAGAACTACACGAATACTCATACTCTAAATGTGACAGTTTTCTTAGGTATAAAAATAGCTTTGAAACTCAGTAATTGTAATCAATAATGCCATGGTTCAAATTAATTGATAAATTCTTTCAGATGAACTCATGGACCTACCAGAATGGTGTTCATCATTGTCATCAGAAATGTAAGTGCGTAGGTAATATGTATTTCCCCCAAATTCATATCCAGGTATACTTGTGCTGAATTTTTGAAGCTCTAGAAATAGTACTTAAAAATATAACATTTGTGGATGCAGATTTTTTAGCCGGAAAGAAAAGGAATATGTTGCTGTTTTAATGCAAAATACTGTAAAATTATTTTTAACATTTCAAACGAACAAACAAATTGAAAAAAAAAAATTGCTTTGCAATTATCCAAGTCCATGCTTCTAAAAGAATGATGTGATTGGTGACCAGGGCTTATCTTTGCCATATATATAAACTACACCACAGAAGGGGACTCATACAATAATAGGACCTCCTGAAGTATGCGCACCAAGAGGCTTCAGCATACTTCAGGAGTACCCAATAATATAGTAAAATCAAAAAAATACTAATAAGGGGTAAATTACCCTGATTATCAAATAGTATGAAAATCATGTAAATATATTAACCAATTTAAACCCATTTGATTGCTGTATTTATTGTTTTTTTTATACATAAAAAGACGCAAAGTGAATCGGCCATTGTGTTTTCTATTGTGATTTTTGATGGCAAAGTGTTTTAAAAACTTCTCCCATATACTTTTAGCAAATTCGCAAAATAAAGAAAATTTGTTTGAAATTCCTACAAAGTACAGTATGATCGGCCAACTTCGAAGACAAACACACCTACCTTCTTCCGTACTGAAAGTTATTTCCGTACTTGATGTCGACGCTAATATTTCATAAAGCTGAATATTACATCTTTTACATACTTTCTCAAGAAATAATTTTACTTTTATCTTGCTACTTCCCACAGGAAGGCCTTCCAATCGAAGAGTTCTGCGCATTTTGTTAAGAGCCTCCAATGTAAGTCCTATATTACGCGAATACGAGTTATATATTGGCTAAAGAGGAAGTTTTATGGGTAAGCAGAACCGGGGGATTTCCCGCGTGGTGCCTCTTTTGTTATAAGGCGTAGCGATGCGTATTGCGAAATTTATATGATATTTTGATAATGCGACGCTGTGAAATTTAAATTTCCATAGTACTACTAATTTTTCAAATCTTGAGTTTCACAAAAAGCAAAATGAATATACAATTTCAGAAATCGAAACTAACGGCGCATGAAAGTACATGCTCGTGTTTGTACATTTTTCTTTTTAGATTGTCTCTATACAGTAATCACTTGCGAATTTACTCCTGAAGTACATAATCTTCACCTTCAGGTATGTATTTCAGCTATTTCCGCAAGGAATATCTTCTTTGCGAGTACACTAATAATCTCTAATAGCAATTCTTTTAGAAGGAAGACACTAAAGGTGACGTAGCTTTGCTCGGATTTTGAAAGAGTGTAGATTCTGGGGCTCTGAGTGTATGTATGTATGTATGTTTATTCGTCTCGTAATAGTGATAAAAAAATAAATGAACGACTATTATTATGTAAGACGGAATGCATGCACAAGACCGTACTGGCCTAAACACACAAATGTGCGACATGCACCCTTTTTAACAAATATAAAACAAAAAACATTAGATTAATTTATGTATAGTATGGTCCCTTATATAGACAGTTGTGCAAGGTGGGGCAATGGGTCGTTTGGTGTGGTGAAAGTGGTAAGGGTGGGGTATACAAAACTGTTTATACATGGGAGTTTATAAGACAAGACAATATATATATATAAATAGAGACCAAATAAACATATACATAACAATGAAATCAAAATTTAGGCGCAAACACAGCGCCTGTGGGTGGTGAGACCATATAGTATGAATGGGCGAAGTATAAGAGATAAATTTGCGGTTCTTACGCCTATATGGTATGCGTCACTCAAGGCAATGACATATAACAACATGATGCGCAACTCCGGCATTTTTGTCCGAAGATCGTATTCGATAGCACGCTCCAATGCACATACTTGACGAGACGAAAACGAGCGGATGTGTGCTGCTTTCAAGGCGTAGCACGAATGGTGTTCGTGCCTGCTTTGACAGTTGTTGTCGATTTTAATGATATTTTTGAAAGTTGGGGTAAAAAGAAATCGGTAAAAGGTAAGGTGAATACTATTGTTGTATATCACACCCGGGCATCGCACTGTTAAGTACATGTGGGAAAGCCAGCCTTTGTCAAATACTACGAAGTTATTAATTCAGTACGGTACGTAGTTGCCCATTTGCCGAAATTACATATTTACTTACTCCTTCTGGTTTCAAATAGTTCATGCACCTCCAGTTAGATTTTTTTAATCAGTGAGGATATATACTCATTGTTGATTGCTGCTCATTGTAACATACTATTACGCATTCACTTTTATTTGCGTATTGAATCAAAGTGTTAACAAGTTCACCTAACATTTCACTCATACCGGTCTATATTGTATAGTCTGATTTCTCAAGTATTTGGAGCCACGAATGCTTGTAATTTTCTGACTAAACCCTTTTATTAGTTGGTTTATTTTCCAAAATTCAGTAAAATATTTTTTAAATAAAACATGAGATATTGGATTTATTAGCTTTTCCATTCTGAATCATATAGACTGCTTTATTTATTCTTAACGAAAATTAATAAATCTCCTCTCTTTCTTCAGATGTGAAAGTTGTGGACAAACCTGTCTAAGCATTGTGAGACTCTTGCAGCACAAGAGGCAATAGCAGAAATAGTAAGTATATCAATCAAGAAATTAAGCCGACATAAAGCAAAACTTTCAACTATTCGTCTAATCTCAATTTCCTATTATTTATTCACAGGACAACTATAGCAGACGGGGAGATATCAGAAGTCTGGCGACATATCAGTGACAGTGTGATTCCAAGAAATATAATGCAATTGAAAATAGAAAATTGCAATAGAAAAACTATAGCAACTAACCCCCAAATGTACCCCATTTCATGTTGAAATCATCATGACAAAGTTAATTTTTCCCAAAATTCGAACAAAGACTTTCGTAGGAATCAAATTACACCAGTTTAAGAAACATAACATGTTCCACCCAGTCATTATCAAATTAAAATTTATATTCTCAAGACCTTTGGCACTGATTGAAATAATTATATCTAAGTTCCCATCCGTACGATGTACATAATTACCCTTATGGAGATAACAGGAGTTTCTGTTTATAACGTAAATCACGAGCTCACGTTTACAGCATTTAATTGGATTTATGATCAACGTATAAATACGACTCCGATATCTTTCGATAGGGAGAGAAGACGATGTAAACCATTCTAAGCTAGTCTGGATAAATGTTATAAGATTTATATTCTGTGTGTTGTGGAAATTTACGAATAAAAAATATAGAGATTTTTAACGCATCTTCATTCACGTGGGCGTTGAAGCTGAAGGGTGAACGGGTGACTTGCAAGTTCTGAGACAATCTACGAAATAGCAATATACGGTAACATACATACATTTACCAATCATATATGCTAAAAAACAACCTATGGAGGCATGCAAAGACATTTGACCCTCCGGTAGAGTTGTGTATGGCCCCCACATCCTGCAGGGCTTGAGGAAAATAACTAAAAATTCCAAAGCGTAAGATTGCATAGGCGGTCTTATTTGTAAAAAGGCACAAAACACGCCAGACATACTTAAAACACTTTGGAAATGAGGATTACGGGTACCTCACTGCACCTGTGTTATATTTGGTTCATCAACTTTTGGTAGTACTATAGAAGAAATTCCGGAAGGGGTATAATCATCATTCATGATAAAATACTATCATATATTTTTTGAACAACTTCAATCTAGACCAGGGATCTCAAACTCGCGGCCCCAGAGAACTTCCAGTGCGGCCCTCGAACGCTTAACAATAATTGTAATAGTATTTTGGAAGTTTTTTTTTATCTAAATGTAATAGATTTTTCAAACCTTCTAAAGTGAAATTGATTATTCACACAGAAAACAATTTACTGAAAGTAGTTTTGGAATATTAATTTTTTTTGTCCACATTTTGACCCAATTAGGAATACACATCAAGCTAGCAAAAGAATACTTGAATAAAACACTTGAGTAATTAAATTAAACGCAAAGTACACGAAGAAGGTGGCATTTTCGAAGAAAATGGGAGTTGTAACATTTCTGCTCTTCACAAAATTCTGAAGCACATTGTTTAATTTGTCATATTTCCATCAATACAATCAAAAAACACAATAAGCTCAGCAGTCAATATGACAAATTCGAAGACCAACTTCGAACAGAAAATTTCCATGTGTTTGTATATTAATATAATTATACAACGACTTAGTTACTAAAAATCAATATCAATAATAATTCAAGCAATCCTATGCCACGCAAGGTAGTGCGAAATGTCTTGTCGAAAAAATCTGTCATTTGTTTTTTTACTGATCTATACATGAAATGATAAAAGTAACTTTTTTGCATTACTGGAATTAATTAAACATTCGTAAAGATCCAGATAAACCCATGATCATGTGGCCTCGTTAGTTAGAGTTGGTACTATAAAATCATTTCAGACTGGCCTTAGTATGCTGGTGACACAAAAAAGATGCCAAACGCCAGGACGAATGTAATTATTAAAACATTGAGTTTATACTGTAGTATTTTTGTTAATTTTAGGTTCATATATTTAGATTAAGTTATTTTTAGTGTATGTATTATTCTTTCCTTATTCAAAGCTTGTTCAAAAATGATTTTGGTGGTTGTACATAGAATTTTACGATTTTTTATAATAAATACTGTAACTTGCAAATGTTGCAATAATAGTGGAATGCAAATATTAATATGTAATTGCATTTGAAATTGAAGAAAATAATAAAACTTAATCCAACTGTTTAGTTGCATCACAATATATGAGCTATGTTCTATGAACATTTGTTCTTTTCTTTGTCTTGAACTTTCCATACTCCACAGCCCCTATTAATTTTTTTTAATTTTAATTACCATGTGATGGTCATACATATCTTTAACTTGTATTTTCTGTCATGATGTATTATCTCAATGTGCCAAACTATTAATTTGTGTGCATATTTTGCTTCCAGATGACATAAATGTATTGTCATGTTTATTACCTCAGCTTGGAGTATTGACAAGAAAAAGGTGCCAGTAAATTAGGTAAAAAAATTTTCAACTCATTGTTATAATCAGAATTCACAATCAATGGACCTTTCCCCGACCTTTGACCCTCGGAAAATTCTCCCTATACTTCACCATTGCAAAATTGTCAGGGCTATTTTAAGAGTGCTTTTGCGAGTTGGCGCCTGTAAAATGGGGTATGTGTTTCAACCATCATTATGTTTCATCGCATACAACAATCTGTTTTTTAAAAGTACCGGTAAAGAATTTCAGGCTAGTCCATCACAGCTATTTCTACACTAACTTTTATTACTGCAATTAAATTAAAACTCCTAGAAAGACAGAGTGATCATTGAATTATCTGATTTTTATTCAAGTTCCCAAAACACAACTGAAAACTAACGAATAGAGTTCAAAAACGCGAAAACGAGGTAATGTTTACAATCACGCTTGAAAATCTGTCTGAGTGAGAAAAGTGTCTGAGCGGATGGAAAAAGGGGACATTGTTACGTCACTTTTTGCATCTTGCTGATTGGCCAATGTCACGAAGTAAACAAGGAAGTCGATGCTCGGGGAAAGGTCCATAGGAATTATAAACAGCCAACAATCAGTGAGAATTATATGCGAAATCCCTCAGAATAAATTTGTCTAAAATCGGAGGAAGGCAAAAAATATAGGTAGTTTCCATTCACACAAGCATTTCAAGAAGACTTGCTCGAGCCAAACTAAATGAGCATCGTCAGGTGATCGGTAAGGCTGCAAGTTGAATTCAGCCCTGCAACCTCCTGCATAGAAGATAATATTAATTAGTGGGCTATGAGCTAAATTCCTAAATTTAAACAAACCTATCTACGATGCATTATGTACCAGCAATGTTACCTACGATTAACTGAATATGTAATATGTCTAATAAATTCACCTACAAAAGCAAGTTCGATAGGTGCAAACTTTGTGTTATGGAATTGTATCGCAGCACAGTTTTGTATGACACCCTCTTTGAATGAAATTTCAATGATTAAGCGCAAACATTAAAATTACTAACTTTGAACTTTGTCATTATCTGCAAAATGTTCCACACAAATCTTTCCGCTATCGCGTTTGTAATCTTCTCTGATAAAAAAAAACGTCTATGATGTCCAGAATTGCTCTTTACAGCTTGCCTGTTATTCCAGCTTTCCAAGTAAGCAAAACTTCTTAGATATAGAGATTATTTTGTTTCGTTACAGGCGCAAAAAGGCAGGTACTACACGTAAAAAAGACGCCGAGTAGCAAAAGCGAGCGGAAAACGGACGCGAAAGGCGACGAGAAATATGTGCATTGGAGCGTATCATGAAATACAATGTTTTGCCTGTAGTCTTATGGAGTGACGTCAGAGTTGCCTATCATGTTGTTTAATGTCATTGCTCAAGGGTGCTGGTAGAGTCTTTGATAGAATATATTTATTTCAGCAAAAATGTGAACCATACAGATTCTGTTGAAATACTTCAGTTCGAGTGTCAAATTCTTAGGTATTCTTGTTTTATTTATAAAACTGAAGCCGAATGAGGTAGGAATTAAAGGAAAAATAAACTTAAAGAAAAGCATTTCAAGATAATGTAAGTTTATTTCGACTCCATAATCAGCAAAAAGGCAATAAAATGGTTGATAAAAACAAATTAATAAAAGCTGAATATGAAATCAGGAGAGTAAACAAAACCTTGGAGAAGGTTTAAAACGTACAAGATATAAGAATATAAGATGGAAGGTATTGCCAAAAAGAAGTGGTACGTGTTCACTCACCTAAAACTATTGAATCAAATCATTCACTCTCGCACATACACAACCATAGGGCATTAATAAAATCAAAACGAGAATATCGGTCAGAGACCGAAGACTTATCGATCGAAAGTTAGAGGATCCCAAAACAGAAACTGCGGTTTCGATTCGAAAAATTCTGCAAACTCGAACTGGATTGTTTTGATTAGTTTTCACCAATATCAAAACTGTAGAAAACAATAGCCAACTCCCCATGTCGTCGTCGGAATACTACTCGAGGAAATACTTTTATGAAGAATTCTGCAAATCCGATCTGGATTGTTTCGATTAGTTTCCAGCCAATAGCCTATTTACCAATCCATTATTTTGTGTCAAATACAACGGCGCTAACCCCGGTTGCGACGGCTATTCAAACACAGCCTAGCGATATTTTGGTGAGGAATTCTGCAACCCCGAACCTGAATGATGGATATGGACATTGCTTAAACTTTAAAGAGTAATTATAAGGAACGAGATACGATCTCGCGGCGTGTATCCTTCGCTCTGACTCAATAGCATGGAAAATTTCTCGAAGAAAACCTGCGCATCGCGACGACGTCAAAGTTACAAGAGAGATATGGACAATGCAAATATCAACCAATGCTGGTTTATCGCGTCCCCTTTCACCCTGAAATGAATTATTTTCCTCTCTTTTCTTATCTCGTTCTGTATGTACAGTGTGTATTTCTTGGTGATAAAATAAAATACTGATTACTGACTGATGCTTAAAGAATAATCACGAGATACGATTTAGCGATGTGTATCCTTCGCTCTGACTCACTAGCGTGAAAACTTGCGCATCGGTCACGCACACACACATTCAGCACGTCTCGAAAATCTCTCGCTTTGTAAAAATCCAGATCTCTTCATCACTAATTAATTAATAACTCGCTAATTATACGACATAATTCATCCAAAATCAATAGGCTTCTGGTCCGAGATATGATGAATGCACATGCAAAATTTGGAGCAGATCCAACCACGCCTTCGTGAGATATCGCGTGCATCTAACAGACAGACAAATACCTATCAACATACTTACCGATTAAAATCGATAAGTAAAAAGAGAGAAGCTATAGATAAATTATATGGTAACCAAATAATAAAAAATAAACACGTAAAAAATAAATTAGAATAAAAGATGAAATGTAAAAAATAATAGGAATTGTTTGCCACACCAAAGTTGAGTGCATGAAGAGGTGGGCTAAACCTTTTCATTCACCAAAGACATGCCAAAATATTGCCAAATTGTAGTCCAGATTACATCGATTATTAAATACTACTGGTAACAGTTTAAATATAATATAATTAGATTAGGGGATTGATACTGAGGTAGGTATTGTAATTTATTGGTTATAAAGGGTGGGTGCAAGGATAAAGGATTGGAAGATGTTTTTTCATATGAACCTTTGAGATTAATACGAAAGATTCATCAGAGTCAGTCTTTGAAAACTTGTTCACATATTTCACTTCATTCGATGATTGTGACATAGCCTGAAAAACGAAAAAACAATCTGCGAGTAGATGTTTAGAAGATTGCATATGTGGATATATGTTGACCTATTAATTATGAGATAAATGAAATTGATCTTAGGAGATATTGACCATTATATTCCTTTACTTTATATTTGGATGATCCAAAAGCAATTTCTGTTAGGGACACAATTGTCACACCATGCAAAAACACTCAATTTTGACCATATCACATTATCTACACTTTGGTCAACAAGTTAACTCCACAGCAATAGCTTACCTAAACATAAAGTGCATGCTTACATTAAGTAGTAGAAAACTACATCAAAGTAAAATCACCAACACAAAATTAAAAATTTATTAAAAGGGGAGAATCCAATATAGCTCGACTGCTCGCTCAGTTACAATACTTGGTATCTTGCAGGAACTATAGCATGCTGTCTACAACCCTCATCAGGATATATCACCACTCATGCAGAAAACAAAAGCCATACACGTGTAATAAGAATAAAACATAAGAATGGAACAGTCTAACAACCCAATGTGTTTGGGAAGCTAGGCTAAAGCTTCCCGAGGTATGGTTATAGAATCACTGAATCAAACATAGACGCGACACGACAAGCAACTTTTATGAATAAAAAAGGTGCGAATTATTCAACCCAATTTTTGTTTTAACCCGAAACCAATAACTTGTACCTGCTTGTGATAAAATTGGAATGTATACGTTACCTATCGTGAAGTTCCGTGGTGTTACACATCAAGAAACTTTAATGCTTAGTTTTGCAAACATGTTGGGTTGTGAGATTGTTTTTGTTTGAACTCTACTGAACAGTCACACTCGTACCCTTACTTTTCTTGCCGCTGATCACGCTATTGCGGACGAAGCACACATATTGACAGAACCTCTCTGAAACTCGGAAAGATGACTTGGAAGATGTTTGATGACTTGTTTGGGAACGATAGGCGGTTCACAAAAGAAAAAATTCTTCTTTATAATTTTATCGCGATTTATGAAACCCCTCCGAATACAACACAATGTATGTTTTAGTAATGAAAAATTCCAATCTCCAAACATAAGTCATGTTACATAGATTTTATTTTATTCATGATGAGTAAAATCTGTTAAGACATAATCTTGTGGTAAACTATATACACATCATCAGAATTAGGTCCAGCATAAGTATACTTAAATTAAAATATCACACTGAATTCTACATGGAAAAAAACAATTGAATTACTTATATATATATATATATAGAAAATCAACATTATTTATAATATTCAAATCAATCATACACACAAGGCAAATTCTTTACAAAATTAAGTGTGTCACAGCCACATTAAAATAAAGTAACAAAAAATATTAACGGCATTCACATATGAATCAGCCATTTACTTCCTAATACTAGTTTGGAATATCCGAGTAGTATGATTCTTCTTACAGATTAATCAACACTTTAAAATTATTTTAAATTAATAAAAATTGAAACTTTAGAAATATAATTAAAAATTATTCATCAATTTGGCAAACTAAATATTCGTCACAAGAATCAATACAGTATTTATCGCCACCACTCTGGTGACCAAAAAATCTTGATATAAGAAATAAACTGTAGGAAAGGTGCAAATTTTGTAATGAACAGAGAAAATAAGCTATTTTCAAGCCCCAACAATTTTAAGCAATATCGGAGCAAGTTTATACACCGTCAACATGGCTTTTTGGTTAGTTTGCCTGCTATATCAATTTCAAATTCTCAGCACTAATAGTAGCATATACATCCAGAAATTTTTACACATTCTGAAATATATCACATTTGTTATTACAAATTAATGGTTGAAATTAGTTTGTAGATTCTCGATTATGTCTTTATATATCAAGTAAAGAGTTCCATTGATTCCTTATGCATAAAATGTCCCATCTGAATCTCTACCCTTTCTATTCTTGTCCGTCTGTTAAACACATTGCAAAGATTTTGTTTTAAATTTCTCCCTCATTGATAGGATAGGATAGGATTTACATATTTATCCAGGGGGAGAGGAAAGCCGATAAGACGGCTTATCCATATGGCGAACCACGGCCTCTCGTCCGGTTACCATTCCAAGTCGGGTATGGGATTAGTTTTTACTGTATTGTTTGTTTTCGGAAGCATGGACTTGGTGGTGGAGGAAGCCGTAACCGACCAGCGGTTACGTGAACCACCCAACGCTTCAAAATTAGGGTAAAAGACTTAAAAGACTAACAAAAATCCCTATGTTTATCAATTATACTCTTTTACACAACGAATCTGGGACACATTAATATGCATTAAATTTAGGAAACAGATTATGTTTGGCCTAAGCCCATTCTGTACCAATGCTTAATTAATGTGTGATACCATGTTAAAACAATAACATATTTTGAGACATTTTCAGAAATTTTTCAGTGACAACCGTTGAAAAACAAATTCATATTTTCCAGCATGTATATCTACCACAGTCATTACTAGAAATCTGACAATTTCAGTGTTTTTCAACCTATTGGTCGCGACCCAAAACAGGGTCGCCTGAGAATTTTCTTGGGTGATTGATTTTCAACAAAACCCTAAAAAATTACTGATTTTATTGCCGAGAAATTTTATTGTTTCATTTATATTTGGTATTGAAGTGTCGCTCAATAGTAATTGGATATGTGGCAAAGTTGGTAGGATCTATTTTGCTCAAGTAAAGCCATGTCCTGATTTTAAAAACCAGCTTATGGCAAACAAGCGCAGCTTTCTCACTTTGAGGCAATTTATGGGTTAATAAATTTTATGTAAAAACGACTATTTTAGCATCTTAATTCAGTGTAATAAATTACCAACTAAAACGTCACAAGCTTGTGGTATTAGACTTCAGCCTAATTGACTAATGTAATATCTGGCACTGTATGTTGCCCATATCTCACCGAAGATGATCCAAAATGGTTGTTATTCATTGGTAACTGCTCAGTTCGTCTGGTTCCGACATTTTTATTTTCTAAATAAATCAAATTGCTAAATAGCCATTATTATTCTAGTATTATTCTACCAGTTTGTACCATTTGAGAGAGAGAAGTCAATAGAATGGTTTAATCATATATTGAACAATAGCATGTTATCCAGACAATGTTGCGTAAGATAATAGTAGTTTGAATAGACCAGTTTTTGTTACAGATGCACGGACTGGTGGAAAAATCTAACAACTACAACGAATACAAAAATAAATATTCCTTAATAGTAAGATGGAAGGAGGAGAATTTGTAATTTATTTAATCACGAAATGCATAAACTGGAGATAGTGTGATGATAATAGATTTGAGGACAGATGTAATAGGGAAATTTTCAAATATTACAATACATAATCAATAGAGTTACCTATTCTTTTTATATCAGTTCCATCGAAAAATCGCATATTTTGGAAATCAACATGATAAACTTGATCATTGATTTTCACAAAATCTGAGTTTTCTTCCGTTCTACTTGATTCTCCTTGTTTTTCTTTTCCCTTTGCAATTATTTTTTAAATGTAATATTAGAATAAGTGAATCTTTTTCAGGTGTGTACAGAAACCAACATACTCCTAGAAACAGGTCAAATTAGGTGGGGGGTTATGCAGACCATAAAGTGAAAAAATTAGATACCTGCAGAAACAGCAATTCTAACTTCTGGCTGATGTCATCTTCAAAATTTTCCCAAGTGTTAAACTTACTCTTGAATGCCCAAGAAAAATTATAAGCATTCCAACCCGTATGATTGAGTCCAAATTCCTTCAGCATAACTTTGATCTCATCTGAGGCAATTGATACATTATGCGATTTTCCCTCAATTGAGATTTTATCTTTAGATCTGAATAATATCAAAATACTGTAGTTATAATTCATTCAATTCGTATCAAAGAATGAAATAAGGGTTAAAAAAAGAGAATGATAATCAAAACCACAATTAACCTTATTGAGGAAGAATATATTAATTAAACAATCTAACGATTCATATTTTTTATTAGTGTTTTTTTTATAACATTTTCATTTTGCTGATGATAGTGGCCGAGTAAACCACTTTAAGACAACTGGAGTCAGGCAATGGTCTTGAACATAATTTCACCGCTCAGCACAAGAACCATCGAACCCACGCATTGTAATCACAGACGTCAACATAATGCGCCAATAGACGAGCTTATATAAGCAGAATATCACATAACTGGGATTATGCTCCTTTACATAAATAGCAACATCTACCAAACTAACCAAAAAGTTTGCCTTAAGGTATTGTTTCAAAAGTATTACTCTAATTCAATATTTTTTTGTTCTTTCAAATAATAATATGTTAACTGTTAGTAAATATGGAATGTTATTTCAACGAAGATTTGAATATCAAAATGCAGACTCGTATACCAGGAACAAAATTTAATTTCTATTTATAAAATACAAACCTTTGAATAAGAACATTATGTTTCTGACGCAATTGTTCAATAGCTTCCCATTTTGAAGCAATCAGACCAATTACAATGTTGTCAGTAATTGTATAAGTCGGAAACATTTCCTCGATTTTTTTCATTAGAGCAGTCCAGGCCTAACAGCAATATTGATTAAAAAATCATTAAAGATTATGTATTTTGATAAAAAGAATAAATAAACAAAATCATAACCTTCCATTTTAAAATTAATTCATTATTGATTTTTACATTAAATGCATTTTCAATTAGCTTATCAGCAGCACACTATCTAAATGGGTTACATCCAATTGAATATCTTCATAGGCAAAACATATTTACCTTCTCCCCATATTCTTGAGTAAAGGAATAAATTTGAAATTCCACTTTTTTACATCCTTTGTCATTGTTAATATCATCTGGACTATATTTTTTCTCATCTACAAATAATTTAGAAATCATGAAAATATATCGAAAACTATCATGTTGTAAATTTCTGTTCGAAAATCTGTATGAAAACCTCCTGATATGCTGTTTATCCCAGTTACGTATTTATTGAATTTAACTAGCATTACATTCAGTGTATAAAATCAGAATAAATTCAACGTAGAATTATTTTAAAGTGAAAAGGCAAACATTAATTAAAAAGATTGGTATCCTACAAAATTTCTTTATTGGCCATATTAATCTAACATAACTAATAAGGTATATTAAAGTTAGCTCTTGAAACATGCACTTTGAAAACATATTCATAATGAATTGCTAATTATGACAAGAATCACATTGAAATAAAATAAGTCTAAATCAAACATACAAAGTATCATTAAAAATATAGCAAGAATAAATCAGAAATTAAGTCTTCCTATGACCCATTTTATTAGGAATATGATTAGCATTTTTAATAACTCATACCCAGCAATAATAATTACCATAAGCATTCCTTTGTCCATGTAATTGTTTGCCAATTTGACTGCCGTAAGTCCTTGTTTTTTCATACTCTAAAGTCAAATGAAACCTAATTTAATAATCCATTCATTTTAAATATATTTGCACACTATCTTAACTATTTGCTTTCCAATGAAAGTGATATTTTTCAAAACAATGCTGTTTCCATCAATAGCTGCTAAAAACTATGATTCCATCATTAATTGAATTCTGGGACATTATATGCAATACCATTTCCCATCCAAATCAGTTGATACAATCATAATGTATCATGTATTAAAAATGGATTATTCAACTAACATTTCTATGCAATCAAGTCATAACTTTTTGGACGGAGACACACAGTGTTTCCCTCCTATACTGCATACCAAAGACTTAAGCTATAATTGAGAAAGAGGAACTATGATCAGTACGCTTGTCAGATACCTGGTAAGGTGAAAACTGATAAAAAAGTAATAAAAAGTCTAACCAGTTTCACTTTCCAGAAGCCCTTGTCTGAAATCGCTCATTTGTGACTCCTCATATATCACAAAATCAACTTTAGTCAGATATTTTGTGTTTGGACATCTGTCCACAAATTCATGGATAGCTTTCATCAATATTTTGGCTATTGTCACACTAGGCAATTTCAGCTGCCCTGTTTACATTTGATAGAAGTTGAAAGTAAATAGCAATCTAGGTGTCGAAAAATGGAGATGTGTAACAATATGTTCTAGATCAAGGGTGCCCAACCCGCGGCCCGCAGGTCGCATGATGTCAAAAAATGAAGATGTGTAACAATATGTACTAGATCAAGAGTGCCCTACCCGCGGCCCGCAGGTCGCATGGTGCCCGCCTGACTGATATTTGCGGCCCACCCAATACATTTTGCAAGCTGACTTTTCAAGTTTTCACTATGTTATATATAGGCTTAAATATGTTCCATGAATTTGGTGTGTTTATTCCCGCCATCTATCTACATCCGGATGCTGATTCTTATTTCTACGTATGCATCAAGTCTTGCTCCCTGATGGACATCGACGTTAAGTTTTTTATTTTTCGCAGAACGGTGCGTTATGTTCGACGAACTACAAGGATATTGTACAATCATTGGCAACGAACGCTAAGCGCAATTATAGGAAGGAATATGGAACCTAAATTTCCAAATTAGTTTCATTCTGAAAACTTTCTTTCGTGTAGGCTTTGATCGTCTTTATCGCCAAATAAAATAAATAGAGAACAATATCTTTGCTGCTGACTTCGGGACTCGATTTTTTATGTTTGTATTTTTGTTTATGTTGTGTTTGCGTTAAATAAAATGTCGAGAATATTGTCACTGCGTATCTGTCAATAATTCTGATAAAATAGACTCAATGGTAATTCTACATATTCAAATTAGTATATATATTTGTCCAGAAGTTATTGTAATGTTTTTTTCACTAAATACTTGTATTGATGTTTCAAATTTTACGAAACGGTCCACTAAAACTTGATCTTTCCGCGACATTGGTGCACATTAGGCTTATTGAGACAATGTCATTTATTAGCCACTGAAAATACGTCTTTGTTTGTTAGTGAAAACTCTGTGCAGATTCTCGTGTGGTCGTCAAAAATCTACAAGTGCGTTGTGTAATGATCGATTTTTTGAATCAGCGACCCGCGAGTGTCATGTCCACGCCCTGTGTTACCAGATATTCGAATAGTAAACTGCTATTCTAATATTCGACTTCATATTCGAATATTTCGCCAGCACTAATCAGTAACCACTTAACCAGTAAATAATTATTAACTTGATTGATTTTATGTTAATAATCTTGCCTATTATATATTATGTAAATTCTAATGAAATCATGACTTGTCTGGTATTAAAGTTTGATACAAGCGTTTGCGGCCCGCAACAAATTTCGTCATGTGAAAGTGGCCCGCGATATGAAGAAGGTTGGACAGGCCTGTTCTAGATGGTGTGACGCACTGTGCTAAGCGTCAGGAATACACTTGCCTCTGCAATACACTGTGTGGTTTGCAAGTTCGAATCCTGTGATGTATAATTATGTGTGAGGGATCGCTGGACTCCTCGCCACAGTAGGGTGTGCTTCATGTAACTGCAGGTTGGTTACAGCTTCCTCCACCATCCAATGCATGCATCTAATAATAAGTGGCTAACTATTCTTATATCCGACATGGACTGGTGACTGGACAAGAGGTTGTAGTTCGTCATATCATTGAGCTGTATTAGTGGCTTTGCTCTCTCCAGGATAAATATGTAAATTTTATTCTATGTACTTCTCTGTTATAGAAACCTAGAACAAAAAGACTAAATATTACCTGTACCAATAGCTGGAATTGATATAGATGAGCAACTTTGTTGTTCAGCAGTATACAAAATGTTTATTAAACAAACTCCAATTTTGTCTGGATTTTTTGGTGTCACAACATGAATTATCTTTGCACATGAAAGTTTCCCACCAGATGTCACACGAATATTATCACCCTTAGCTGATTTAACTTCTTTTTGAATTTGGAATCCACCTTTGCGTATAATCGCTTGTGAAACCATTCCTACGAATAATGCAATATTCAAGGACAAATGAACGAAATTTCAGCACAAATGATGAGGTGAAATATATTCAGTTGGTAGTTTCACAGAATATTTCAAATTTCAAATCTTTCATGATTGTCTGAGGCCTTTATTGTTATGACAGGATAAAAATTCCAAATTCCAAACCTAGATGTAGTCCTGCAGACAACCATGCCCATCATTTCAGCCAGTCGTATACTAAATTGAGTTAGATCTATTAAATCTGATATATTAAGCTTTTACAAATTTAAGTGTCTCTATATCAGGTTTTTTTTTGGTATAAGAGCCACATGCAGCAAGTCAGAAATATGAGAGCCGCATAATTTTTGAAATTAATAATATTAAAATACCGTGAACTGAAAAAAACTTTACACAAACATATAATAACAATATTGCAAAGTATATATTGCGAGGTCATATCAGAAGTAGTTTACTCGTGTGTTTCCATCCTATCTGAACGTTTTTAAAAGTCTCAGTGTTATGTAGTCAATGCAGTGCGGGACGTATTGCACTGTTACCGAGACTAACCGCAATAAAGCTACAATAAACTGCAAACGCTTTAAATTTAATTTTAACTTTAACTTCAAAATTCCACGCTACGATTTTCATACTAAAACATAATTTTTCATTGATGAAAACTTTTTCCACTGCTTATTAAATAAAAAAAAATGTTATGCTACAGTTTCTCTTAGTTAAATTTGGATAAAAAATATTACTAGCGAGAAGAGCCGCATAAAAACTCCGGCGAGCAGCATGCGGCTCACGATGCCGCAGTTTGCCCACCATTGCTCTATAACAGCGTTTACCAAACTTTTTCGGCCACAAAACACTTACACTTTTTATCTCGCCTTGCGGAACACTAAAAAATGGAAGTGTTAAATTGATAAAGAAAAACGATGTAATTCAGCGGTTACCAATGGGTTCATCGTGGCGAGTTGCCAAATGCGCCGCGAAAACTAACAGAATTGTGTTAAACATACCTAAAATATGATTGAATATTTTACATATTTCATTTACCGGTATTATAAATGTTTTATTGTTTCTTAATTTGAATGCTGTGTATACGGATCAACAAATTCCTTTTACCTTTCTATGTGGTTTACTTTCCATTACGTAGTGTTTGCCTGTAATGTTACATCTAACGGAGATAGAAATACTTGCTGCAACTTCGTGAGCTGCAGTTTATTTATCTGCTGAATCGAGTTTAGCGAACATGAGTAATTTTTTCAGCCCTTCAAAGTAAAACCAGCCAGAGATGGCGGAAGAAGAGTTGATCATTTGCCTCTAATCTCTAGACCTACTTGTTTGCATAAAGCAAAACTAAAAGGATTGCTGCAAACTTGATAATGAACTTAACAGTCAAAAGCTAGGTTTACGATTAACAAAACTGCCACTACCCTACCTTAGTTAGTCCGCTTTAGGACGATGGTGACGCAGTCAGTTGGGCGACAACTTCACGATCCTTAGATCGCCATGGCGACCCATTTAGACGTATTTTTGATTTATTTTCCACAGAACACTCGGAAGACGCTCGCGGAACACAGTTTGGGAGACACTGCTCTATACTATGCACAAAGACTCAAGATTCAATATTTAGTGCATAAACATTCAAACTCATGTTTATTTCAGTATGCAAATCAGCCACAAATAGATTTTACGGTTTCAGATTCTTAATCCAAAAATTTTCTAACCTTGAGACAAATCAAACCTTGTTCCAGTACTGTTAACAATAGCAGTGTTAGTCTCCAAAGTAATGTCTCCTTGCCGCACAGATACTGTAAGATTACCAATCGTGGCTGATGTATTATTGGATTGGCTTTTCTTTCCATTACTTTTCTGCATTGACACAAAGTATCAGCTTATTAAATAATTGTGATAGCAGCATTTCCATTCAATATTGGATATATATTTATGACAACAGAATGATGATACTAAATGCAAATGGGACTCTGCTATGTCAAATTGGTATGTTCACATGCAAACATTCTCCCTAATGTCATAACCAATTTTAAAAAGATTTACATTACAGTTTGATGATTCGATTTTATGTCGGTCAAAATAATGAAAAATTAAAATGGAATACCTTCTTCGGAGAATTTGCTCCATATGTGCTTTTTTTAGTTGGAATTTGATTTCCTGCAAAGCACAATCAATAAAAAATAAAAAATAAATAAAATATTTTTGGAAAGTATTAGTTCAGTAAATAATCTTGCTACATGGTAAAAATGGTCAAGCTCTAAATCACAAAGAAAACATAGATCAAAATCTATCGGTTATGCTCATAACTCACAAGCAAAGAAATGCTGGAATGCTTAACTTGCGAATGTTGTACATTTTTTTCTTACACAAACGTTATTAGTAACCGAATAAGAAGCTATGATTTGTCATAAGATTAGGCTGCCTCAACGACAAAAGTCGCTAGATTGTGGCGGGTACGTTGATGTACTCCACTGTTTTATTTAGCAATCGGTCACAAACTGTTGGTCTAGTTTTTCCGGGTTTTAGTTTATTGATAAGAAGTCTTCTTCGAGATTAACATAAGCGACTGTAAATCTCGCTTTCGTTTACGACAGGAATTTTATTTGTGGCGGAACGAGGGAGTGTTTTTGAAATTTATGCAAATTTCGGTGTTTTTTGGGTGGTTATAGAATACATATTATCCCTTCCATCTATCAAAGTATTTTGAGTTAGATCACGAAATTGCTACAGCAATATTATGCTATTGTTTGCCAACCACGAAGCGGTAACAGTAAAGGATTTAGCGAATATTTCTATTTTTATCACGGTTTGGAGTTTCAACTCCCAAGAAAAAAAATGACTTTTTTCTATCCGGTTTGTGACTCGGACCACCACTTTTGAAAAAACTTTTGTTTTCAATCGCCAATTGCAAGCTCTTTAAATAAGCTTTCCAACGAGCCATCAGTGGGCAGCAGAGGATCATTAGTTTTTCGTTAAACGATCAATTAGTTGTGGGGGTACAAATGCATAAAATCGGCGTAGCAAATACGATTATTTAATAAAAAATAAAAATCACATGGAAAGGGTTAATAAAAAAATATATTATTTTATCATAACTAAACTAAATTGTCTCTCACATTAGCGATAAAATGATTATGAAAGATAAAAACATTATGCTTACCAACTCCTTGCATGGCAACTTCAGTTTCAAAATCCGACAAATGTGAGTCTTCAAATATCACAATATCAATGATTTTTAGATGTTCAATATTTTTAACTTCTTTCACAAATTCTCGAAAAGCATCAAACATCATTTTTGCAGATTCTGCACTTGATAGGCCAATTATACCTTGACAGAAACAATATAAAGTAAAGCGAGAAAAATTACAAAACACTGCAGAATTTTAGTCAGAGATGTGAAAGATACTAAGGGAATGGTTATAAACAAAGGTAAGCTTGATTTTCACCAACAAGTATGTTGTACAGAAACTCACAATAAAGATATTAGAATGTAAAAATTGCGATCAAGAGCAAGAATAATCAAGAAAAATCGAAATTAGTCAAATGAAAGACACATTTAAATTCATATTATGCATCAATGTAGTATGTGGTTAAATGATTTGGGTTATTAATTGTCGGGGTATTAATTTAAGTTTGAAGTTTACAATTAAAAATTAGGGCCTTTGCAAGACAATGATAACTTTTTGAATATAGCACAAAAGCAACAGAAAATTGTGCATCGCACCAATGTGACCATGAATTAAAGGAAAATGGTTTCCATATTTTTATTGTGAATATCCCTTCTTGGCAAATTGTTAATTAGAAATCAACTTTAAATATATATTTTATTTAGATGAATTTTATCTAACTCTGGAACCATTTTGTGGTACACATATTTCATTAATCACATACACCCAAACTGCTTTTAATTTTTAGCAATTGAAAATATTAACTTACATCTGTGTTAATGATATGACGTCATGAATAACTGATAATGATATGAAATGAAAATGTAAACTCTAAGGCAGGAGTCACCAACCCGTTGCCCACAGGCACCAAGTCACCCGTTACACCAAGTCACATGAGTCGCCCGCAGGCTGTTCCGAAATAAGCTTAATAACAGCGCTTATAAGTAAGCTACATCAATTAATTTTTGTCATGCTATTCTTGTATAAATCACATTTATGTCTGTATGTGGGAACTGGGAATGACACTATGTTAATTATTATTGTATCGATCAACCTGATTAGTATTTCACCTCAGTAATGTGACGGGTCATTCGATACTTTCCCAATTATGACGTCACACAGATATCACATTCCACGAACCCACGTTTTTTTTTGTCTGTTGATTTGTGGAGCAGCAATAATACAATTATTGATTTCAAAGAAAAATGACAGAAAAACGAAAGAAAATCTACAATTTTTTACGATGGATGGGAGGTGTTTTTTTTTACACCACCTTGTGTATGTCTCATTTGTGAGGCGATTATAGCAACAACAAATGGGGAGATATTTCACATCTTGTCACTATACATTGGCCAGTGCAGTAAGAGCAGAAAAAGCTCGCCTTTTAACAGCAATCCTATTTTACCAGACCAGTGTTGGGTTCAATCTATCTTTGTGAATCAACATTTTTTTGATATGAACTTCACAAGGAACTAAACACGGAACACGCCTCATTGATGAAAATCTGCAAGACTCGCTAGACAGGGTTACAGTGTTAAGTTACACGCCTGAGTACAACACACTGGTGGAGAGCATTAGACCAAATTTGTTTGATTTTGGTTTTCTTCTTGTTGAAAACAAGATATTCATAATTAGCTAAATGTGTATGTAAATGCAACATTTGACAGTACAACTGTCAATTTCATTTTATCTTAGGGTTATGCAGGGTGTTCGTAAACAAGCAGGTACATTGTGGACCTGTGGTTTCCGAGGATATTATTGTAGGGATCAGTTTAAAAAAATGGAAGTGCCATAGATAGTAATTTGTTTGCTACGTTGTGATAATTGTTTGATTTCCCGAAGAATCCTAAAGTTTATCAGTGTCTCTACTTGACTAAACACCAGTAATTATCAATAATTGAAGCTTAATCGAACAAATTTACTTTTTTAGAAGTGTACAATGAAATGGTAGCCCTCGGCTTAATCTGTACCCAGAAAGGAGCCCTCGGCTTCGAACAGGTTGGTGACCCCTGCTCTATAGGTATAAAACAAAATGTATACCTGTTCCAATAGCAGGTATCGAAAGAGATAGGCATTTGCGAAAGTTGGCTTCTTTCAAAACATCAACTAAAAATTTGACAATTTTCTTTCTGTCATTAGGGATGACTGCATGTAGTATTTTTTTGCATTTGAGTTTTCCGTTGCTCGTTACGCGAATATATTTCCCCGTAGAATCAAATACTTCTTGCTTGATTATTTTTCCACCTTTTTCTACTATTTTTCTGGATATTGTCCCTAACACAAAAAAATATTAATCATTCGCAAATTTTCCAAATTGTAAGATACTAATATGTTTGAAAAGTTTAATAAAGTTAAATGAAAATTCAAATCTTCAAATTGCTGGTAGTTGCTTTTGCAAATATGCAAACCTGTGATTGGATCGAAAAACCAAATATCAAATCCACTAAGGAACTATAGCCATAATTACCTTTGGACAAATCAAATGTTATTCCAGTTACATTGACAATTCCATCATTAGTTTCATTGGTTATATCACCTTGACGAACAGATATTTTCAAGGGTCCAAGTGCAACTGAATGTACTTTGTTCAATTTATGACTTGGTGCTTTCCATTCAAACTTGTCATCATTTGGTTTCTACATATACAAAAAATTTGAAAGAATGGTGAATATTCAATTTATCTAATTAGCAGATCGAACAGAAAAATGTTCAAGCGCACATAGTGCATGATGCAGTTGTCACATATTTTAATATTTGATGAAATCAAAGGCATAAATGTATTAACATTGAGCAGATATATTTTTGAAAAAATTCACCTTGGGCATTTGTGATCTTTGTCTTTCTGTTTTGACAAATATTGTTGACTTATTATTTTTCCCAATTGTATCCAGTACGTGTTTACTTTTGCCATCGATGAAATACTCTACAATGCCATGTTTTTCCACAGTTCTTGACAGCAAAACAGTATTCTTGTTCCAAGCCAATAAAGCATCTCCCACTAAATGAGGAAAATAGTTCTTTTTTTTCATACCTCTACGCTTTATTATATAATATTTTATTATATTAAATGAACTGATCATTCATTACAAATAAACTGTGATATATTTCTTGAATATTACATGAACACCAAAAATTCAAATTTTGATCAAAGCAAAATTTTTGCTTTCAAATATTAGATATAATTTTTAATTCAAAATGAGCACATCTGTTTCATTCTTATCCTAAAATCAGAACTAATTTTGACATGAAACACAAAATAGTTTGTAATACTGACTTGTTTTCAGGCCTCTTTGTGTCCCCTTCAGTAAGATACCTTCATCAACCAACTCATGCTTCAATTGATTTTTTCGGCAAATGTCTCTAAAGTTTTCGAACTTCAAGAAAAATTGAGCTTTTCCATATTCTGCCTTATATATCATTCTGAAATTCACCAAAGATCCAAATAGTTCCTTCAATTTTTCTTTGGCCTGGCTTACAAACTGTTTGAAGCCGACAATTGACAAAATATTCTCCTGATATGAATAAAAAAAATATATCAGCATTATTTAAAAGTAACAAATATATAAGACAGGATACTTGTAAAAAATATAATTTGAAATAAGTAACTCACTTTTTTAGAACAGTGATTTTCGTGGAACACTTTTAATATAAATATTTGTTTGTGGAACACCAAATGAAACCTTTCAATTTTACGGGTAAAAAATCCAAATAATTAACTCTTTCAGTTTTGGCATAAAATGAAAATATCAAAAAGGATAAAGGCTTGTCAGCCCAGGTTGGGAAAACACCTAATGTTTATTCAAGACTACAGAGAGCTAAGTACAAATAAGAGTGATTTAAAGTCATACCACAAATCGACTGAGGAAAGGCAAATATGCAGTTCATTTTCAATGGTTCTCAGTTTCTTATGTATTTTAGCTTTCACTTTTTCTTTTCTAATATTCATTTATCAAAGCAGTAATTGATATAAAATGTGTTACAAACAACATTGGTAAACAACTGCCACAGACGAACCTACTGGGTAATTAGGTAACTAAGATCCTGTTATGATGTCATAAGACCCTAAGATTCGGTAATTTTATAGTTCCAATGGAGTATTATTATTGAACAATAAACTCATCTTAATCAAAAACGTACTCCTGAAATTTCCACTTGTGTAATTTCATATCATTAATATGTCAATTGATATGATTTTATACGGCAAACGGCATTGTGAACATTTTTCCAAAAACACGTTTTGAAATGTTGGAATATTCAAAAAAAAAAATACCATACATTCAATGAGAAACACGTGGTTATATTTGCTATGTGTTCTATTTTATTGATTTGTCATTATCCCTTTTTTTATTATTTTTATATCATCATTGTTTACTCACATGCGGATATTTGCGTTTTATGCCGTTTTCACCTGTGATGCATTGTAGTCGAGTCACGGCTGATAATTTCGATGCTTGTGTTTGGATAAAGTCTTGAGCCAAATATCAAAGCTCTGAGTGGGGGAACAGAGATCCCAATAAAGTTATTGTGGGTATTTTTGTGTATATATTTATATATATATATTAAAAATATTTTCCATAATTTGTTGTGAAAATTAGTTAAGCTACATTCAAGCAAATAACTTCAGGTAGAACAATTATCCAAGAAATTTTAAGTCAATCTGTATTATTACTTATCGATTTTAATCGGTAAGTATGTTGATAGGTATTTGTCTGTTTGTTTGTCTGTCTGTCTGTTAGATGCACATGATATCTCACAAAAGCGAGATTGAATCTGCTCCAGATTTCGCATGTGCATTCATCATATGTCGGACCAGAAGCCTATTGATTTTGGATGAAATATGTCAAATAATTAGCGAGTTATTAATTAATTAGTGATGGGACACAAGGTGTCACTATGGAGTAAAAACGCTGTTTTGGGGATCCCCTAACTTTTGATCGATAAGTCCTCGGTCTCTGACCGATATTCTCGTCTATCTATCGCAATTTTTATTGGCACACAAATGTATATTTTGCAAATTGGCACACTGGAAAGAAAACATTGCCAACCCATGAACAGATTATACCTCGTCCAATTAACACTCAATTTTAATATTTGAACCTAATTAAGATTTACTTTCATACGAAGCTGAATTTTCCCATCAGTTTCCATTGCGGATGCAATTTTCCAACCTTGGCTCTGCTTTTCATTCATGGTTACAGAAAAAAGTTCCATAGACTCGTCAACAACTAAACTGTCATTCAAACATGCTAAAGAAGAACTCATATTCTTTTCATCTGACCATATATAAGGCCAATCATCTTCAAATTGAAGATTTGCTGGAAAAAGTTTTAGTCACTCAATAATTTTGAAACATTGAAAAACAATGAAGTATGTTTCGTTTTTATAGGCTGCTCTAGTTTTAAACAAAAAAAGACCTTGGAAAAAATTGATGAAACTATATTGCATTTTAAAGGTGTCAAATGCGATAAATATGTTCATTCTAAATACATCACATTTAAAGTAACAAATCATGAAAACAGATTTGAGTAAGCTGTCAAAAACACATTTATGCTATATTTGAAATATAGATTGGTTTACCACAAACATTTTCTTTTTGAAATATTCTGAGAACATGCTGTGAAATTTTTTCATTCTGTTTAGAGTCCTTCAAAAACTCCAAAAAAGCCTTTTCGCTTGGGATATATCTTTCAAATTTTAGAGTCTAAAAATATTGAAAATAAAATATTGGCTATGAAATATTGGGACAAATATTGGGAAAAACTTAACACTAAACTGACTTTTCATCACCGAATATCAATATTTCAATATATCAATATTTATCGATGAAACAGCCGCTGAATTTTCATTATTCTGGTATGACCACACTTGTGCAAACTGCAATGAATTGCTAGGCTGGATATAAAATAAGTTTAAAAACCTATTATTCAAGCATTAATACCTATCACCTGAATAAAACATATTCCGAGTGTTTCAGAAACAAAGCAAAAATTCATCAACTTGATTTTTTTTTAATATTCAAATTATTCAACATTATGATCAATTTTGAGCCTGTATCTGCTGAATAGCTGTTACATAGATTTTAGACTAATGTGTAAATGACAATTCATTTCTTAGTAGTTGGAAAATACAGTAGTTATTGTACTTCAATTTCATGAGTGCTTCAAAATAAAAACCAGAATCTAGACCTGGCTTTCCCAAACTGTGTGCCGCGGCACACTAGCGTGCCGCCAAGGTTTTGAAATTGTTCCGCGAATTTTCACAAAATTCCAGAGATTTTTTCACCATAATCAACACTGCAACATGAACTTTATTACATTGCAACCAATGGGTGAGCCAAAAAAACGGAACCCAGTCCTTTGGAACATATTGTATGGATTTCCATTTTTGGAACATCCTGTATAAAGATTTATTATTCTATGTCCACCGATAGATGATGTAATATGCCACACTTTTCTAAAATATGAATTGTTATACGGTTTCGACCCCAACCCAAAAATGCAAGTCCGCTCAAAGCAAAGTCGCTAGACTTTAACTAGGCAATTATCTTCATACTGGCAGCAGTTAAAGAATTAAAGAGACTCTTAAAGTGATATTACTTCCATAATTTTTCACATTTCCTTTTTCACATGAAATAAAAAGAATTGTTAATTTTGCCATGCAAATTTTCCGTCAGTATATCAGTACAACGAATGCAATACAATATATATAGTACAACAAAATGTTTTTTTATTTACATTTTCATGATTCTGCGAATATTAATTTTATACGCTGACAGAAATAAAAAGCTAAAAACGATAAAGACTTGTTACAATTGACCTGCGAAATCTTGTTATAATCTTATTTACTGCCGAAACGCATAATACTTACAGATGAGGGATTTAATAAAACTGATCTGTAATAAGTGTGCCGCGAATTTTTAATCTTGCTGTTAGTGTGATACAAGCTGAAGAAGTTTGGGAACCCCTGATCTAGACAAGCATCTGCTGATATGTAAGAAGATGCATTTCTGGAATCAGGCCAACCGATAGCCAATTTCCTACATCTCAGATGATATTCAAAAAATGGAAAAATAGGATTTACTCACAGATACCGTCTTTTTAATAGCAGATTGAGCTTTTAATGAATTTTCTTTCATGCCAGAAAAGTTAATTGATTTAAAATTTTCATCATGATTTATAACAACTTGATACTCTTTCATAATTTGTTTTAAAATTCCACAATCCACCAGCCACCTGTACATATGAACGTTTTATGAACATAACAAGCTGATGCTATCTCTATAAGCGATAATCCCAAAAATTTTACAAGCAATTTGACTTTGAAAATAATTTTGAGATCAATTTATTTTGTGTTCAAAATTGACAATTCCAATCAATTCTGAAATCATATCTGTAATCTATGCTTGAAAACATTAGAAACATTTCAACAAATCGCAAGGCAAAAGTATTTTGTATATTGATCTATTTATAATAGATACCTGATTTTTCCTTCTTTGAGATGCAAAGTTTTATAATCAGATGGTGTTTCCAAGCTAGAAATAAAAGAATCCACTTCTGCTTTGAGACCAGTAACCACAACTTCATCTTTCGCTTCGTTTGCCCATCTGAAATAACCAGAAAAAAAGATCCTCAGTTTTCCTTAATCCGAAAAGCTTTATTATCTTATCGTATGTATGTACCTTATGTTTATTTGCTTCAAAAATGTAACAGTATCTGCATAATAGTTAAACGGTATAAAAGTGACGGGATACATATTCAAGACCTTACTGGCCTAAGGCACAGATATGCGACATGCACCCCAACAAGTAAAACTGCAGTTTAGAACTGCTGCGTTATAGTAGGACACTAGACATGGAATATACAAATAAAACTCTTGTAGACTACACAGGACAAAGAGGTACGGCACCACGGTGATATGTACAATAGGCAATGTTTTATAAGAATATTTGCTCGAAGCAAGATCACCTGCATTAACGCATAAGTAAATGAGGCTGATCCATGAGAGAAACTATGGGCAACCATTGAAGTAAAATAAAACCATTGAACTAAAATATAGGATTAAATTTTTTTTTTTCTTCAAAATCATAAAGAGAATTGAACAATTCATCAAAAAATAAATAAAAATGCATACATGCATTCAATGAAAGCAAACATTCATTATAATCACCTTATACAAACATCGTCATTGTCTGAGTCTACTAAGTCAATTATTTCTTTGTTGGTTTCATCAAAATCACTGAATTTTTGAGAAATGTAGTCTTTCAAAAATTTGTCAATTTGACGCTTGCACTTGCTTTCAGCATCAGTGGACTCCTTGAATACAGAAGATTTTGTGTTCTTTGTGAGAATACAATAAAAATTACTGATCACATTGTCGAGGAGATTTTTTTTATTGCTCCGTATTTTTGCATGATTGAAATGTTTTATAACAACTTCTATGGAATGGAACTAAATTCGCTGTTTTGATTATACTTCTTTATATTGTATTGTTATCACACCCATACTAATTTATATTAAATAATGGTAAAATACTACAGAAATTTTTTGAAGCATATTACAGTATACATTACTGTCCAATAAACAAAATTGCTTTTGGTATTATAAGTTTGATGTAGATTAATTTAAAATAAAATTTATTCATGGGCATGAGATTTGAACCCGAGATGTGTAATCTGCCAACATAGTTAAGTCTAATATATAGCTTTAACCCCTAGGCCAGGGGTGGGCAACCTTTTTAGACTCGCATGCCAAAATTGACTAAATTTAGCGGCAAAATTCTTCCGCGTGCCAGCCAAAATTAAAAACAATGCTTTGCTGCTTTAAAGAAAAATTACAAAATAATAAACCTTTTAAATATGTATAGACAGATTCACTATTCGGGAAAATATCAGTCCGGCAAATAGACTTTATTACTTTTCTTATTCTATATTAGTGAGACTAATTAGTCCCGTATTAGGAGTAGCCCGAAAGATGAAACTAGTAGTTCGAGTATTATTTGAAAGTTACAAAATATAAAACCAATGTAAAATCTCTATCAGCGGTAATTCAGCAGCAGAAGTCTCACTGATATAGAATAGGAAAAGTAATAAATCTATTTGCTGGACTGATATTTCATATTATGACTGAAGTTCATAACTGAGAACAGAGATTCAGAAGCCTATGTGGATGAAAACATGAAGAGTAATGCAGTTGCAAAGTTTTTAAGACATGAAAAATTTTCGGGAATGGCACCCCAATCACGCAGTGGTTCGTTTCCTGCGCTTCTCTCTTGTATTCCCTTCCCTATTCGCTTATATTTCAAAATTAATTTACAAATGTAGGTAAGCAAGTAACTCTAACCATCATGAGCTGTACAACTTCATAAATCAAGCAGAAATGAAGAAAAAGGATGGCTCATACAAACTATATTACGTAAGAATGTATCCAAATGATTGCTGTGCTCTTCTCGACAGCTCACTCATTTGTTATGTCATAATAGATTTCTTTGTAGCCATTTGTCATGGAATAACAAAAAGTGTTCAATAAATAAATGGCGGATTGAGAACAAACGATAATGAAAAAACGAACACCTAGTTTCATCAGCAACTTTTTATCTGAAAGAGAATGATCTTGTTTCCAAGGCCTCGCTCGCGTGCCGAATAAATGGGCTCGCGTGCCAAGTTCAACACGCGTGCCAAGTTCAACACGCGTGCCAGGGGTTGCCCACCCCTGCCATAGGTCATCACACCCACAATATTGTGATTTAAAAAATATAGAATAAATTAATGCATTGTTTATATGACTACGCAGCTACTAATTCAGCTGAGGATGACTTTACAAATACCAACATCCTAAAAATAATGCAATTTATAGATGTGAGAAACGAACTGAATTTGAATTTTCAAATTTTTTTCAATAAAAAAAGAACAAAATTTTAAAATTTCAAACCGTGGATAAAGAAATCTCCAGGCCATGCCAAGTGGCTTCCGCAGAACACCCGGGTTGTAAACTTGAATTGAGCAAATTCATATGTTCTTGTTTTTCAAAAAGAAACTTAAGAATATTCACATCAGCATCCTTATAATAATAAAGAGTTTTCTTTCTTGCATTGTTAAGACTTGAATCACCAATGACTGAAAATAAAATATGATGTAAACTTAATCCTGCTAAAACGCTTAAACCTAATACCTAATAGTATGGTTGAAAGTATAAAAATTTTCGGTAATTATTACAACCTGGAAATATTGCATTTTGAATTTTTTTCTCACTACATTCATCAAATATAATTTGAATATTGGAAATATGCAATTCAAAGTGCTTCGAAAAACTATAAACTGGTGAAATAATCACACGCTGTAACTGTAAGTTATAATATTTATTTCCATGACTACAAAAATAAATTTGATTTTTTTAAATTCCGGAAATTTCATAAAATTCAGGCAATCAATAACTTTTTCTGGGAAAAAAGTTTCTTCATGCCAAGTTCTATGAAATTACTCCGAATTTTTATGTGGAAATGGCCAAAATGATGGTAATGAAACTGTATATGGCACAACAGGAACCATAATTTTTTGACAGAAATAGGAAGTAAACAGTAAAGACAACAGGTAAACAAAAGTAAATTCAACAATGCAGGATCTTAAGGAAACAAGTTTTGTAGGTTATTTCATAAATTGTATTAATTACACAAATGATGTATTTATAAAAAGATACCATAATCAACACAAAGTTTGCATGAAAAGGCTTTTGCGAAAAAGAAAAAAAAGCTGCTAACACAGGAATGAACATAAATCAGATATGCGTATAATAAATGAAAACTAATTACCTGGGATTTGTCTACCAAAATACACCCACATATTATCAGTGAATATAATATACAATAAGAAATATGGCTACATATTCGTGAGATTTTATTATTTTTCCCCATCAAGTTTTTTAGTATTGCTATATTTTTTCTCTTTCATCCCAATTTTCAATTTCATTACCTGGTTCAGTTCTTGTGAAAATATTTTTTGCATAATATTCATCGATCTCTTTGATATTCTTTATATCAACATGACGATCATATAAACAATGAAAATAGAGTGAGAGCTTCAGTGGAAATCCACAAAAAGGTAATGTCTTTCCACGAAACTTGTCAACAATTTTCTCTGCATCTAAAAATGTACGTGAAGATGTATATTACAACATGTTTTTATAGAAAACAGAAATTTCCTAATGTCCACTTCAATTTTTTGTTGAATAATAACTACCTAATACATAAAAGTGGGGCAATACTGAATTTATGATACTGAGTGTGTTCGATAGAAAATGATAAATCTATTTAGTCAGTGATAAGATATGATTTTATACATATTGAAACAAAAAAGGGAAAAAAACACAGAGAAATTGGGTTGCCATTTCAATTTGTTCCAATTATTGAATGTGTTTGATGAAGAAAGTCATACCACGGAGGTGAAGGCAAATACATGAACCACTCTTATATAATGGGAATTCCGGCCATACTTGACGTTCGCATATATCAATTCCCTACAGGATTGAAATACTATTTTAAAGAGATTTGCACAAAGCATGGTTATGCGAATTCACTTAGAAACAAAATAGACTGAGCAAAGTCATGGGAAACACTGATGTACCGAGAGCTACTGAGACTATAAAGAATGAAACTGTAGTATTGTACAATAGAAGTATTATCTAAATGTCAGGCTCAATTCTTGAACAATTGTAAAAGAGTTTATACGTGGTCCAATATGGCCATCAGAAAATGATTTTGAGAAAAATGAAGAACAGTGTTTAAGGTAATTGATGAAAACCAGGAACAGTAAGGGGCTCAAACAATATCCCTGGAAGTCACTGGTAAGACACAGGAGCAGTTCCAAGAGATTCTGAGACTATGAAGAATGATAGCGTGGAATTGTACACTAGAAATATGATGATCAGCAGAAACAATCGGTTACCCTGGTAAGAAGAAAAATATATCAGTATGCCATTTTCATCTTTCAAACGATCAATTCTGGTAACTTGTCCTCCACCAGCTCGGTCAGAATTTCCAAATAATGTAATGAGTTCATCATCACATACATCATATGGGGCCTTTGTTACACATATGCAGTCTGTTTTTCTCAGAAACGAAATCTGTAAAACAATTTGTACTAATGAAAACACACCAATGAAAAAATCAGCTATAATGCGTACATTGCTCTAAAAAAAATTTTTATAGGGGAAGGAAAAGATAATTTAAAAAAAACAAAACATGGGCCTTAATAAATTTACACAAATAACAAACAATGTTTAAAATTTAAATTTATACACTGGACAAATTGCTAATATAATGTAATTAATATAATGAGTTAACAGATAATCAAATTTGCTCAAATTATTCGATTCATCTTAAATTTAATGCATACTCAATAATACCTATCACCTGTAATTATATTTGAAGTGTGACGCTACAGTTTATACAAACAGATCAAACAACGAATGTTGACACAACTTCTGCTTTATATATTTTGTAACACAGAAAAGTCTCTTCGCATTGTCAATCAATACAAGTATTTCTAAATTATTCACCAAATCAAGAAATAAAAATAAATATTGAATCAGATTTCAAATTAAAGTAGGCAAAATCTCTTTATTTCTTGTATTTTATATAATAAGAATATATGAACAATAAACAAACCTTGTGATCAGAATTTTTTTTCCTAAATTTTTCAACAACTTGGCGAATATCTTTCTTGTCTGAAGGCATAAAAAGATGATAAAAAACTGAAAGTAATTGAATGACGAAACAAGAAAGAATTCATGCTATGATACAATGCAATTTTCAATTGATAAATTTCGACAATTTTTGAAACACAGTCTATAGTTTTCAGAACCACATATCCTGAAATAGATCGAATAATATGTAATAAATATTTTCTTCACGAGGAAATTGAAATCAAAATCAGACTTTCCAATACCCAACTGATATTTTAAAAAATTATCCAGAAACCCTGTGTAATGCGATTCAAAAAGTAATAAAAATTACTAAGCTGAAAGGAGAACGTATATTAGTGACATTAACACAATGTTTTTTCCATCCATAGAAAACGAATGAATTACTGCTCAATAGTGTCCAAAGATGAAAAGAAATGCAATTAACCTGTTGAATCCTAATCAATATTATTATGCCATACCTACAGCAGCATCATACAATACAAGGAAAGATTTAGTGAGTTGAAGTTCAACTTTTTTCAATGTAAGAGTTTTTGATGAACATTGATGCAAAAGTAATTGCAGATCATCTTCACGGAGGTCATCTGAGCATGGCTAAAAAGATATGGCTATTTATATAATAGATACAAGATCGGTATATATATAAATATATATATAAGAATGTTCTGCAATTTATATGAAATAAAATATGGTAAATAGTATATTATAATCAGAGTAAGACATGACATGCTAAAATCCAGATGGAATTAAACTATTTGAACAACTGAATGTTCAAACTTAAGAGGAACAATGTACAGGGTAACCAATATACAGACCTCAGGTCAATTGAAACATATACTAGAAAGAACATAACTTTTATACCAACTGTCCTAGATTACTATAGCCTTTGGATACAATCAGCACAAACAGAAGTTGAAGAGTTGTTTTTCAGTTTCGTTGTAGTAATTAAGAAATTTATAAAATAAGTTTTTTGGTTCACGCCCAGGTATCGGGAGCACAAATCCCCAGTATAAATGATATCAATATATTCTCCTAAAGACTTACTGTTACAACAACTCTGTTGCCATATATTTTAGGAATCAATTTCACAAAAATGTCAACTCGTTTTCCATTTATTCGGTGGGGTCTCCAGTTCCAAATTTGTTCAACAGCTACAAAATAATAAGGCCACCATTAAAAGATGTTTGATGAATCAGATGGCAGCTTGTAAGCATAAAAAGATTTATTTTTTCGAAACTTATCAAAATTCTTAAATCGCTTGTATATTTCGTAATATAATATAGACTAAATTATTATTCTATGTAGACATACCATATTACATAGACATAACTTACTTTCTGAATCTTCAAATATGATGAATATTCCATCAATCATTGGATACATTCTGCTTATCAAACCTCCTGAAAGCTGATCATTGAATGATTCAAAGTAGGCAATGATGTCTTGAGGTTTTATATCAACATTCCTTGGTTGAACTAATAGACCTCTAGAATAGAAAAATGTTCTTAAACATAACAAAAACAGTTCAGGAGAAAAAATTTCAAATTTTATTGCAAAGTTATTTCAAAATTCAAAATTTTTCTCGCCTCTCAAGATATAATATGATTTACTGTTTGATTTAGTGCCAACTTCAAATCATTCGACTATTAGTCCAGAGATATAGTTAATATAAAGTCTGCCAAAAAAAGATTCTGAAAAAAAAAATCTGTCGACACAAAATAGAACGGACATCAGAAATTAGGCGTATAATACTGCGTATTATGCATGGAGAAATATGGTATATTTTAATCAATAAGATTTGTAGATTAATGAAAGCACAATGAACATAAAAACAACAGAAGCAAAACAGTAAAAGGTGACTAATATAATTGTTATTGGTATCAAATAAACAATTAAACAAATATACACTCTATGTCATTGAAAAAAACTTATTGCACAAAACAAAAAGAATTAATTTTAGTTCATGTTACATACTTTTGCTTATTAGAGAGTTCTTCCATAGTTGACCAGCTATGAATCAAGCTAAAATCCCATTTTGACTTTGAAATTTCACTCGTTGGATTTTGTGCATTGTGGGTATGAGGAGAAACCTTATCTGTAAATGTAAATTTATCATGTTTACCTGGATAGTAATTTATTTTTATTCAGGTTGTGCAATCTCAATGATTTAATTTTCGATTCCCTATAAATTTATGAAACTAGCATTTACCATATAATTTCCACTGTAAGTCCGTAACCATCTTTCAAATAATATTCCCTTATTTTAACATTTGACCAAGCTTATTTTAGAATTTTGTCCATCTAAACAACCAATCAATTAGAGTGAAATAAAACAAACAAAACTTACTAGATTCATCTTTTTTATCAGATGATACAGTCAGTGAATATTCAGTAGTTCCAAACTTAATAGTTCTTGGAAAAGAAGCACAAAATGTTTGGCAATCTGAAATGTGTATATATAAAGTATACATTAGAATTAAACAATATAAAAATGTTCACATTAAATTAAATGTAAAAGAGTGGGCTTCAAAGCAGAAGCATATAAATATAACAAATAAACAAAAATGTGATACATATACAGGGTGTCCATAAAGTCCCTTTACAATTTCAATTTTGTTATGAAGTCAGTTATCAATATATCTTAACCAGATTTGTTGTTTTTTAATCAGTAATTGTTCAAGTATTTTTACCTCACTTAATACTCTGTGAGGGCCAAAACAATATAATGATACCAATAAAAAAAATTTAAGATTTTATGGACACCATATACATCTTTCAGAGTGTTTCAACTATTTCGAAATATAGTTTTGATAGATAACTGGATGAGCTTTAAATGAGGTTTGAAACATGAAACAAAATAGTATTACATGGGCAATTTCAACGTGTCATGTAACACAAGTAGAAAACTTGATATTCTCTCTCTCATCGAGCTTTGAGCTCTCATCATCTATTTCTCTCCAATATTGCTAATATAAAATCAAAAAACATATCATAATAGCTAGTTTGAAACTTTTAATTGGGTTTTGTATAGGTGACTGTCAGTGTTCTATATTAGTATGGCAGGAACATTTGATAGAATCCGACTTATATAGTTCCTCTATCATTGCAAAGTATGTTTTAACAGAAATTTGCTAATAACAAGATCACATACTTTAGGATAGGATAGGATTTACATATTTATCCCGGGGGAGAGGAAAGCCGATAAGACGGCTTATCCATATGGCGAACCACGGCCTCTCGTCCGGTTACCATTCCAAGTCGGGTATGGGATTAGTTTTTACTGTATTGTTTGTTTTCGGAAGCATGGACTTGGTGGTGGAGGAAGCCGTAACCGACCAGCGGTTACGTGAACCACCCAACGACGGCGAGGAGTCCAACAATCCTCTCGCACATAACCATCCCTGCATGGGATTCGAACCTGCGAACCCACGCAGAGTGATTAGAGGTGCGGTGGCGAGCGTATTCCTAACGCTTAGCCCGTTGAGCCACACCGCCGCGCCAACTTTCAGTTAGAAGACTGGAAAAGGAGAGTTAACAGAGAATACATAAAGTCAATTGTTTGAATTTGGCAATTTAGGGAAGTTTAGATGAAAAATAATTCTATTGGTTTTGTTTTCATACATTGGGACATTAAATAAAGACAATTATTGACCCAAATTTTAAGAATATATGTATATATTAAAATAGCAATGTATGGTGATTTTGGAAGGACAACTTCAATCCTACAGCCATAAGACCATTATACATAACAATACAAAAATTCATTATATGTATGCATGAACAAATCATTTCCAATATCAGCATTATAAAATTTAATACTGTATTACCATTTGTTCAAAGCTCACCTTCTGCATTTTCCAAAAAAACCTTTGCTTGTTCTTGACCTAGTTTGATATTTTTTATCTTAACTTTGCAATCAGATTCAAATTTGAGTTTTATTTTCACTACATTGCATGTTATTGGTAAACCATGAATTGTGACAGAATTCCCATTCATTTTCCAACGTTATCAGCTGCTGATATTCCCTCTAATTTTGCCAATAAAAGCGGAACCCCTGGATCTCTTTGCAGTATAGCATTTATTATAATTACATGTAGTATTTGCAGACTCTTCTAGTTTATGAAGTTCTAGTCGAAAGTTCAAAATTATGAAAAAGTAATAAATACTAATTTAACTAACAATATGAATTTTACGGGAGTTTTTATCAAATTACAAATAATAAGTGAACAATGTTGTATACTGGGATTTAGTCCACCGAAAGGTGGTTCCCCCAATCACGTGACGTTGATCTTGCAAATTGTGTTTCTCTATGGCGCCAGATTTGTGAATAATTTTTCTAGTTCCCTGTCTCGGTTCCCACGCCGCCCCTTGTTTTATTATTCAATTGTCATGAATTCTCTTATCGCATTAGCGTCTTTCGCATTTCATCGTTTACTTTACACTGTATTACTGCCAAGTGATGAAATACCTTCATGCTGTCATGAGACTGACGGACGCTTGACTAACTCGGTTAATAATTGATACCGGTACCTAACTAACTGCTCAGACTACAGGATTGCGAATGATCAGAATGTGGTTGCAAACATAAATGTATGTGATTTCTATTTTATTAAAATCATGTTCGTATACTCATGTATACAGGTACCGGTATAGTTGTGTATGTCTATGTGTACTGTCTGACTGTAGGATATATATGTATATTACTAATAGATGTAAGTAACCATCTCAGGGAATGGAAACAGTCATATTCCAGTATTCAGAAAATATTAGTGATACGGAAATTGCAAAGTTGTACCAAATTTCAGTATGTATGAATGAAAATAGTTTTTTTTTATAACCTACATGTATCTGTGTATACCAAACTGCAAAACCATATCATTTCAGCATATAGTTTTGAGGCATGCCAACACAAATTTGTTTCGAATGTTGTGGTTGAACATGGTTTAAATTAAAAGACTTTGTTCATGTTATGAAAAAATATCAACTTCTACTTTTAGATATTTTCTTTTCCAACTCTGTATATAACAGTATTATTACAATATCACTTACTAATTATATTGGCTTTGAATATGCCGAAATTTAAGAGTGCGAAGACTCTTACAAAGTTATGTCACAGAAATATTGTGACAAACATGGACAGAATTTGGTGTGCGGATTACAGAGAAAACTATTTTGAGAAGAACGGCCCAAAATTTAGCTTCATTGATGGACCCTTTAATGGTTTAGCTTCAAGTTCGGTAAAAGAAATTCTGAGATATTTGGTGAAATTGAACAGAATGTCAAAAGTTTATCTTCATTTACTAATTGTGCCATCATTAACTGAAATTGATTTAAAAGGAGCGGAAAAATATGTAACGGACGATATATTGGACTTAATATGTGTGAGATGTAGTGGTTTGACTGAGGTATTACTCACACACTGCAAGCGTGCATCACCTGGTGCACTTGTGAAACTTGTACGAACCTTTCATAACAGTTTAGTAAGACTTTGTCTCACGGGTACCAAGCTGAATAATCAAGTTTTGGAGGCAATAGGTGAATGCCCCAACTTGGTATATCTTCAAATTGGTATGACTAAATTTACAAGACAAGGAATTGAAAGCATGTTTTATAGTGGTAAAAGTAAAAATGTAACTCCTTTGGGGCAATCACTGCAAATTCTAAGAATGATGGGATGTGAGTTTTATGAAGCCAAGCTTTTTATTGCCGATCTTTTGAAGCGTTGTAAAACGTTGAGATGTGTAACACACTTTGCATTATGGGAAAGTATTGTACAAATATGCGAAGATAAAGAAAATCCACCACATCTAAAGCTCACTGGAGTACGATATGACATGGCAATGGATCTGTGGAATCTTCGAGATCACGCAAACATTATACCTCGAATTCCTAAATGCTTACCAGAAATTCAACATCTGTCAATTTACAATGTTGAAACAATGGATATGCCGTTGTTTCATTTACTTTCGGGGTGTGGTCAAACATTGCGATCATTAAAATTAGATTGGGTTTTTCCCTATGATTTTATGTTATATGTTGGTTTGCTCTGTCCCAAATTGGATACACTAATGTTATCTCTCTCTGAAACCCCTTGCGGAAGATCTTGCTTTTGTGATGTCAGAAAAGCTTTTGAAGATTATATATCAGTTAATAATCTACCGCTCAAAGGTACAAAACCTTGGTGTAATCTAAAACAGTTCAGCATTTATTGGGGGCCGCCTGATATGTACCCGGTCACAGTAAGAGCAACAGCAATATTACTTGATATTTTTAAAGCTTCTGCACCAACACTGTCTTATGTGTATCTTCATTGGATGCCGGATAGAGATATTAATGATATGTTATCTATTGTTTTGAGAGAAAAATATTTTGAGAATCTAACACAGCTCCATTTACCAGGAGCATCTCATCTAACAAAAAATACTGTATGGGAATTAGTTTATTTGCCAAAACTCAAGCACATGGATGTCACTGGTTGCCGCTTGATCCATTTTTCAGATTATCTTGAAATAGGAAGCCATATGCAAGAAGCCAATTACTCAATCATTATGGAACTTGAAGGTTTCTGAATATAAAACTGGAAGTGAAAAATGTTTAATGCACTAATTGTATCGATGTAAGGGTATTCATTTATTTGAGCTGTACTACCTAGGAACCCCAGTCTTCCAAATGTTCAAATCTTGGGATGAACTGCCAGAGGAATAGTTGGGATAAGTTATTCAACTATTGTATAATCAAATCTATTTATCATCACTTTTCTTCCTCTTTTGTGTAGTGTAGCAATTATAGAAGAATGAATGTTGTGTTTTGCGAAGCTATTTTTATACCTTTATGTTTGGTAGATTGTCAAGTTTATCTTCATTGTAATGTACTGATTTGTTGCTATTTTTTTCGATTTTGCTTTTACTAATTTTATTTTAATAATCATGCTTTCCCAATCAGCACCATAGTACAAATATGTAAGCGTACAAATACGACTGTGAGGGTACTGAGGCTTGAAGTTTTAATGAGGATCAAATTCTAAATAAAAAACATATGGTCTATTTATCCCATAGTCGATAAAACACCATCACATGAAGTCCAAGAGCACTTTCCGCGAACATGACAAGGGGGACAGTTCAATGGTAGCAAGGTACATGTAGCAGGAGATCTAAGGGCAGAATAATTTGATCAATTGGATTTTGGTCACCACACACGATAAACGAATCCCATAGAGCCCACAAAAATTTTTGAAATGAATAAAAGTAACAACATTCAAGCAAAAAATACCAGCTTCAACCACTAAAAATTTGTTCAGTTGTTGGTGGAAAAACAAGAAAAATACTAAAAGAAATGAACAACATAATAACAAAACGATCGGAATTTTTATAGTACTGAAATAAATTGCACTCCTTCAAATTTTATCGCCCACCTTGGGATTTTTCCCACGGCGATATCTTGAGTGGCAGTTGGTGCTTGTTGCAAGATCAGCTCAAAATTGACAAATTCCTGGGAGCGCCAAAAACGAATTAAATCTAAATATAGTTGGGCAATTTGTGAATTTACCAAGCATTTTTATGTACATGATTTGTCCTATTATTTCAGAGTAGTTAGTTATTTTATCAGAATAAATTGTGCTCATTGGGAGTTTATTGACGACCCTGGGATTTTTCTAACAGACATTCGAAAAATAATCTTAGGTGGGAGTCAAGTGTTGAAACAACAAATTCCAATTTAACAAATTCCCAAGATGGCGAACATTCGAAGCAAATCTCGTTGTAATGGGGCAGTTTACCACGTATTATTATGTCACATATTTCCGCGGTATTTCAGATATTAATGCTGTTATTTGTCGTAAGTCGAAGCATTCTGTTGAACAGGAGTCGCATGCCACATTTGTTACAGCTTATCAAGTAGACGACGTTTTCCGTGTTGCACGTTATTTTTTGATTATTTCAAGTTGAATAATTTTGTGATCGTTTGTCGCTACTTCACTTTCTTTAGAATGTTGGCAGGTGCTGCATGACATTCTTCCGCATTAAAAAAACCCTGGATTGGTACTGACAGGTGTTTCAGGATTTAGCTTTAGCTCGTCTCTGAGTGTAGAGCATTTTCGGTGAGCTAATTTAGGTGGATGTGCATTCTATCCCAAAAGGACTATATAGCCGAAGGGATGCGTCAATTAAATGATAAGTTGGTGTACCTACCTCTACCAAAGGATGATTCCAGACAAATTGGTAATGAAGTTACTCTAAGAGTTATGCTCAGGAATGAAAGATGCAGATGTGCTAGATAATAAAATATTCAAAGCAATTTCTCAAAAAGTTGTGAGATATTCTCAAAGTTGTGAGATATTGACTAATGATTTGTAGAAACAACAATTTATTGACCAGATGTAACTAAATTAAATCTTCGTGTTGATATTATTGACCTTGTCCTCCGCCTAACTAATGAATTCTTAAAATCTCTCTTAGAATCTAGAATCTACTGCCATAGTTCTTACAAACAACAACTTTGTTGTTGATGAGAAAATTACCTTCGAATTCAAGGAACGGCTATGAGAACCAAGTCGGCACCGAAATATTCAAATATTTTTATGGCAGATTTGGAATCTAAATTATTAGAGAAAACCCCTTTCAAGCTAAAGTATTTTTTCCGCTTTATTGATGACTGTTTCATGTTTTGGACGCATGGTAAAGAGAAACTTTTAGAATTTGTTACCCTAGCAAATTCATTACATCCAATCATCAAGTTTACGTTTTTGGAAGCCAAAGTTCACATCATTAAAGGCAAATTATAAACAGGAATTTTTAGCAAAGAAACAGATTCACATCAATACCTTTCACTATCTTCCTGAAACATATTACAAAAAATATTACCCAAAGCCTTTCCATTAGAATTAGAAGAGCTTGTTCAACTAACGAGTTTTTCGACAAACATTAAACAATATCTAATGAAGAGAAATTATAGGGGAAATCTGATTGACAATGCTATCCAGTTTGTTAAAGAATTAGATAGAAAACTTCTTTCAACTTCCAAAACGAAAAATAAAAAAGAAACCTTGCTTCCTTTTATCACAACCTATAACCCAACCCAACCAAATTTTCATAAAATCTTTTCTGATTACCAATATATTTTGAACAACGATGAGAGATTAAAATAAATTTTTCATCCACCCAAATTAGCTCAGCGAAAATGCCCTACAGTCAAGGACAGCCTAGTCAGAGCCAAGATAAAGCCTGAAGCACCTGTCAGTAACAATCCAAGGTTTTTAAATGCGGAAGACTGTCATGCAGCACCTTTCAACATTCTGAAGAAATTAAAGTAGCGACAAACAAACACAAAACTATTCAATTTGGATTTAATCAAAAAATAACGTGAAACACGGAAAACGTCGTCTACCACAGGGCTACTCAACTATTTTCATCGAAGATCCACATATAAAACTTCAAAATTATTTGGGTCCGATCTTTCCAGGAATCATGTTTCGGCATCCTTATTCGCACATTTCCTCGACCGGCTAATGATTATTAACTAATCAAGATTGTTTATTATAGTGATATAGTTCTTTACATATTTTATCAAAACTATAAAAGTTATTTTATAAAAAGAAACTGCAAAAGTTGGGCTAATGATCCAAAATAAAGAATTAGGTGCGGTCCGAATCAAATACTCGAAAGATCCGGATTCGGACCGCGGTAAACTGTAACAAGTGTGGCATGAAGTACATTGGCGAAACGGGAGAGAATCTAAAATATCAGATCTCAGAACATTTATATAAAATATAAGTATTAAATTGAAAAATAGAGACCTGGTGTTAACCAACCTGGTCATTCACTGAAAGATTTTAGTGTAATTGGAATAGAAAAATAATTTCAAGACCATATTTCCCGAAAAAAAAAACAAGAATCGTATTTCATTCACCTACTTGGGACGCACGAACCATTAGGAAAGAATATTGAGGAAGTTTAGGGCGTTTTGGAATACTTCCTACACTGTTTAAATTAATTTACATGTTTTTAATTTTTAAATATAGTAATATAATAATAAAACAATACCAATTTACGGATTCTTCAAGTACCATGGTTATGATATTGTTGTTGCCATGACACTCATTGTATAAATATGCATGCAATTTCTGTTCTTGTTTAGTTGGTTGAGTCATCAATGGTTGAACTACCGGTATGTATGTCTGCGGAAATCTGACTTTACTCAGGCGAAACGTTGCAGAAATATATTTGTGTTAGTGTGCAGCATGACTCTTGAATCACTTAGAATAGTTATCTTCACTCTTGCTACAGCATCCTTGCATGGGCCTACCATACGTCCCGCTTCAGGCGCGACAGTCCCGCTTTTTAGCGTCTTGTCCCGCCGTCCCGACAAGTCACACAATCAATCAATCACAACCATTTATTTCGGTACTCTGACATAAAAACAAAACAGCACAAAAAGTAAACTGAACAAACGAAATGCAGAGATACCTGGAAGGCGAGCAAAACTTAAAATAAAGTAAAAAACGTAAAAGTACGAGCCCGCCCACCAAAAAAATAATAATACAAGAATACAAAAAACACGATTTGAATCGGGCAATGCTTTAAGGGATCTGTGTACAACTTACACGAAATATAACAAAATTTAGGTAGCTAAATTAAATGTAATAGACTTCTGACGACTTCCTCCGTCCAATTATGGTAATCACCAGAATTTACCCCACATAACATATATATAAATGAAGTTGATTTTAAATATTTGAATGCAGCAAACTCTGGGTCTGGAATTCTAGATTGTGTATCTTTAAATAAACAAATAGCTGTAAGAAACATCTTGCTTTTAAAGACATAAAAAATTCACCAATGATTGATCAAATGTACAAACCAGATAAAAAAAAATGCATGCATGAAAGGCAGCATGAAGTTTTGAACATTGGGAATGAAGTGTAAATTTGCAAAATCACTAAAAAACTTCCAAATTGATTCCATATATGTTTTTCTTTGAAAAGTTTGCTAACAAATATTGAACACAGCAAATTTCAATAAGAGTGCTATGCAAGTGGGGTCATGGTCCTTGTGGTTATGAAATAGGGCCTTAAAAATATGTTAGCCATCATAGCATGTTGCTGTTCGAAAAGCACAAAAATAAAATGATATTGTAGCCTACAGACAGGCTTGAAATAGCTACAGATACAAAAATCGAACAAAGCATGACAAGTAGTGAACACAGCAAAAAAGATTAGTACAGTGCGTCTGGAAAAAATACAAAATAGATGGATACATTGGTACTATTTGCCAAGACAATATTCATACAACTACTAATCCTGGTAATCAACAAAGAATTTATTAAAACAGTAAGCCAAAAGTCCCGCTCAGCCATCCAGCATAATACACGAACATGTTCTCGTTACTGTTGTTGATGTGTAGCGCAACGCTAGCCTACTTACTGAAGGTGAATGCGTTATTTTGTTTGTTTCGTTGTTTCCCGCTAACATTGTTAGCGAACGTATCACATGTAAAATCAATTCTAATTGGTCCTATTCGGACGTTCACGTGAATGTAACATTGAACAACGTCTTTTTGAAGGTGTTATCTACAGAAAAGCATGTTTGGGCGAATAAGTAAATTCTCAATGCTTGAAAACAGCCGACTATTTTATTATACTTTATTCGATGCTCTTGAAGTATGCGCACCAATATGGCGCATAATCTGAACCCTAACCTGGTACACAACCTGTGTTCAGGTTGCACGACATCTTGGTGCGCATACTTCAGGAGGTCCCTTTATTCGTTTTGCTGTACCAGAAAAAATCCAAATTTGGGTTAATAGTATCGTTAGCGTCTATTCCTTTCTATTTTTTAGAATTGAACCCGATATTTAGACAGAGAATATGAGCATGAACTCTCGATGACAATATTGTCAATGAAGACAGCCGGGATGGCTTTAAATGTAGGCCTACGTAGTGAAATCGGAAACTGTAAAGTTACGGGATCACAGCTAGAGCTAAGGAAGGGGTCGTGTCGTTGGAGGCGTCCCGCTTTAAAGTCAAAAAAATATGGTAACCCTATCTATCCCTGCATCATACGGATCCACCGGTGCAAAAGCATAGAAAAAGTAGAAGTAGTTAGTTTCATAGAAACCCAAGCGATAGCACAAGTCTACAATGAAGATTTAAAAAAAACAATACGATTGTATGTCAAATATTTGTGTGATTTTGCCTGCAAGATCCTGTAAATCCAATTAGGGCGAACGTTTCGATGACAAACAATGGTGAAAGAGGAGAGTTCATATCGCCATTGGCCAGATTCCCCAGCGCTTATCAACATCAGCCCCTTTGATTTTTGTCGAAACGAAACAAATACAAGAGGACATCACCAACTTACACTTAGGCGATTTGCCCCTTTTCTCAAATGCCTTCCCATGTGCCCATACATTTCTATGCTTTTCTACATCGCTCGAAAGTCGCCAGTATTACCAAAAATCAAGAGAAAACCAAACCATAAGCATTTTAATATTTATTTTAAAACTTTCATGGGGTTCTGAGATATATACATGATTATAATGACAATAGGAGTAAGTCCTAGAACGGAATATATACATCAACTTTGTCGACATTCAAAGCTTGTCAAAGGTATTTTGTACGTAGTAAAGGCAATACGGCATTCGCAGGGCCAGTTTCAACTTTTCTTTGCCGACATGAAAAATTAGCACCAAGATAAAGAATTTCGGCCAAAATGCAAGTTTTTTGTGCCAAATATTGATTTCAGCCGCTAAATATTGAACTCAAAAAATTTACAACACATTGCATATAATTGCAAATTGGAATATAAACTACTGTTGATGCTATGCATATAATTGCAATAATAGTTATTTATCTAATTCCTTAGTTGTAGGCAATAATTGAAAACACAATTCACCTCGACCAGTTTGTTGACATAATGACGGGGTGCGTCATTACCAATACAAACTTAGCTTTATTTCTGGGATTTCACGCCTCATATGACATGAATTTAATGAAATACCATGCTCAGCTATTCACGAGTCAGAATTATTTATGAAGGCTCGCTAAACTTTGCACATACAATATTAAAATGAGCCTTGATAATAATTTTGAACGATTTTATATGTTAGCGACAACGCATAACATGTAGAGTGCACATTTATTGGAATTCTTCTCATAAATCATAACCTCAATGGCTAGGATGACTGAATAAAAGTCTTATTTAGACTAATCATCGCTTTTCGACGTCGATCAACATTACATCAATATGCTTATAAACTGGCTACCAAATTACAACATTACAGAAAATATTTGCCTCGAGCTAGAAAATTTACTCAGACAGCTAAAAATGTTAATCTAACGACAAAAAAGTGGTACAGTGGCGTATGAAGACACCGTAAAAGCATAATGAAACAAAAGCAAGCCACCAACAATTTAAAGGCCACGACATGATTACTTTGACATTCCCAAGTGAAGTAATTTTCGATAAAATTTCGGTCCTCCCCAACGTCCTTTCAGCATCATATTCCAATACACTATGGGCAAACCAGTCGCCTTCACATGATACATGGTTCTTCTTTCTTTTGCTTGATTCACTGGAAAAGTTTCTAATGGATTCAAATCGTAGTCAAATTCAGCCATGATACAGGTTTTGGAACTGGTTATCAGGGGGCAAGATGTGTATCCGTCATAGGTAGCAGACCTTGGTAGATTTTCACGGTAGCTGAGCAGATTTGTTGCTAAGATTTTGTTTTGACATGCAACTGCCGCAGCGGTCTTTGAAGTAGGAAGACTGCTGCAATCACCAAGAGCAAACACTTCGGGATATTTGGTGTGTTGCAAGGTTTTGCTATCTACATTCACAAAACCAGCCTCATTTGACAAAGGACTATCTCGAATCGGCGCGGGTGCGGCCATTGGTGGTGTGATGTGAAGCATTTCGTAATCGAACGTTTCCTTTTCTTCCGGGTTGCTCATTTTTGCAAAAATCGCCTGTTTCTTATCTGGTTTTACTTCGACGAGGTTCAGGCCGTAGTTGGCTGTTATGTCCCTTGAAGCAACAATTTTGTTCAGAGCTTCCGCATATTTTTTCACTGCAAATATTGCAGCGCCAGCGCTATTGAAATATATGTGTGCTTTATCTCGATTTCCCTGCTTCCTGAAAAATTCGTCGGCCAAGTACATTATTTTCTGCGGAGCTCCAGCGCATTTAATCGGAGTATTTGGGAAGGTAAAAATTGCATTGCCTTCTTTGAAATTTTTCAGTGCCTTCAGTGTTTTTCCTACTGTAGCGGCTGAGTAATTGCTACAAACGCCCGGGGTTTCAAAAGCTTCAGGCAGACCTTTTATACGATCGAAGTGTAATTGAATTCCCATTGCAACAACCAAATATTTGTAGGAGATTGTATCCCCGTTACTAAGAGTAACGGACTTCTCATCTGGATTTAGTTTTGCGACGCTGTCTTTTATCCATGTAGCTTTCGATGGTATTACATCTTTCATGGCCTTTCGACTGGATGACATAGGCTTAACACCAGCGCCAACAAGGGTCCAAATTGGTTGATAGTAGTGGTCATCGCTTGGTTCGATAATGGCCACTTTCCCGCTACCCAGTGCATTTGATAGCCTTGCACCAACTGATATTCCACCGGAACCTCCGCCGGCAATTACTATTTCGTATGAACTATTCAAGCGAATTTGTGACAACACTCTGTCCAAACCGCGGTTAGATATGCATTGGGTAAAAGACTTCCTCAGCAAGGCCATATTTTATTATCATTTATCACTCTGAAATTAAGTAATAATATAAACTATTACACACTGCAATTGTTATTTCCACTTGAAATAATAGACCGATTAGAAATTGCTGAAATAGCGATTCAATGCAATGATCTTTGGGCTGATATTAGCTTGACCAGAAGTATGCACTACATAGCCAGTACTACTGTGGCGCATATAATTTCACTTTATTAATGATTAACGAGTAAATTGTGTAGTTGAAGATACCGTAATAATGCGCACACAGCAGATTTCATATGAGAAGTTTGAAACAATAATTTCAATACTACTTAAAAAGCCAGCATGTATTGAATCCATGACACAATTATATCATAATTGCCGCTACAAACAGAGAAGTTAAATCATCGTTTTAGCTGGTTTTATAAACTTAATTTCCGATATGTACTCTGCAAATGTCACTATTTTTACCACTATACAGTATTTCTAGAATTTGCCTCGTCTTTTTAGGGCTACCATGGTGTCGGCAATGATTTTTGATGTCGCCCACTATTAGTTTGTCGTATCAAAAACTAAACACCCAAATAAATTTACCCTGGCCTACGTTATTCACTTCTTCCTCGCCGAGTATCAATATCTAAAATCCAATTCTAGCTTTGACAGCTCTCTGAAAACAAGCAACGGTTCAACCACTCGCTTTTCGCTTTGCTTATTATGAGCCGGGGTCATTTTGAGCTCTGTTATTGACGCATATTAAGTGCATTATCCGTCGCCATTCTAATATTCTATCACTGCTGGCTGGTAAACAATCGCCCGCAGTTTCGCAGAGATTGGAGAATTGAGCCCAGGGTTAAAGGAAACTTTCATTTCGACATTCGTGAGCATAAGGTGCCTCATTTAAATCTGCCAAGCACGCAAACCATTCTGAGCGTCAGGTATCGAATTTCGCATCGTCATGTCTACGTTCGTATTTTGTAACCTCTGTTTTTATTATGATAGAATCTAGTCGTAGACGGTACGCGATATTCGTCACGTAGCCTCATTCAACAAGGTTCAATCTCACGAATTTTTCTATCGTAAAATATGCTAAGCCTACAGTGAATACAGTTATCTCACGAATTTTTCTATCGTAAAATAAGCTAAGCTTGGGAATGCAGTTATTACATTGATAATGACAAAGTAAGCCAATAATGCTGTATTTTTCGAATGTCGTGGATGCCGCACTGGTCGCAAGTGGGGTGTAAACACTTGCAAATAACTCGTCAGAGCTTAAATCAGATGTTGATAGACGTACTCTTTCTACCAATCCATGTATATCGAACTGTACAGCAGCTAAATAAATGAATAAATATCATTTTTGGGTACTCCTGAAGTATGCGCACCAAGATGTCTCACAACCTGAATCCTAACCTGGTACACAGCCTGAGTTCAGGTTGTGCGCCATCTTGGTGCGCATAATTCAGGAGGTCACATTTTTGTTTCTATACTTCATATCAGTGGCGGCGCGTGGTCATTTTGACAACCGGGGCAAGCTACTGCAGGACCAAGTCACCCCCATCTACGGGGACAGGATGAGCGCTGTATGTTCTCCCATCATTTTATGAGTAAAAAAACTATTCCATCGGTAACAACCAATCGGTCCAAGTCAAGGGATTAATAAATATAGACATAGTTTATTTTGAAACCTCTTTCAAAAGGAAAGGCAATATTTACCCAGATAAATACAATGACATATTAACAGAAACTTCGGGAAAGCAGACAAAACCTAAAATAAGGTTCAAAACGTTACTATGAAGAAAGGAAAGTTAATGCAAAGATAAGGACATGCGTCGCCCACTCATAGATATATATGCTGCTAGACTTCTACTGCTTGAACATATATGCAACACGCCGCGGTTTCTTGGAAGCAAAATGCTCAATAACGCGCTGATTAAAGTCATGCATCCCAGAAATAACGTCTCTGTGAATGGATAAAACAGCCAAGGAATTTAATCTATCTTGCTTCATTGTGTTTCTGAGATACGTTTTAATACGCTTCGGCGTGCTGAATGTTCGCTCTGCGTCGGCGGAAGAAATAGGCGTCGTCAAAATGATGTCCAGAAATTTTGCAGACGCCGCAAAGGTAGTTACTAGAGTGTTATCTATGAGGAACCCATAGAGCGCGCAAGTTGATGTGATGTTCAAAAAAGTTTGATTGGTGTATATACATCGCAATTCATTTTCCAATTTACCCAAGTTTATCATGGGGTAAAATTTGGAGACAGTAGCCAACAAATGGATGGGAAATTGACGTGCAGATTTTGAAAAATTTTGGGGGTTCATCAAAGAGAACGCGGCAAGGTGTTCAGTGCGCAGACGATCGCCTATTTGATTCACCAGAATGTCACAGCATTCCTATGCAGACAAAATCAAACGCTGCGTTGTTTGTCGCCACGTGTCGTCGTATTTTATTGTTTCCCGGATACGAGATACAGCATCGCAGAAGTCTGAAATACACGACTGCACAGACGCTCCATCCATTAGCCTTGACTGCAATGCGCCGTATAATACATCCACGTGATAGAATATTGTGGAGAAAAAAGCGAGAAAAAATGAAAACTCACCATCTTCTAGCAGACGCTTTAGACCTGCCGCCTCCCTCACAGAGCGTTCGTCCCAACCCTGAGAGCTCTGAATGCCATTGAAACACTCAATGAGCTCAGACCTAATTTCGGACACGCCCTGCACCATGCGTGATTGGAAGTTCCAACGTGTTGGTGCACAAGCTGGGAGACGGCGGCTACATATATGGCGAAGGAGGTCAGAGCGCTTCGGCAAAACGGAAAAAAATGAAGAAAACCCCGAAACATTTGCAAAAAATATACGGACGAGAGGGTATCAAGACACATATTTTTAATAACGAGGTTAAATTGGTGTGCATAACAATGTAAAAAATGCGCATGAGGAAAATCCTCTTTTATATAAACTTGAACACCATGTTTCGACCCACTCATGACTGCCGCGCCGTCATAAGTTTGAGCTATCAATTTTGACTTCGCGTTGTAAGGCTGTAACACTTCTTTCAGTACAGCCGATATCCCGCAAGCCGTGCGATCAACGATTGGTACAAAGCTGTGAAATCTCTCGGTAGGTTTACCATCTTTCGCAAACCGAAAAATCACAGCCAGTAGGGAAACGCACGTGATGTCAGTTGTCTCGTCAGACTGAGTCGAAAGGAACTGGCAATTCTCAATTTCCAGAGCCAAATGTTGTAAATAAATTTTATACATTGAGTCGAGCAAATCATTTTGGATATCCTTAGATGTCCCTTTCGAAACAATTGCGGCATCAAGATGATCTCTCAATACTGTATCTAGGGATGCGGTGTATTCCACCATATCCAAAAATACCCCTCTATTAGAAGAGCCAGCCCGTTCATCGTGCCCACGGAGGGACAGCTCGTGACGACCGAGAACATGGCGGTTTTTCTCGACGTTTTGGTTGTGCCGACGAATAGAAACCGGGCGTCCTTCATCCAACTGTGCTGCAATATTAACATTTCCGAATGTTCGGTATTTTACTGCATTGTCCAGATGCTCCATAGAAGATTGATGATCCCTGGCACGCTCGGAAAGATGTTTAAGATCTCTAAAACCAAATTTACACCAACGTGAGTCACGGGCGGTAGCAAAAAATAGCAATAAAAAGAAAAAAGTGCATTTTTGTCCTCGCTGTAACACAACCATTCGTGTTTTTTATACCAAGTTTCTGCGCAGAATGTACGCCGACGCTTTCCTTCGTCATGGGATTGTTCCAGTGAACAATTTTTTGGTTGATAAGGCCCAAGACGTTGTACCTCTAATTTTTGTTCCAGCGGCAGCTGCGAAAACGGAGTGCGAAGTAGTGCATCAACCTTATTCATTATGAGGTCTAAGGCTAAGACATGCGAAGCCGGAAAGAAGCGAGGAGCTCAAAAGGAATGTGGAAAATCGAAAGCAAATGGACTAAATGTCTCTAACTGATTCAAATAGCGAAACAAGCGACAAAAACGAAGGCGAGGAAACTATCAACTCTTTAAGCAACCAACGAACGAGAAGGAATGCGTGAATATGTCAACACGTTGTTGTAAGAAACGTCGGTATTGTGTCGTCATAATTTCGGGGCTAGCCCGATCGGCCCCGAAGATTTAGTAAAAGAAACAGAAAACAAACGCGGCGAGTGGAAGATAAAAGAGAGAATACGATATACAATGAGCAACCGGGGCAAAATCGGCGTCGCTCCGTCGACGTTCGGCGAAGGCTTTGCGAGCGAAAAATGAACCATGTCGGGAGAATATGGCTAGTGTAGACAGTCTGTGCAACCGATATTGAGGTATTTTTCGAATATTTTTTATTATACCAAAAAAACAACTGGGGCATTTCCCCGGTTGGCCCTATTGACGCGCCGCCACTGCTTCATATATACTAGAATTGACTAATTGGTATTTTAATTTCACTTACGAATCATTTCTTTCGAATTGATATAAAGCTTCACTACCCATGAAGTCATATCAAACTAAAATGACACTGGCGAGCACCACAGAAAAAACTCGTGTGCCATGAAACGGTTTCGCAAGCCAGGAATCGTTTCATGGCTTCAATATATTTCGTGTCCATGGAACGAAAGTTTGAGCGATTGGTTAAAACTTCTTTCCTTGGTTGGGTCCGCTAAAATTTTGACTCGCTTTCCTCTGGAAGGGGTACGCTTTCTCTGCGTACTCGGCGACTCTTCTCACTCGAAATTTCTTGGTATCTGCATAGCAATGTCAGTTTCGAGTACATTTTTGCCAACAAATTAAGGCGTTTAGTTTTTCGACTCGAAATGTTTAGAATCCAATTCTATTCAGTATATATAAAAAAATCAAATCTGAAAAGACCATATATACGTTTGAAATAACGAGCGAATTACAGTTTAAATGAGGCGTGTATAAAATGAAAATAGGAATGAAAGTTTCTTCCTGATATTATTGTATTGTAATTGATGAATGTCTTGTTGAGCTTAAAAATAATTATATAAAAAAGCTGTTACAGTAGTTAAATTATTCCATACTCTTTACCTGTCCTAACATTTTTGTCTAGCTAGGCTTCGTGCTCCGATTTATGAAACTTGTTTCCTTCATTAAATGACAAATCGAAACAACTGCTATCTCTCAAGTTTCCGAATACTCTCATTTAAACAAAACAAAAATATGCTTAATTAAAGTTATTTATTAATTTCAGCAGAAGTTAAGGATACTTTCCTCCAAACCGAGCAGTTCTGGTATATTATATAAATCAATGAAACTCTCAATGTCATCACCTCTGATTGGCATATCTTGATGTCGTAATATTTATTCATTAGTTGCTCTATCCACCAGTCTAATAAATTAGGTTATACTGATAAGTTCGATAACAGTGATACAGAATGCTAATTGGGCTCGAGATTTACATATGGATGCGAAATTTTGTACGAATGCGAAAACACTTGTAGTCAAAAGTCATTTTCTCCGGATCCATCAATTTCACATTTCAGTCATCAAAAAATGGTTATAGCGCTCAGAAGACTACTACCCATTGCACATCCTAGGATCTTGTATTTCAACCAAAATTTGGGTATTTTGTTTACGAAACACTTTTGTATGATTTATCAAACACTATACTTTGACATTTAGATTTATCGTCCATATATTTGAGTATTTATCTTTTGTTCCTTCTGACAACAACGTTCAGCAAATGATGTAAGAGAAAATACGAATTATTATTTAATTTTGTACAATTTTAAGTTTTATTGATAATACATTTAATCAACTCATCTTTCACGTTCTTTTCAAAGCCTTTTTAATCCATTCTATGGAATAAAACACACAATTTCGACAACTTTGAATGATACTGAGTTGTTGAGCATTAGTTGACTTGTTCAATTTTCATCTCTGAGAATTTTAATGTTTCTGAAGCCATCCACGTAACCAGCGAAAATCGTTGTTTGACTCCGGATACAACCCGTTAAGATTGGCGCCATTAACGTAACATGCACGATACCACCATCCACCAGAGTAAGACGATACGCAATTCGAAGAAGTTTCGTCGAAGATTCGATTCGAAGTTTTCGGGATCTTTTGGCATATATATTTGTTATACATCACTAGTGTCACTGAATTGATTACTGTCATGGTTAGCTGAGGTAACTGGCAAAGTGTGCTGGGCTAATCTAAATTGTTTATTGGCTTTCTATCTGTTTGGTCGGAACTATCTGCTAACAAAATACGCTCCATAGAAAACTAAAAATCGAATGAGGAATCTATTAGCCTAGGTCGGATATGCCTGATAACTAAATAGTAATGTTATAGCCGAAGAATGCAATTCCTGCCGGATGGTTTTTTGCAACCAGCCTAAACAGTATTACAAGAAATGCTGCCTATAAGTAAGAAAATTTAGTAATTACCAATTACCCTCCCAAATTTGATAGAATTCGGCAATCAATCAATTTGCAGTTATTAAGTTATTCTGTGAACATGGGTTTGAAAAGACAGCTGATCAATTCAAACAGATTTCTGACTGGATAAAGGGAGGGAAAATACCGCTTGCTTGATATCTCTGCAAGTTGTGTCGGTGAGAGTCTGAAACAGCAATTTCTCCTTATGACACCTTCTGTAGTAAATGTGGATTTGGTAAGATTTTTGCACGTTTTAATGAGTTTTTTGTGGCTTTTGCATGTTTTAGCTTGATAACTGACAAATATTGATCAATGTGTTTGGACAATAAACGTGTTTGTTTTGTATTACACTGTTTACCTATTCTTGGCACTGTTGTGGCCCGCGAACAATACAAAAATGATAGTGTGGCCCGCGAGGCCGTCAACCTTGGATAGACCATGTATAAAAGAAGCAATTTTTTCTTTGTGTATTCCTGAAAAACACAATAGAGAAACATAGCATAGAGCTATCGGACAACATCTAAATTAGCTGCCACTCCTTGCGTACGCAAATAGCTTACCAAATATCTCATGTGATCTTGCACACCAAGTTTGTACCTTGCTTTCGTCTTGATTTGAACAAGTTTAGAAAGCCAATGTCCACATAAGTAAGGGGATAATGATTCTAAATGCAGTGGCGTTATGCTCCCAACTACTTGTTTTTGTTAGTCTGACGAGATCGCTGAAATGCGGTTCACGGGCCACGGCGTGATTTTTTTGATTTTGGAGACGCCATCAAACAGAAATTTAAAGTAAAAAACGAATTCCATAGAACACATCGAATTTTTTGAAATAAGTAGAGGTAATAGCCTTTTAGCGACAACAACAATCTTTAACCATTGAACATTTCGAAGCGTTTTATTCTGTAGTTGAACAGAAAGGGGATTTGTTCACAACAGGAAAAAGGAAATGCAAAAGGACAACGTTAGCCTATAACGCAAAAACTAAAGGCCCTCGTGCCACAACACCCCATATTCCCTCCTCCAGATATTCCCTCGCGGACCTCTAAGGTTGTGTTGGTTTTTTTGCTACTTCGGTCTCGTAAAATGTTGACTCGCTTTCCTATGAAAGACCTACCTACGCATTCTCTCTCGGCCACTTGACATTTCCACGTATATGCATAAGAATAGCAATGTCAGTTACGAGTACATTTTAGAATCGAATTCTAATCAGTATAACAGAAATCAAAACTGAAAAGATCATAGGTTTGGAATAACGAGCGAATTTTAGTTCAAACGCGACGTGCATAAACTGAAAATAGGAATGAAATTTTTTTCTTGAAACGATTTTTCAAGGTAATAGTATATTATAATTGATGAATGTCTAATTGGGCTTAAGAATAATCAAATAGAAACGCTGTGATAAAGGTCAAATTATTCCATAGCATACTTGTCCTATAATGTTCGATCAAGACAAGTGTAGAAAGTGGATATGTGCTCTGTTATATGAAGCTTATTTCCCCTTCGTCAAATGACAAACCGCAACAACTGCTATCCTTCACGTATACGAATACTTTCATTCAAACAAAAAATATGCCTAAAATTATTTATTGATTACAGCAGAAGGATCATTTCCTCATAACCGAGCAGTTATGGTATATATACATTAGGGAAACTCAATGTCATCATTTATTGGAATGGCGATACAGAATGCTAATTAGACACATATGAATAAGAAATTTTGCTGAACTCTTGTCGTCGAAAGTCATTTGCCCCGAAACTATCGGGTCCGTCGATTTCAAATTTCAGTACCGCATACTTAAAAATGGTTATAGCGGTTATAAGACTAATTTTTTTTCACATATCCATCAATCTGCTAAGACAGAGGTGTGCGGCCGCGGGCCGAATGAAGCCCTCAATGAAAAATTGTACGGCCCGCGAAAATAGTTTTCAATTTTATTTGGTACGTGAGAGTAATTCCAATCCCTTTGCGTTGCAAAGACTATATCTGAGTGTCTATTCTATACAATGCCTCAACAGCTAGCTTGTGCAAACAACGCATGCCACAAGATCAATAACCAAATTTTTTGTGCATATAACTACTAGGGAGCCTAAATTAAATAAAGGTGCGGCCCGCGGTTTCACCCAGTTATTTCTATCTGACCATCCTATATATTAAAGACTGCAAAACCCTGCTCTAGGATCCTATATTCTAACCAAAGTTCTGCTATATTATATACGAAAACACTTTTATATGGTTTATGGAACACTATAATTTAACGTTTGGCTTTTGGTCCATATATTTGAGTATTTGCCTTTTGTGCTTTCTGACAACAACGTTCAGCAAATGATGTAAGAGAAAATACAAATTATTATTTCATTTTGTACAAATTTAAGTTTTATTGAAATACATTTAATCAACTCATCTTTCACGTTCTTGTCAAAGCCTTTTTAATCCATTCTATGAAATAAAACCCACAATTTCGACAACTTTGAATGATACTGAAGTTGTTGAGCATTAGTTGACTTGTTCAATTTTCATCTCTGAGAATTTTAATGTTTCTGGATCCATCCATGGTAACCAGTGAAAATCCTTCTCTGTCTTCGGATACAATCCGTTGAGATTGGCGCCACCTCCGTAACATGATCGAAACCACCATCCACCAGGGTAAGACGATGCGCAATTCGAAGAAGTTTCGTCGTTATCTCGATCACTCGTGGTAAACCCCATTCCATTATGAGTCGCCATACCGTCACCCGCGTTTCCAGTATAAGCGCTGACTTCAAGTTCGAAGTTGTTTTTCTCGCTTTTTACAGCGAATTTCCTGAAATATTGTTTTATAAAAAAAATAGTTTTTAGAATGACAGAAGAAGAATATTTCGTTCTCAAATTTGAATAGCCTAAGCCCATAGTAACAGTAGTCCAATACATTTCAATTCATAACGATAGAATATGTTACGAGAGAAACTTGAGCTAGAAGAAATCGTCCAGTCATAAGTACCAACGTTGTTTGGCAATAAATGTACTTACTCATATACAGCGTATCTTGATTCCCCTTCCCAATTCTCAAGATCAATACGAAGTCTATAGTTTGCAGACGACGTCAGTTTATGCAAATTTCTTAGACCTTTGCAATAATATATTTTTATTGGCAGTTATCTGATGCTGAATAATACAGCTTTCAATGATTTTAAGTGCCATATTTGAAAGTAAAATTAATAGCATTGTCAGATCCCGATATTTCAATAGAGTAATGCATATATTAGATCATGGGTATTATACCAAAGAAAAAATGTTCAAACCGAGGCCGACCCTAAGACATTTACATATTTAAACAGTGAATATGCTTATGTTTCTTACCAATCCAAAATTCTCCATTAGGATTACCAAACCCTTCTGCATAACCTTCCCATTGTCGATTGAAGCTTAGTGAGCCGTTTATTCGACGTTGTATGACCTACAATATAAAGTTATTATTTCTAATTGAGTTAAGACTATTGAAACCAATTTTTTCATTTTGAATAAAACTGAATAAATATTCTGAAACTCGTGAATTCCCATGACGAACCCAATAATTAGTAGTTTAGTTTTTTACATAGCCGAAAAAACAATTGTACATATAGAATAATTTATTCTGAATAAAGAAAGATATACAAAAATGCATTTCAGTGTGAAGGGAGACGCGATAAACCAGTAATGGTTATCGAGCAGCGTCACCTATGAGGAAGTCTAACATTGAAATAATACTGAGAGGGTCGAACATTAAAAACTAAGAAAATGTGGAAGTTTCGATATCCCAGTCTCGTTCATAACGACAGAAGCAATCAACTCCAGTACGACAGACGGGGTAACCATGGCAACCGCCTTGTATTAGATAACAAACATCGAATAAAGATTTGTCATTCTTGTGTGGAAACTAGACTCGCTTCAGGTTGACACAATCATGAATATTTACCATCCAAGAGCGAGATTCTTTCAGAATGCAGTTTACTTCGATTGTGGTTAGATCATCATCCTCTTGAAAAGGAAACAATATCGCAAGACCTTCAGCATTTGACTGCCCACGTGGAGCGTGAGCGTTAAAATAATCTTTACACGATGTTGGTCGCTCTGTTGATGTTGTTCCTAAAAAAGTAAAATTTAGCAATCAACTATCAGTTATGGTTGTTCGATTCTTGTAATTGATTTGTGACAAGCCATGATTTAAACTGTTAGTTTTGTTGATCACAAATATTGATATATTTACGTTTCCACGTCTTAGCTCGGAACTAAACCCTATAGCCAACATTTTTGAAAGAATGGTTTGAAACGATTAGACTTTGTCTGTCGTGATGACTACGCATTTTGTTCAATTTGGAGCTTATGGTTGTCAAAAATGAATCAGGACTGTGTTTTCAATTCTATCCGGAAAATAATTAACTTGTTCGAACTAAAAAGCCTAACACTTTTACCTAATATTAAAAACCATCACAAAGTTTAGTGTTAAATATATTTACTTGCCAATAATTGGATGAAATTCATAAAAAAATATTACCTTGAACTTGGGAAACATTATGCAACATCTCTCTAAACTCTTCGTTTTCTGGAATGGAAGCATTATTTAATTTTAACAAATCTGTACCGATGCAGCTTCTACTCTGCAAATGTTGAACTTTAGGTATAGAAATGACAAATCATAATATGTCGTTTTCAAATGAAAAATAAAACAAATTTGTGATAAAATTATGCAATAATAGTTTTAGGTATTCTTGTGTACATGTGGTTGGGCAGCGAATTAGCATAAACAATTACCTTGCTGCAGCTTTTGTAAAGTGTTATTCATTTTTTTCATTTCTGATTCCATTATTCCCATATTCCTTTGCATCTCGGTAATTGCGGAATTATATCCTGGGTCAGGCTTACTGGGGTCTCCTTTATCACCTTTAGGTCCAACTGGCCCTCGCTTTCCCGGCCTTGAAGCATGCGAAGGGCGGTTTGCTACCGGGTTCGTTCCTTCATTCTCTATACCAGGTTTGCATAAAGTTGTGGTGGTTGTACACGTGTATGGGGGAGCGTATTGCGTAGCCGAAAAGATATGAATGCACTTCGCACATACAATAACGGTTAGAAACAGCGTGGGTCTTTGCCCCATTTTGTTAGTTTACTGTTTATTGGTATGTCATATATCTTGAATTAAGAAATATTTGAACAGTTTAAAATAAATGGCATTAGTTACATGGTGTTTTTGTTGTTGTGAAAGTTAATGTAATGTTCTAGCCCAGGGGTCCCAAAAGAGTCATAGATGACCCTTTGTATACTAAGGCGGGAATGAGCTGAAAATGAATGTAGCGCATTTCTACTTTGGTGATATAGCAAATACAATATAGAAAATACCGTAGCATGTTCAATCAGAAAAAAGGCTCGAACATATCAAACTCGTGTAATTCTATTAAGGCATAATAAGAACATAATAACTGTGTTATAAACATTATCAAGCTATGAGCAACATACAACATCATGACAGTGCTTCGCGCACCCCACTAAAGTAGCCTCGACCAAAAATTACCCCAATCGTCGAAAGCAGTAAAGCTAAGTATATATAACCAAGCACATTTGAGCACAAAAAATCGACCCCTTCTTGACCGTGTTCGTCTCTCGTTCTATTTCCCCAACAAAATACAATTCAGCTGTTACGCATATTAGTATTTGCGTTTTTCAGCAATAGGATTTTTTGAAGATTTCCTCATTATGAAATTCAAAATATTTATAGTCAAAACACAGTAATATGAGCTCGTATTTTTTGTGAAAATAACTGGTTGTTGTCACCATCAACTAACAGTTCTTAATTATTCGGAATACATTCCTTATTTTTTTGTAACGTGATACACGAAAAACCAAGAAAATATTTCTCTAGACTTCAAGACGTGTTTATCCATAAACTAAAGCTTATTTAGTCATAAAGTCTTATCAGTTATCAAATATATTTTGCTATATTGTATTAGCAATACAAAGATATTTGCCGGATCACTAACTTTTAGATGAGAATCACGCTCAAATTTCCGCATTTTGAGATTTTAGGAACTTTTTTGCCATTCAATTTATTTTTACATAATAATATTTCATAAAGATATTTAAATAATCGTGGAGATACCACGAATCATACATTAAATCAGTGGTTCTTAAACTGGGGGGCGCGAGAGGTCACAAGATGGAATCGGAAATTTACATGTAACGGCTCCTGAAACGGTCTCCGCGTTCATTAAAAATACCGCTTTTCCGTGTTATAATAAATTTTTCTGTCTCGTAATAACTACAATAATTTAAAATGTCTCTCTATTTTAATTCATTTGTGTTCAAGGTAACTCGCGGTTGCGGCTACTCACGACAAAATAAACTCATTACCTATCTAAACTACCACGCCAATCCGCGTACATAATAAAGTGTGATCAACTGCCCGATTATATTTAGTTTTTATATATATTGCACTCATGCGAGTTCGTCATGGTCATTAGAAAGATCTGGTATAATATCCCAGAAAGTATAATTAATTTAGTACAATTAAAATACATGTAAAGTATATTAGTAGATGAAAAATACATATTCATCGAAACGAAATCCCCGCGGTACGGCTTCTGAGTCAGTCCTCGAGATTACGCCAGTCGTTAAAAGAGCCGACTTTTTCAACGGATATGTAATGGTTTTTGTGTTGAATAAATAGTCAATCCATGATTGATATACTTATCTAAAATGGTTACTTTATTCATTTAATTGTGATAAATTAAAACTGCGATTGCGTCGATAAAATAAAAGCACCAGTACTCCAAAATAACACGGTAATCCGCAACCATAAAAATGTCGATTTCATTTTGTTTTGATTTGTATTCTTGCCAATTTCACCAATATGAGCTGTCCCTGCAACTCTTACTCCGCTCTATCGCAATGCCGCCACTCGATTAATTTCAAGATATCACCGTTATAGATATTCCTAAGTCTGCGATCCGACGAAGTAAAATTTATATAAAGTCTGTAGTTTTAGAACACTACTGGTGTGCCGCACGCACAAGGAATTTATGAGATTTTCAATGTCTAAGAAAGTGTTTTTAATCTGTCGCGGTCCACCCCAAAACAAAACTCATGGCGTTTTTCGTTTTAATTTTAGTATTTTATAATGCCACTTTTACTTTAAAGGAATTTTTAGTTACGGATTCACTTCTTTATTCTATCTTTAGCATCTCGTCGCTGATGGTTATAATAAAAACTAACTCGTTTTCCTCAGAGGTGTCATGGTTCCATTCGAGAACAAAAAAAGTAATTATAATCGTCTTCGCGGCACAAGAATATGTCGAGGGAAATTTCGGATTTAGGAAGAATAAACACCGAAATCAAGATTTTTAGGGCTTGAATAACACGCGACGCTGACGTAAACAATGGAGATTTGAACAAAATGCAATCACAAACGCCTTAGGGACAAAAATTGATTGAAATTTTACGTGTCTTATGTAAACGTTTGGGCATAAAATACATTAAAGCATAGGTTTATTGCTTGTTTAGTTTTACTTAATAATTAGTTTGACTTTGCCAAGTATTGCAAACTGGGCGGGAAAACGAGAATGTATGATGACCAACCACTATTTGGCTTTATACATACGACAGTGAATGACGAAGTTGTACTCCGAAGCGTTTTATGCCTAAACAATCTGAGCGATGACGCTATGAGACCAACACTCAGTAATAGCGCCATCTTAATATATAACAATTTGTCTATCACGAAAGCATTTTTTCAAAGCAAAAAGAGGGGGGGGGCGAAGTTTGTAAAATTTTTCAAAGGGGGCGCGGCTCAAAAAGTTTAAGAACCACTGCATTAAATGATTCGCTTGCCACTTATAATGACGTTTCTATTTATTTTGATTTGCGTTGAAAAACGTACTGGAGCGCTCACTTGCTCTTTAGTTTTAGTTTTATTTACATTCTTATTCTTGATCGGCCAATGTAGGATCAGGAATGATTATTGACGTTCTAAATACCTCTAATGTAATATTTACTTAACTTGTTTCATTTCAAACGATATTTACTAAATTGTTATATAAACGAATGATTTCATGAAACAATGCAATATTGTTCATATTTTAATTAAACTTTTTATTAAAAACATTAAATTATTTCTGGTAGTTCAAATAAAGTCTTCGAGGGGGATAAATCGAACGCGCATATAAATTTGACGTTGCCTTGGATCCAATCAACCCATGTAAATAGTGATTTTATTCAAAAATTCAGTATCAGCAATTATCAAGTAAAGAGCGTCACAGTCTTATAGTACATGTATGAAAGAGGAAATATTTTTTGTGTATTCCTGGTAAAATGATTACGAACTCTGTATTGTCTTTGTTATGAGCACGACCCGATAATTTTTCAGTCTAGTCTAGAATTCATCCATAGCTAGGGTATTATTTTTGTGATTTCAAATCGGGACGCCTCGAAAGAAAACAACCCTTTAGCTGTGATTTTATAACTTCACATTTTCCGATTTTACCACATAGGCCTACATTCCTACATTTAAAGCTGTCTCGGCTGTCTTTATTGACCATATTGTTATCGAAATTTCATGCGCATATTCTCTGTCAAAATATCGGGTTCACTTCGAAAAATAGAAAGGAATTGACGTTAACGATACCGGTACAAATAATTCGAATTTAGACTAATTAGTATTGGTTTTACAATCAGCGGGAAACGAACGCATTCGCCTTCAGTAAGTAGGCTAGCGCTGCGCTACACAGAAACAACAGTAACGAGGACTGGAAAAACGGGACTTTTGGCTGACTTATCGGGACGGCGGAACAAAACGCTGAAAAGCGGGACTGTCCCGCCTAAAGCGGGACGTATGGTAAGCCTATCCATAGCAATCGATTTTCAGAGTATGAGTAGGATGCACCTACGGTAGAAAATAACCGTATCAGAACTTGCAGATGATATATAAAGAAGTATTACAACTCACCAATTGCGGGTCGAATTCTGAATCGCCTATCAGCTTAAACACAGAACGTATTCAACACTATTATTTGAAGGCTGAAATATTATCTGAAGTAGATATAGGAAATATATATGGAAATTAAAAATAACTTCTGTTTTTATTTCCGAATTTTCAGTTTGACTGTCTTCGATACAAAACTTTATTTCAAGAGAGATAATTGTATTTGTTTGAAACTATTCTGAGCAATATATAACACTGCGTTGTTCATCGTAGGCTGTGAGACTGCTGATTTTCAAACTTCAAGTCAAATTAAATCAAATGCCGTCGGAACGTGGACTTCGTTTACTGCAGCAAGAAGTTCAAATTGCCGAAAGCTTAGAAAGAAGAAAATGTGTATTTCTTAGGATTGCCGTATGATATTTTTATTTATTGAGCAGCTGTAATTGCACATGCCGTTGATAAGTGATTTATAAAACCAGCACTGCATTTGTAGGAATACGTAAAATCGAATGAATAGCAATCAGCCACACCTTGAGCAGTTTATATGAAGCTCTAAAAAAACTGTTTAAAAATAGTAAAAATCATCCTAATATACTCGAGAATACCATTGCGAACTTAGTATACCGCATCCGTGGCTCTGTAAATTGAAAGCATACGGTGATTGTTACTTTGTTAATGTTTGCACCCCTTTATATTACAAACGAAAATATGAGAGTATATACGTCGCTATCTCAGATGAGTTATTGTTGGTTTTTGTTTCAGATTACTGAACAACTACTAGGAGTGGTGCTTGTAGAATTATGTGCCGCATATTCGATTCTTTATGAAGCATATGGAGTAATTGCAATTTACATCAGTGAATGTATTGTGGTGAGAATGTTATTGAGTATAATGAGTTGGGCCTGATATGAACAAAAAGTTGTTTATTTGATTCTCGGAGTTACGATAAGGGGTGTATATCCGGAGTCGTGAATTATAGCCAGAATCGGATTGTTTGAGTCTTTGAGCGACGATGCGAAATAAGACTCTTCCGCAACGCCAAGTTTCTAGTTACAGACTGTCTCGTCATCAAACCGTAAATATATATATACTACGGATCAAACCAATGAAAACGCTAAACCAACGACTGAATTAAATATGACTACCTTTTTGAGGTTTATTATGTACACAGAAGAGATCGGCAA